GAAAAGTCAAATTTTGACCAAAATTTGATAAAAAAGTAAGGCTAACCCCTTGCATTTTTTTTGAATTTTGGCCAAAATATGAAATTGCTTGAAAATTGCTAGGAAGATGCCTGATGGCCCTTAGAACGCATTTCCAAAATTTCTGATGCCATATGTGGTGTTCAAAGGAAATATGGCGTCAACAAAGTTGGTAAAAATTAATTTCCTTTTTTCAATTTTTTTAATTGTCGATTTTTTTCAAAATTATCACTTTAGAATGATGAAAATATGCTAATCATGCCTCCTGAAGTGTTTCTGGGGCGTTTCCAGAAAAGTCAAATTTTGACAAAAATTTGATAAAAAAGTAAGGCTAACCCCTTGTATTTTTTCAATTTTGGCCAAAATATGAAATTGCATAAAAATTGCTAGGAAGATGCCTGATGGCCCTTAGAACGTATTTCCAAAATTTCTTATGCCATATGTGGTGTTGAAAGGAAATATGGCGTCAAAAAATAGGTAAAAATTAATATTTTTTTTTCAATCTTCTGCCTAAATCCTTTTTTAATTTCCAAATTTTTCAAAATTATCACTTTAGAATGATGAAAATATGCTAATCATGCCTCCTTAAGTGTTTCTAGGCCGTTTCAGGAAAGTCAATTTTTGACCAAAATTTGATAAAAAAGTAAGGCTAAACCTTTGCATTTTTTTCAATTTTGGCCAAAATATGAAATTGCTTGAAAATCGCTAGGAAGATGGCTGATGGCCCTTACAACGCATTTCCAAAATTTATCATGCCATATGTGGTGTTGAAAGGAAATATGGCGTCAACAAAGTTGGTAAAAAATTAATTTCCTTTTTTCAATCTTCTGCCTAAATCCTTTTTTAATTTCCAAATTTTTCAAAATTATCACTTTAGAATGATGAAAATATGCTAATCATGCCTCCTAAAGTGTTTCTGGGCCGTTTCCAGAAAAGTCAATTTTTGACTAAAATTTGATAAAAAAGTAAGGCTAACCCCTTGCATTTTTTTCAATTTTGGCAAAAATATGAAATTGCTTGAAAATTGCTAGGAAGATGCCTGATGGCCCTTAGAACGCATTTCCAAAATTCCCATGCCATATGTGGTGTTTAAAGGAAATATGGCGTCAACAAAGTTGGTAAGAATAAATTTCCTTTTTTCAATTTTTTTAACTGTCGATTTCTTTCAAAATTATCACTTTAGAATGATGAAAATATGCTAATCATGCCTCCTGAAGTGTTTCTGGGGCGTTTCCAGAAAAGTCAAATTTTGACCAAAATTTGATAAAAAAGTAAGGCTAACCCCTTGCATTTTTTTTCAATTTTGGCCAAAATATGAAAATGCTTGAAAATTGCTAGGAAGATGCCTGATGGCCCTCAGAACGCATTTCCAAAATTTCTCATGCCATATGTGGTGTTCAAAGGAAATATGGCGTCAACAAAGTTGGTAAAAATTTATTTCCTTTTTTCAATTTTTTTAACTGTCGATTTTTTTCAAAATTATCACTTTAGAATGATGAAAATATGCTAATCATGCCTCCTGAAGTGTTTCTGGGGCGTTTCCAGAAAAGTCAATTTTTGACCAAAATTTGATAAAAAAGTAAGGCTAACCCCTTGCATTTTTTTTGAATTTTGGCCAAAATATGAAATTGCTTGAAAATTGCTAGGAAGATGTCTGATGGCCCTTAGAACGTATTTCCAAAATTTCTCATGCCATATATGGTGTTCAAAGGAAATATGGCGTCAACAAATTGGTAAAAAATAATTTCCTTTTTTCAATTTTCTGTCAAAAATCCTCTTTTAATTGCCCAGTTTTTCAAAATGATCACTTAAGAATGATAAAAATGAGCTAATCATGCCTTCTTAAGTGTTTTCAGGCCGTTTCCAGAAAAGTCAATTTTTGACAAAAATTTGATAAAAAAGTAAGGCTAACCCCTTGCATTTTTTTCAATTTTGGCCAAAATATGAAATTGCTTGAAAATTGCTAGGAAGATGCCTGATTGCCCTTAGAACGCATTTCCAAAATTTGTCATGCAATATGTGGTGTTGAAAGGAAATATGGCGTCAACAAATTGGTAAAAATTAATTTCCTTTATTCAATTTTCTGTCAAAAATCCTCTTTTAATCGCCCAGTTTTTCAAAATTATCACTTTAGAATGATAAAAATATACTAATCATGCCTCCTGAAGTGTTTCTAGGCCGTTTCCAGAAAACTCAAATTTTGACCGAAATTTGATAAAAAGGTAAGGCTAACCCCTTGCATTTTTTTTCAATTTTGGCCAAAATATGAAATTGCTTGAAAATTGCTAGGAAGATGCCTGATGGCCTTTAGAACGTATTTCCAAAATTTCTGATGCCATATGTGGTGTTGAAAGGAAATATGGCGTCAAAAAATTGGTAAAAATTAATTTCCTTTTTTCAATTTTCTGTCAAAAATCCTCTTTTAATCGCCCAGTTTTGCAAAATTATCACTTTAGAATGATAAACATATACTAATCATGCCTCCTGAAGTGTTTCTAGGCCGTTTCCAGAAAAGTCAAATTTTGACCGAAATTTGATAAAAAAGTAAGGCTAACCCCTTGCATTTTTTTTGAATTTTGGCCAAAATATGAAATTGCTTGAAAATTGCTAGGAAGATGTCTGATGGCCCTTAGAACGTATTTCCAAAATTTCTCATGCCATATATGGTGTTCAAAGGAAATATGGCGTCAACAAATTGGTAAAAAATTAATTTCCTTTTTTCAATTTTCTGTCAAAAATCCTCTTTTAATTGCCCAGTTTTTCAAAATGATCACTTAAGATTGATAATAATAAGCTAATCATGCCTTCTTAAGTGTTTTCAGGCCGTTTCCAGAAAAGTCAATTTTTGACAAAAATTTGATAAAAAAGTAAGGCTAACCCCTTGCATTTTTTTCAATTTTGGCCAAAATATGAAATTGCTTGAAAATTGCTAGGAAGATGCCTGATGGCCTTTAGAACGTATTTCCAAAATTTCTGATGCCATATGTGGTGTTGAAAGGAAATATGGCGTCAAAAAATTGGTAAAAATTAATTTCCTTTTTTCAATTTTCTGTCAAAAATCCTCTTTTAATCGCCCAGTTTTGCAAAATTATCACTTTAGAATGATAAAAATATACTAATCATGCCTCCTGAAGTGTTTCTAGGCCGTTTCCAGAAAAGTTAAATTTTGACCAAAATTTGATAAAAAAGTAAGGCTAACCCCTTGCATTTTTTTTGAATTTTGGCCAAAATATGAAATTGCTTGAAAATTGCTAGGAAGATGCCTGATGGCCCTTAGAACGCATTTCCAAAATTTCTCATGCCATATGTGGTGTTGAAAGGAAATATGGCGTCAACAAAGTTGGTAAAAATTAATTTCCTTTTTTCAATTTTTTTAATTGTCGATTTTTTTCAAAATTATCACTTAAGAATGATGAAAATATGCTAATCATGCCTCCTGAAGTGTTTCTGGGGCGTTTCCAGAAAAGTCAAATGTTGACCAAAATTTGATAAAAAAGTAAGCCTAACCCCTTGCATTTTTTCAATTTTGGCCAAAATATGAAATTGCTTGAAAATTGCTAGGAAGATGCCTGATGGCCCTTAGAACGCATTTCCAAAATTTCTGATGCCATATGTGGTGTTCAAAGGAAATATGGCGTCAACAAAGTTGGTAAAAATTAATTTCCTTTTTTCAATGTTTTTTATTGTCGATTTTTATCAAACTTATTGCTTTAAAATGATGAAAAAATGCTAATCCTGCCTCCTCAAGTGTTTTTAGTGCGTTTCCAGAAAAGTCAAATTTTGACCAAAATTTGATAAAAAAGTAAGGCTAACCCCTTGCATTTTTTTTCAATTTTGGCCAAAACATGAAATTGCTTGAAAATTGCGAGGAAGATGCCTCATGGCCCTTAGAACGCATTTCCAAAATTTATCATGCCATATGTGGTGTTCAAAGGAAATTATGGCGTCAACAAAGTTGGTAAAAATTAATTTCCTTTATTCAATTTTTTTTATTGTCGATTTTTTTCAAAGTCATTACTTTAAAATGATGAAAATATGCTAATCCTGCCTGCTCAAGTGTTTTTAGTGCGTTTCCAGAAAAGTCACATTTTGACCAAAATTTGATAAAAAAGTAAGGCTAACCCCTTGCATTTTTTTCAATTTTGGCCAAAATATGAAATTGCTTGAAAATTGCTAGGAAGATGCCTGATGGCCCTTAGAACGTATTTCCAAAATTTCTTATGCCATATGTGGTGTTGAAAGGAAATATGGCGTCCACAAAATAGGTAAAAATCAACTTCCTTTTTTCAATTTTCTGCCAAAAATCCTTTTTTAATTGCCCAATTTTTCAAAATTATCATTTTAGAATGATAAAAATATGCTAATCATGCCTCAGTGTTTCTGGGTCGTTTTCAGAAAAGTCATGTTTTGACCAAAATTTTGATTAAAAAGTAAAGCTAAGGCCAAAGAAAAAACTCGGTCTCTGGTCAGCGTCCACGTCGATTTTAATCATGTGCGTCAACCCTTTTTTTTTTCAAATTAATACGGAAACTACAACAGCGCCCTCTATTGCCGCGCCTCCTCAAATTGTTGTACCAAGGAGCACAAAGCAATGGGGAAATAGCACCAAGGCAAATGATATAGGTCACCAAGGCAAATTATGGAGGACACCAATGTATAATGAGGACACAAACAAGCAAAATAGTACCCACCTTGTCTGAACAATACAAGCTTGAAAAAAAAGCCACCCCCCCCTAAAAAAAAAAACCGCGTCGCCGCATCACTTCCGAAACTTCGATCTGACCAGAGACCGACTATTTTTTTGGAATATGGACATGATCATGAATATAATTCACATAATCAGGACAATAACAAACATTCCGCTTTCCAACCTTTGAATTTAAGCTGTGAATGTATACCTTCTTTGTTACACAAATCCCACTTTAATTACTTTGATCGATTTTTAATAGCTGCCTTCACCACAATGTCACCTTTTGACACAGAATTATGTTCTCCGCAAAGGACATCCGTATGGGGAGTGCTTGAAGAACGTAACGAACACCAAGATTATTGCTGATGGCGAGATTAAAATCTCTTCATCAGACCATTATGATCGAGAGGTGAGTCAGTAGTTCAACCGTTATGATAATCAAAGTTCATAAAGTCTTGATACCGGTACTAACTTGGAATGTTGGAGAGTGTTGACTGTTTATCTCCTTTGATGCTTTATTATTGTTACATTTTTAAGGCCAATTTTCTAATATCTTCGAAGCAATACTATTGTCTGATGAAATGTGAAATGTTGTGAAAGATGAACACAACGAAAGTCTTTAATCTAATGTGAAAAAAGGCTTGTTTTTATTAGAACAAAGTTACTGTAAAAGTCCACTCACGATCACTAGAACGTCACTCATGGGTGCACAGTAAATGCACATCCCACCGCTGACACCAGTTTTGTCAATGTTTAATTTCTCCTAACAGCTGTGTAAGAAAACATGCATTCACGAGTACATTAGAAAATATTGTGGATGTTCGGATACACTAGAACTCAACGGTGAGCGATGCAGTTTGCTGAATAAGACCCAAGGTAAAGAACACCATGACTTTTTTCTGGGTCTTAGACATTCCATTTATAATTTCACTTATTTGAAGATGATCAGTAAGAAGCTCGCTTGAATTAAAAATAATTGAGATGAAATCTGCTGCACAGATAAACCCATAGTAAATTGCAGCCATCTTTGAGGTTTCTTGTTTATTTAATTTTGTAGCAAACAAGGGTTGTAATCTTCCTACCGTCGAGATGCCTTGGAAAGGGTCTACATAAATATATATATAGCCTATAGTACGCTTTTCATCCTTACGCTCTTAAAAATCCCAGGTCAAATTCTAACCGGCATCGGATGTGACCTGCCACTCTTTCGCGTCAAACAAACCCCCAATTGTTCGTGTAAAAAAGACAATTTTCCTGGTCTAATTTACAATTTATGTGTGTTTCAAAGTGACACTTTTCTGGCTCAATGGTCCGGAGAGGTGAGTCATAGAATGTCATAATTGAACCGGAAAATGTCAGGAAATATCTGAAACGGATTCCGGGACCCGGGATATGAAGAGTCTGTATTGTTATGATGTTTTGTTATGATGCTATATCATCCCTCAATATTGTCTTCCTTGAATGAAGTAAACATATTACTTACGTTGTTTTTGTTATTGAAAGAGGCATTTTCCAAACTTACTTGGAAACTTTAGTGATAGCAATTCGGAGCTGTAGTCTGAACTCAAGTGTCTGTTTTTTCACGAATAGAAGTCTGCACCCAACTCGTCTACTACCTTAGTCAGCACAACAACCTAACCTGCTCCTGTCCACAGCAATGCAGGTAGGCGTGTACATGCATGCCAAGAGTGCATTTCCTCCTCAATACTCAAAGCAGTTTCTTCTTAATCAGTTTTTATAGTACATTATACTTGCTCATTTGATTTTTTTTATTATACGGGCTACAATATATATTTGGTGTCCTTTTTTTGTATCCCCCGGCCTAAAAGGGGATATTGCGATAGTGTATTCCTTTTTGTGTATGCATTTGTGTCTGTCCGTCCGTCCGCTCTGACCATACCCCACATGTTGGATGGTGTCCTTGAATGGACACTACCCCGGATGTGAAATCTATAGAAAAACATCACCCCGGATGTGAAATCTTTAGAAAAAGGGATACAAGGAACACAATGCTATCACCCCACATGTCTCATCCGTCTAGTCGTCCGTGTGTTCCATTTTGGTTAGGTCAACTGTTTAGTGCTGTCATGAAAAGTCAGACTTCACTCTAAACCAAACTTGGTGACAATTATCTTTGGGTAGGGGGACTTCAGATGACTTCAGGTGACATTTGAGGTCAAAGGTCATCTAGGGTCAAATGAGGTCATTGTTGTTTTTGATAAGGTAAACTGAAAAGTGCTGTCATATGAAAAGTCAGACTTCACTCTCAACCAAACTTGGTGACAATTATCTTTGGGTAGGGGGACTTCAGATGACTTCAGGTGACATTTGAGGTCAAAGGTCATCTAGGGTCAAACGAGGTCATTGTTGATTTGGGGTAGGTAAATTGAAAAGTGCTGTCATATGAAAAGTCAGACTTCACTCTCAACCAAACTTGGTGACAATAATCTTTGGGTAGGGGGACTTAATATCACTCGTGACATTTGAGGTCAAAGGTCATCTGGGGTAAAATGAGGTCATTGTTGACTTTGGTTAGGTACACTGTAAAGTGTGCTTACTGACTGACTATATAAATACTGCCAGCGTGCCAGGGGGATCGCACAAGTTGACCTTGCTGTATATTTTTGTAATACCTCACAAATCAAAGTAAAATACAATGTATGTTTCTTAACAGGGACTACCTGTCGTTTGGTTTTGTAATATATCATATCCATTCGCATCCCCCATCAAGCGAATTTTATCGTTGCTTCTTAAACTTTATTCCAGTGAGGTGTATTACACAAAGACGAGTTCGATGTCAAAGTGGCCCTCACAAAAGTTTGCGGTAAGCTGAAGTTGATTTCTCACAAATGTTATTTTCCCTAGTTCGAATCTTGTTTATACTTGTATCTACTTGTCCGTTGTATTATAATGTGTGTGTTTTTTATATTCATTTCAGGACCACCTGTTGCGAAACATACGTTCAATCAATAAGAAAACCCAGCATTTGAATGAAGACAATTTGTTGTAAGTATGCCTATACACAAATGGGGTGAAAATGTAGAGAACGAATTGCGTCTGTGTTTCCAAAGACAGACGCATTTTTGGCTAAAATATAAAATGTCTTAGATGTACACAGAAATACTTCACGTAATAATCAAGTGTTACCTTGCGTGCGATAAGGAGTCTCGATCAGTTTTCATTATTCCCATTTTCAAAACTATGCTAGTCAAGTTCTCCTCTGGAATCCTGAAGCCCCTCGACGAAAAGGTCGTCCCAACATGACCCTGAAAACATCCATCGAGCTAGAAACTGGTCCGAGTGGTCCATCTCTTTCCAACACTATGCTTGACAGTGACAGTTGGGCCCAACTCATCAAGTCATCATGAAAATGAATGGATGAAGAAGAAGAAAACTATGCACGATAATATTTGCACAACTTAATGAATTACATGTATGCACAATTAAAAGAATTACATGCATTCATTAGTGAGTAAAATAAATTAATTTGTTGAGTGATTAATGAACTGTCACGAAAGGGGTGTACATCCATAAAGCTAGCTCGATATGTTGTCTTAAACCATAAGCAGTTATGTCGATCAAGCTCTGCAAAATATGGGTCACATACAACATACCTCGGTCTGAGGGCGACATTTCGGGACCATTTTTATCGCAATGCACGTCCGAGTTTGAGTAACAAAACATAATTTCGTAAGATTGATGGTCCGAGTATGATACAAAAGTTATACGGGTAGCCCACAGACAAGATGGTTTGCAGATATATATATAAAAAATCTAATTTCCATTACGTTTTCTGCAGTGACAATATTGTGAGACTTGAGATTTATTACGAAGAACTGAACTATGAAAGCACTAAGGAGGTAGCAGCTTATCAGGTGTGTTTTTGGTATTGATTTATTTCGTATAATATAATGCTACTGATATCGGTACTAATGTTCGCAAATCATGACGTGACATAAGTTTTCCATCTTGTGCCCTTTCCCCATGCTTTGGCTTGTACAATGCTTATCTATATTGAAATGGGTTACATTATTTTGTATCTTTGACAACCGAGCTAACTTTAATTGCTCCGCTAACCACGTGGGCATATTTGAAACCTGGGGCACATTTGAAACCTCAGGCGTATTTGAAACCTCGTTCTCGTGTTGAATGAACACGAGAACTTGTATCCGTATGACAAGAACAAAGACGAGAACACCGGCTCCCCACTTATAGGGGAGTAAAATATTCTGCGTTCATCAGCGACAGTTTTCGCGCACAGTAAACAGAACCATGGTATTAGTTTACACTATCGACCAGATTACCCATACCATTTGGAAATCATATTATTATGGTCGAATCCATTTGGTGCGTTGTTAAGATTTATTCGATGTCCTTCTTCATTTCAGGAGGCTTCCCTGTTTGGCGACATTGGCGGTATCGTAGGCCTGTACATTGGCTTCTCTCTCATAACGGTCTGCGAGTTCATCGCTCTATTCCTGAAACTCATTAACAAGTTTTGCTTTAAAAGAACTGTGAAAATATAGTATTTTGATGCGTGACAATAGCAGACAATAGTAATGACTTGTAGATGGTACCTCTAGGAGAGATTCCATGGACCTTTGCACTAAAGAAATCCTAACTGTAATCACACCTGGCCCTAACCCAAACTTAACCTACTCTCATCAAACTTTTAAATATATGTGTCGCATCACGATCAATCCATTTAGACCTAAGATTAGGACTTGAAACATTAGGGAGGGATTCACATGTCCACCTAATACACCTACGGTTAGAGTTAAAGTTATAGGGTCTAAGGTACAACTTTTTAGCAAAATGTGTCTCCTTAATAACTACATAAATCATGCTTGTTAAAAAGAACTCCTCCTGAGTGATTGCAAGTAGTGACACTCTTCCTTTACCAAATCTCAGCCTGTACACTTCTGTCATTATGCATGAATATTCTTTTGTTTACTACTTTACTTGTATGTAGTTTAAACATGACGTTTCTAGGTCTCGGTCTTGTACCATCAGGTCTCGGATTCAGACCATCGGGTCTCGGTCTCGGTATCCAACCTCAAGGGCTCGGTTTTGGTCTCGGGCTCTGACCTCCATCAGGTCTCGACTACAACTCTAATCATTGTTATTCTTGTAAGCTGTGGTGTTTTCTGAAGTTCCAATTCTCTATTATGTCCAAAATACATCTCAAAAATTAATTATCGTTTGTACAAACTAATTAAAGGTATATTTAAGTGCGAGTTTGGGTAAACTGGTGCGAGGTTTAGTAAATTAGCGTGATAAAACTTAAAACATTTTGCTGCGATCTTTCTACATTTGAGTTGTTAGATTTTTAAACATTTGTCACATTTTATATTAACGGTCAACAGTAATTAGTGCAGTGTGATTAAGTGAAAGAGAAATCCACTTGAATGTGATCTTCGTAACAATGCTGTGGCTATTTAACTGTGCCATATATTTATACATGATCTATGTGTACTATTGGAACTAGATATAGTAGAAGTGAGCGATATTTTGTGCAAACTGTCTTGTTGTGTATATTGAGTTTATAGATTTTGTTTTAGATTTTACACGTTTATACTTTACCGTTTATTTGTAAGTGGTTGGGAGTAGCATTTGCTTCAGGAATATAACACGTATCGCAGTGCGAGAACATTTTTACATTATTGTTTTATATTTTTAATTTTCAATATGTAACGTATTAATGTAACTAGGGCCGTAAAATGTAAAATTATGTGTCCATTGATAAAAAGCAGTGAATGAAATGGAATCGAGTTTGAAATAGGATTACCCCGTAACGCCGATGAATGGGTTAAATCCGGCCCATTGTGTAAGCCACGTGCATGGAAAATCGTCTATTGAATAGCCCTTGCGATTGCATTGAATGAGAGTTAACGCGATCTGGGACCACCTAGCCACGTCTTGTCTTCTTACAAAGGGTCCATGAACATTGAAAATCCCACGTCTCCAAGGAAATATTATTGCATATATACGAAATTGAAACACGGTTCAACAACATTTTCGGGTAGCAGGCCGCGGGACTTGTCCATATTTCTGAAGGAATAAAAGGTTTGCCTCCGGCGATGTTTTCCGCTGACGATACAAGTGATGACGGTCAAATTTATTATTTTCTTCTTTTGTGACTGGAAATAATGCTTGCCTCCTTGACCGCTCGTGCCGCCTACGACAAATTCACTATAACTGATGAATGAATAACAATCCAAACAATTGTTTTCTTCGTATTCTATGATTGCTTGGCCTCAATCAGTAACCGATGAGTCCCTTGGGAGAAAACATAATCACCGTTCGGTGCGCACGAATTCAATTTGTTTCTACTCGGCAAGTTATTCATCAAGAACCAATCATAAAAGAGTCTCATGCAGAGCAACAATCTATGACCAGAAAAATATCTACAGGGTTGTTTTTTTTGTCGGTATTAACTGATCATAGAACGTGCAGTTGGTACAGCGGCTGCTGGAAAGAACCAAAGAGCCAGCAACCAGGAAGTTTTCTTTAACTTCACACTTTAACTGCACGTTTGTACATAATTGCGCCGAATCCTATATTTTTTGAAACGAGAGAGAAATTATCAACTTTTCTTTCTTTCTTCTACTGAACTGTACACCAAATCTCATGAGGCCTGTGCTCCCCTTGTCCTGGTTAGAATTTTGAGAAGGCTTGGTACCCCATCGTTTAAAGAGGTCTCTTAAGCCAGCCGGCTACTTACGTTAATGCGTGCAACAATGGGGAATCGTTCAAGGTTTACACAAGGGGAAAGCAAAACAATGGTCTGACTCCTCCATTAACGTACGTAGCAACCTGACTTCCTTGAGCACCTTTTAACCGTCTTATAAATCGTCTTAAAAAATGGATTGTACATAGGCAATAAAAAGAGGTATTTTGTCATCTCGCGAACAATCTGCGTGCGCCAGAAGTAATATGGGAAACGATCTGATAGGAAAGTCGAACAGTCTCTACTTTTCCTTTGGAGAAGGTATCAGGTTGTTGACTATAACGGAAGATTTGTAAGTGATATAGACAACATGTCGAGATAGCCAGGGAAAGAAAAAGAAAAGAAAACTCGCATGGTAACTGTTTAACTGATTGAAATAGTGACCTTTTTTGCCTGGTCGATTCTCGATTAATCTCGATTGTAACACGCATGGACAGCAAACGCAGTTATTAATGGTCCACAGCCTCCGCTTTGGAAAACTGCATCCCGGAATCAAAGGAGAGAAATTAGGCAAACCAATTTTAATCCTATGTTTGTTTTGTTGGCGGGGGGGGGGGAGTATGCGTAGAATTACAATACGGGAATATGTTGTTTTCCAAACCCCGGGGGAGTGGTTTATCGGTATATGTATATTGTTATTGGAAACTTCTGTTTTTACAGATACCTTAGTCCACAGCTTTCAAAATGGATTTCGTGGTACTCCGACGAGCAGGTATTGATTGCTTTCTGCTATCTTTTTACGCTGTTTTAGCCATAGTCACGGCAACCGTCAAAAAAAAAAAACGTCATCACATCCAGAGAAACCTTTTTAAAAGCTGAGCTTTCAAAACCTATGTCAGTCGAGCGATGCGATGTACTGTGTCAAGAACGACTTTGGGCACCTGTAGTTTTCGTGTTGAATATCGGTTGAAGCTGATGACGAAGTAGTGCTGTTGTCGGGCTCAAGGAAACAAAAGCAGAATAAGTAGAGAAAGAAATACGTCGGAGAGCAAGAAAGGAACAGTTGAAGTTGCTGCATGCCGTATCTGGCAGATAAGTACTTAACTAACAAAGCAAAGTGACAATTTTGGACTTATAAACTCAAATCGGAAATTTGTTGATACTTCTTTTTTGGGGAACATCACCATGGGTAACTTTTCTGTCGACACAGATTTCTCCTGGGACGGACCTTGCCCACTGCAGAGCACTTACTTTTTCAGCGAAAATTACGCTCGAAATTTTCTGTGGACAGACTTTGATGTGGCTTACATATCACTGGTCATCCCTATCATATCCACCCTCGGAATCATCATGAATGGCGGCTTTCTCTTTGTGGTAGCAAGAATCAAGTCCATGCACACTATCACAAATTTCTATCTTTCCAACATTGCGATATCTGACATGCTATTGCTTGTCTCGGTTCTGATCCAAGACAGCCTGATTTTTCACCTATTTTCCTCCGGAGTGGCCTACAACGCCTACCAAGGAGGACGTGCATACTGCAGCTTCTATGCCATCTCAAGAGAGACTTTCTACGTTGTGTCTGTGTCCCTGGTCACTTTGGTGACAGCAGAGAGATTCCACGCGATCTGTTACCCTCTCCAGCATCGCATGGTGGAGGGCAAGGGACGGGCGGTCAAGCTGACTGTCGCAACCTGGTTGTTTGGCATTGGATACGGCACCACCCTGGCCCTGAATTACCTGCGACTTACAGTCTACTGCGTGGAGTGGCCGCCCACGCCCGAGTTTGTCAACATGCCGAGAATCATAGGTTTCTGCCAGACCGATATTGTCCCTGCACATATCGCCATCTTCACGGAGGAGGTTGTTGCCAGTCTGCCCTTCATCACCTCGCTCTTTCTGACCAGCTTCATGTATCTGCAGATCTACCGCACCCTCTCCCGAAGACCAAATCAGCAGGCCGGCATGCAGAAAGACGCCGCAACGGAGCAACAGACTGCCCACGCCGAGAAGACCCGACGCCACGTGGCAAGAATGCTGCTGACCAACACCACTGTCTTCTTCGTCTGCAACCTGCCGGCCTGGATCAAAGTGGTCATGCAAATGGTGGGCTATTTCACCGAGTCTCCATATCCAAGAGAGGTCATCGTCCCTCTGTTCCAGGTGGCAAACGTGATGGCCCTCGTGAATTCCACGGTCAACCCGATCATCTACAACGTGACCAATCCACGGTATCGCCAGGCGTTCCGGGAGGCGTTTGGTTTGAAGATACGACGTCAGCAGCAAGGGACCAGCAACTCCAGAGCATTTGCTACAGTATCTACAGTGGCTCAGGGATCAGTGCCTTCTAGCCACGTACCAGACACTGCTGAAGACACGCACATCTAAAATACAGCAACAGGTCATTGTTAAAATGGGCAGAAGTGGGAAAACTAGGCTTATCACAACAGACAGGTATGGGTTCACAAAATAACACCTAAAATATGAACGCAGTGTAATATAGTTGTCCTGGTTAATTAGATCACACGGTAAAAGAATAACGAGGAAAAGAAACAAGAAAAACATTGATCCATGAAATGTGTATTAAATCCAAAAAGGAAATTTTTTTTTATTTCGCTTTACTTTAAGCAAAATTTATTATGCACTGAAAATCCTCTGCCATTTCCTGAGGCAAATTGACTTGTGATGCTGTCTTTAGTTGTTATGTCAAAATTACTGATACAAATTGTGTGCTAAACTTAATAATGATTGGTTGAAAAAGTGAAATATTGCATGTATCAGGTCACTATTATATACTCATTTAATACTGCGAAAAACTTGCACTATATGTATATATCGTAATTAATGGTGAATCACATATAAAAATCATGTTAAGAAAGCGGGCAGAAGACAAAATGTAATGAAAGAATGGATCACATTATCATAGTTTGTGCATTTTAAAACTAAACACTTGAAAAACGTAATACTTCAATTATCTGTGGATGATTGCATTGAGTGTATATTCACTCATACGTAAACGAATGTCAGTTGAGCACACGAAGCTGTATTAGCTATTCATAGTAATGTACCTAACAAAATCCATATATGTTAATATCCAAGCAAAATAGAAAGCTGTGAATTTTAACCTGCGTTCTTGATCTACCAACAAAACTCAAAAATGTATATGTTGTTTTTGGTGGTCGTACTTTCAAACCCATGTCTAATCAGTCATTGCCTTGGTTTACCTTGATGGCCGGTGATTACGAGTGAATGTAGTAATTTTATCTTGTTGTTTGTGTGATGATAGTTTGATGAAAGACTGATCACATAGTGATCATGATCTTCCGGTGGATTTGTTTTAGTACACTTGTGAGTGTAATTTAACATAATACAACTGCACCTAACCTAAATATAGTTTGAGAGCTATAGTCTTCAAGAGTTATAGAAAAAAAAAAGACTACTTTACGACACTTTAACTCGTTAATGCACACTGCGATTAACGCGTGTTTTAACAAGTCAATTCTTTGAGTACATTACCTCATAATATTGTAAGTTACTGTCAGACATTTGACAAGTATTACATTTTACACTTAAAATAACAAAGCAGTGAAAAGGCAGACATTTAGGTACAGTTAATAGCAGACGAGACATTTTGACTATATAGACTGTGATGACATTACATTTTCGGTCTAGGAATTTTTGGTCTAGGGGACCTATATAAATAGGGCAAATGAGATATTCTGTTATCAGAACATTTGTTATTATTTGCATCTTCACATTTCAGGGGGAAAATACATGTATATTTTACAAAAACAAGAATGTATTTTTTTCTAACAGTAGGCCTACACCTAATAAACATGGTAAAGTCACGATTTTAAACGCTTACATCAACCAAAACCATCTCAAATATTCTTTATCATGAATTTTACCATAAACTTCGTTTTACGCACGTTAGTTCCAGGTCATCTATTTGATCCATCTTGCCGATTTTGAGTAGCGACGTACCGGCCAATTGTGTTGATAGGAAGATACATCAACATGCCTTTGCTTTCCGAAACTGTTATCGAGCGTCGCATTTTCATGTAGGCCTAATGCAGCGAGTCTTATAGCGGTCGTGTGGTTGCTTTACTGTTTAAAATACAACCACTAGGTCAGTGCTGAAACGGAAAGAAAGAAAGAAGTAGGAAAACTAGGCTTATCACAACGGACAAGTATTCGCTAGGTGGGTCCACAAAATAACCCCTGAAAAGGTGATGCGGACAAATGGTTGTCCTGAATAACAATATCACAGGGCAAAAATAACCAGGAAAAAAAAGAAGAAAAAATACAGGAAAAAAAGATTCATGAAATTTATTAAAAAATAATAATAATGAAAAAAGCTTTTTTCCACTAATTGTAGGTGTTGTTTTCGACGCTCCGTCTGAATCTTTGCATGACGTGTGCCATATACGATCTTGTATCGGAAAGGCACAAATAATTATCCGAACCAAACTAAGCTTTGTCCCTTATGTTTTGTCACTGTGTATCACATTTTGTCTCGGTGTATCATTCGTATCTATACGCAAACGTATCACGCACTGAAAATCCTCTGCCATTTTCTGTGATGAATTTCGCTGTGATGCTGTCTATCGTTGTTAAGTATAAATTACTAATGGAAATTGTGTAAACTTAATTAAATTCAGATATTAATGTATTCAATTCAGTGTTTCATACTACTTTAATACTGCGAAACACTTGAAATATATGTATGGTTCGTAATTAATGGCAAATGACTATACAAATCATGTTAAGAAAGCGGGAAGAGAGAAAACTGAATGTGGGATCACATATTAATCATAGTTGGTACATTTAAAAAAATAAGCACTTGAAATATTAACATGTCTGTAGATGATTGCATGGAAAGTTTTCACTAATACTTAAATGAATGTCATTTGTGGCACACGGAGTTGTGTTAGTTAATCATAGTAATGTACCTAGCAAAATCCATATAAAGTTAGTCCAAAAAAAAAATACAAAGTAGTGAACTTTAACCTGTGTTCTTTACCAAGCTGTTTTTGGTGGTTGTACTTTCTAATCTTGTAAATTTCTTGGTTCAACTTTAGGGCCAACAATGATTTGGAGATAAAGTAGTTATTTTATCTTGGTGGTTTGTTTGATGACAGACTGATCATTTGCCAACATATAAGCGGCATTATGTATAAAACGTCTGGTGGATTCGTTTTAGTAAGCTTGTCTGTTTTTAGTAATTCAACAGAATACAAATACTGCACTTTACTTACATATATAGTTCGAGAGTTAGGTTTCGAGAGCTATAGAAAAACAAAGAACTACTTCACGAAAGTTTAACTTGTTGATGCACACTCCAATTAGCACGTGTTTTAAGAAGTCAATAGTTTTAGATAATTACCTACATACATGCAGCTCACAATGTCGTAAGTTACTGTCAGACATTTGGTACGTTTTACATTTTACGCTAAAATGACAAAGCAGTGAAAAGGGTTTAGTTCGTATTTTCGATTCATTGATAGTATACGATACATTTTGATTAAAGACTGCTTGTGATGACATTATATTTTAAGTTGGGGGGGGGGCCTTGCATATACTCCTGTAAATGAAAAATATGGTACCATGAACGGAACCTTTGTTATTATTTGCATCTTCACATTTCAGAACAAATTGCATGTGTATTGTAAAAAAAAAAAAAAACGTGTAATTGTTCGTCACCAATAAATTTAATAAACATGTCACGATCTTCAATGCGTACATTAACTAACACCCGTCCCAAATTTTCTTCATTATAAATTTAACCATTAACTTCGTTTAACGTTGATTTCCAGTTACCTATTGGAGCCATTTTGCCGATATCAAGTAGTAGAATGTTGTGATGGGAAGATACACCAATATTCCGTTCCTTCCCGAAGCTGTTATCGAGCTAGGCATTTTGCTGTAATTACAGCGATTCTTATTCCGTTCCATAAAAAAACACTCGTCTTTCTGAATGCAAAGAATTTCTTTCAGCTAAATGAATACCATTTGGCTGTGTTTCAAAACGGCTGCCGACTTTCCCTGGATGCACCTGGGTACTATTTTTTTTTCTAGCTCTGTCCTCACAGGTACCCATTTACTCATGGTGGTGAGAAGCAATAAAAATAGGAATAACACTTCTATTAGTGTAGCACGTTTCTATCGGTAACATTTAATTTTGCGAATATTGTTTTCCGTCAATGAATGAATACAGAAAAAGGAACGCACATAGTTATTTAGGATACTCCCAGCGTACTGACGAGGTGCGACAAAACGCCGATTTATCAATTATTTCTTATTGGCGGAATAAAGTGATTACAGTGGCCGACTGCTTGAAGGAGGTAGATCCGTCAGCATGCGGCGTCTTGCAGATCACGCAAGACTGAAACACAACATGCAATTAAATTTAGAGGGGAAAGGGGAAGGGGAATTGATTAATTGTCCCCAACCCTCCTAGGAAAGAAATACGCGGGCAGCAATGTTGGTTGACCAGTATTCTATAATCTGACGTCATTTGGTTGCGCTGTGATGACCACCAGAAGGCATTTTAACATTTGTGGTCGAAAACGCATTTTTGGCATAACGTCTACCTTTTTTATTTAATTCAAAACCAAACCAAAAAATTTGAAAAAAAAAAGAATATCAAATTTGAATATGCATATTACTGCAACGAAAAAGTTTTAGTGTAAAATATGGTGCAAAAATATAAGTCAACGGTTAAATTAAGGTTAGTATAGTAATAATAAGTTGTAGTGACTATTTTACAACCGTATCATTGAAACAAAATTGTCATTCGGTGCAATACACCAATATAAAGGCACTGTTAAACTCTAAAAGAAATAAAAAGTTAAAACAGTTTTAACAGTTAAATTCGCACCTTTAAGTTACATAGGCCTACATATTTATTCCAAAAAAAACCCATGTTTTAGTGTAAAGTTCATTCCATTTTCCCTGATAACATCAGTTGATATCAGCTTATCAAGTATGCATCAGATTACAACAAATATTATTACTGCTGACTTTTAACCAGACATATTTGTGCCAATGTAACGGAACCCTTTTCCAGTGCAGTCGTGATTTAAAAATTGCTCAAACTGTTCTTTAAACAATTTCTTCAAGCTGTTCTTAAAAAAAGTACCCATTCAATAAAGTTTTAATAAGGATAGTGCTAATGATTTACTCATCAATGAAAACTACCCTCACTGAAAAATTGTCTGGGTTAATTTTACCCAAGAAAGGGTAAACAGCAACTACCCAAAATTGGGTTGTTCTATGTCCAATAGTTTGGGTTATAATTTCTGTTAAATTCAACCAAAAGTTGTAACCATACAAGACCAAATTAAATTTGGTCTTGTATGACCACAAGTTTTGGTTGAATTTAACAGAAATTATAACCCAAACAATCGAGTAAAAAACAACCCAATTTTCGGTACTTGCAGTTTTCTGCCTTTCTAGGGTAAAATTAACCCAGGCAATTTTTCAGTGCTGTTTCTGCGCCAATTGCTTCCAACAGTAATGATGCCCAACAAAAATGTTCATGGATCCTTTCTATAAAATATATACAATCCGTCAATAATGCATAGTTTCTGACAATGTTACTTCTTTGGTCTTTGCTTTCGACAGTAATGCTGAAATAAATGTCCACACCTCGTCTTCTTTTAAATTTCAAATCTAATAAAAAATGCATAATTTCTGACACACTTACACGTCTATTGTTTCATTGCTGAGCGAGCACCTTTCCTACATCAATTGTTTCCAACCAATGAGGTGAACATCCCATCCTCGTCCGCCAGAAGTTCATCAGGGCTCCCAAACTCCGCCACACGTCCCCCGTCCAGCACGATGATCTTGTCAGATTCCCTGATGGTTTCAATGCGGTGCTTTGAAAACAAAAGGGGGAAAACACCATTAATCAAATGAATAAAATTACCCGAACAAAAATGCGTGCAGTGTTTGGCACGCTTTGGTATCTGGTGACCTTACCTGATCGGGCAGGGCACTTTTTTCCCCCTTGTACTCTCTTGGGTTCACTTAAATTCATAATCGACTGCCGAAATTCTTCAAAATAAAACGACTTTGTGAGACTTAAAATGTTTTATTTCAAAATGGTTGGTTTTCAAGAGGGTATATTCAAACTTGAAGAAAACAATTTGAGATTTTTTTCAGTGTAATAGATTCATGAATAAGAAAGTAATTGCCATATCAAACTCGGCACATGATTGGGATGAAAATGCATTACCATAATGCCAGCAATTAACTGTTATAGTTGAAAACACGAGGGATGCAAATTTAATTTTCTTTTCCTATTTTCTGCATCACAATATAAAACATAAAAATGTGTAGAGTCGATATTCCCTCCTGAATCCAAGTAAGGTTAATGTGTAGGCCCGATAAGCTTATTTATACTCTAATAATATGACACTTACAGCTATAGTCAGTACTGTCTGATCAGTAAACGCAGTAGCCAGTACCATCTGCAGCATTTGATCCTGTCAGCAATGGTTAAATACAACATAATTTTTATATTTAATAAAATATTAACATTTAAATCAATACTATCATGCACGATTCGTGGTCATTTCATTTTTAGCAAAATAAGGAAACTGCCCATTTTATTTGAGCTGTAAAAAATAAATTACTTCTTAGCATAGTGTGTTGTAGTTAGGAACATTAAGATGAGAACCAGGCACTAGCAATGTAAATTGCATGTGATTTTGGCTGGTAACCCATCTTTTCTATTTTTTTTTTGGTAGATTTACATGATATACATGGAGGTACCAGTATTCAGTATCGACTTGCTAAGTAAGTAAAATTTTAGAGTTCATGAACATGAACTAAAGCAACCCATTGTCCTTTTGATGAGAATGAATATAAAAGACAAAATTCAATTTTGCAACGAAAACTAATTTTAGGTGATTTTTTTTTATTTAACAAGCGTAACAGTAGCCGACCGTACTTTTTCGGTGCTTTCTTTTGTGGAGAAAACAAAATTCAGTTAATCGATGAGTATACATTACAATTACCGTTTCCATATCCACTGAAGCTGTGGCTTCATCCATGATAAGAATTTTGGATTTCCTGAGGAAGGCTCGAGCCAGACAGAACAGCTGCCGCTGGCCAACGCTGAAATTCTCACCGCCCTCTGTAACCTTCGAGTCTGCGGCAGAAATTTGATTGGATTACTTTAAGTAGTGTTAGCATAAAAGCACAGAGAGCACAGTGTCAGAGTTGTAGAAAAGTTGAGTCAAAACCGATTTAAATGATTTGTGAAAAAGACGTTCCTTCTTTGTTGCTCATCCACATGACTTGACTTGAGAAAGGACTTGCGATTTAAGCCTGGTTTCCATATCGACATTGAGCTTACGTAGACGACGCAGACTGCGTGTGGTTTGAAATAAAAATGAAATTTGTAGACAAAACCGGTAAATTAAACCGGAAAGAAAGTGTAAATGAACCAATCCAATGGCTACAAAAAGTCTATACCTATTCCCCCGTCCAGCTGTGACACCAACTCCTTCAGCTGTGACATCTCAAGTGCGTGCCACAGATCATCGTCTTCCAGCGTTCCCTCAGGATCCAAGTTTGTTCTGTTTAAAAAAATATAAAATTGGTTCTTGGTCTCCTTCTGGTAGCACGTGTTTCATCTTTTATCAAGTACATTTTTGTATTTTTTTTCCTACGTTAGCGAGGAATGTTTGCGAGTTTATGTTTCATTAGGCCTATACCTCATTACATTCATTTTTCAATTATTCAAGATTTCTTTTCTATGTTGATGTTTAGAATACAATGTTAACTGTCATTAATGTTAACTGTAAGACAAAAAAAGTGAAAAAGAACAAGTTAATATACACTGGGTCTTGGTGGATTTTGTCTTCTCGTACCGTAAATGGCAGGGCAAAACAATGGCAAAGGCATCCAGAAAAATGTGAAGTGAGTGCTTGAAACGCCTTACCTTATGGCTCCTGCAAAGAGCAATGGGTCTTGCGGGATAATAGAAATCTTGCTTCTCAGTACGGTTAGTGGCACTGTCTTGGTGTCAACATCGTCAATATGTATCTCACCTGAAGAGAAACAAGGATATGCATTTTAATAAACAAAACCTAAATCTTCCCATGTGAAGAAATAACGTTGCTTGATATGATAGGAAGTTTACATAGTTTCACATAATTTTTTTTTTTTCATTACGCATATGCCTTATTACATCCTACCACAAAGCATATGGAATAGTATACGATATTATGTATTATATTTGATCATTAGTCATCTTTGAAGATTTTTTTTTTTTACTTTTGTGATCACAAAGTGTTGAATTGAAAACCACATAGTACCTTCGAAGACATCAATGGCTCTGAGCAGAGCTAGGGCAAGGGAGGATTTTCCGCTTCCTGTTCGGCCGCATATACCGACCTATACGTGAACAAAAAATACATACCAAAAGAAAAAATTAATTAAGCCAAAAAAAAAAAAAAAAGTACAAAACTTCCAGTCCAACAAATGTGTTGTTGTGATCACGAAGTTAAGAATTGAAACAACCGTTTTTTTCTTAAAAGTATCATGGGGAAATCGCCGCTGTCATAAATGTTCGATTACGAAAAATGCACAATATTGGTAACAACTGGACCCATCCAGGCGTCTTACATCAAAAACTTGATATTCTTAAAGTTTCGTTTCTGATTCAGTTCAAAGGCGGTTACCAAAGAGGGTTGATATAGTGTCAATTACTTTGGATACAAAATACTTGAAATTGTCCTTGTGTCATGTCTGTAATACGCTGAATTGTGTGCATGGGCTCTCGTGGGTTCTCGTGGGCTCTCGTTTTACAAACCTTTTCACCCGCCTTCATCTGGGCTGAGATATTGCTCAGAACAGGATCAAGATCTGACTCATATCTGACGGAGATGTTGTCGATTTGAATGTCGCCTCTTTGCGGCCAGTCTGGCGGAGGAACTTCACCTGTTTTAGGCAAAGAATTGTGTCTAAATATAAGACGTGGTCAATTCAATTGTTTCACATGTATACGGATAAGGGAACTGTTGAGATGGTGACTGTATACATGGTAACTTTGAACATTTTAAGCGCTTTTTTTTGCTCCGGTTGTATAAAGGGTGAGTAAAAAAAAACGAAACCCAAATGTCCGGACTATCTAAAAGAACTTCACTAAAACAATGGTCCCAACATTTGGGTTTCGTTGCTTTTTGACTCACCCTGTACATGTGCGTGATGTTATGACATCACACACGATAAAAGATAACAGATGCACTGCAGCTCACGTCAGCGATTTTCGTATATTTTTAAGAAATATTACTAACATTGCCATTAGTCATATACTGTTTTCCATTTTTCAGCTCACCTCCATAGTCTTCGGTTTCTACATCGGTATAATGGTGGACTCTCTCTACAGCATTCATATGTGTCTCGACTTCAGAAGAATTTTGCAGAAGGAACGTCATATAGGACGACATCTACACAAAAGAGGTCAACATTGACACAATAATACTACGAGAAAAGCCGTACATGTATTTTAAAAGCTATAACCTTCCTGTCAATATTGCTTTCTGCGGTCATTACCCGATACTCAACAAGTAAATTTCGAATTCCAATACAGCAATGGTTGTTTTCACTTTGCAATTTTTTTTAAATTTATTTTCCAGCTTTAATTTGTGATCAACGCATGTGAGAGTTGTGAGCATTTGTCCCGATGGTGTGGAACTCAGAGTACATATTCATGTTGCAAAATGTGTATATATTTACTGGCCTGCACCCAATGTTACATAATCTGTGAAGTCATATATCGATGGCTGTAAAAGCTTTTACCGCGAGGGCGTATGAAGAACTCAGGCCCACCAAGCCAGGATCAATACCAAACGCCACAGCGCCAATTAAGGTCGACAAAGTGGCAAGCAGAACAAAAGACGCTCCCAGGAACTCCTACAGTAATCAAATGGAAAAGAAAAAGACTGATAACGTATAACAGCAGATTTTAACGAGGGTCTGTGTCATATTGAGAACTCACAAATCAAACGTAAGAAATACTGATGGAAAAATCAGTTGGCCTTATTTAAAAACTGATAGACAACCAGATCTACATGTATTTTGGCAGCTACTCTTCCAACAGGCTAATAGGTGTCGAAGTAACCAATCTTTGCCCTAACCCTCCTCGATCCCCCCCCTTAATCCTCCTGCCAGTTTTGAATGATTTTAGAGGATTAAGGATGAATGGCAAAGATGAATCGCTTTTTTTGTGGAGGATGAATTACGTTAAGCCAAAAGGCCATGTCCTGCATTGTTTATGTTCAGCCATGCATTTGTTTTTCTCGTATTTCATCCGCACTGCTTCTAAACACCATTCGCACTGGCTCAAACCATTGCAGTAATTGACAGACGATTTTGGAAGATTGAGGCGTTGGTCACCACCCACACACTCAATTCAAGAAATAAAGGATGATTTTGGAGGATTTAGGCTGATTCCATTTTTTTCTTGGTGGCCGTGATTTTGCAGGAGTAAGGTTGTATCCTAGCCAGAGGTCCAGGGGTTAGGGTTAGGTTGCCAAAGACACGTTGGATTTGAAATTAAAGCCATAACAATATATATAAACCGTATAGTCTGCCCATCTCCATAGGAACTTTCTATTGTTTTCCCCTTACTTAACTTAGTTGAAGTTAAAGGGAATATACAACATTTGCAAACATCGAAAAATAAAACTACCAAGTTTTTGCGAAATACCTTAACACGATGTTGGTAAATGACAGTCTAAAGCATCCTGTAAAATTATGGCACCTGGTATACTGTAATTTTCAAGAAAAGTGGTATTTTTGTATCAATTTCCAACGCTGATCGGCCGATCAGCGTTGGAAACAACTGGCTTTTTTTCAAATACTGGCCCCAATTGACCATTGCACTTGTTTGCAATCGATTACAAACCTATGAACGGGTACGAGCCAGCTAGACTGGTTCCCTGACCTTACAATTCCCCAATGTATGTAAACTGCTCTGTTTCTTCTTATATGGAGTCAGGGAACCAGACTACAGGAAAATGATCGTTTTTCTTGGTTTTTATAGCATTTTCGAACCCAAAACCTCCAAAAAAGTCAGTGTAACTATATTCGCTTTATATTTCCAACCCCCCAATTCCATCCATTTCTGAAAATTACAGCAAAAGCAAATGATGTATATTCCCTTTAAAGACAGTTCCATAAGCCCACACAACATACATTAATAATAAAAATACAAAAAATACTAATCGATCGCACCATGCGTGTTGCAAGCCATCTAATTCCAATCTGGAAATACAAAAATGCTGTCGTATTTTTATCGATGCGAGACAATATCGTGTCGTAGAAGGTTCTCTCCTTTCTGTCAAAATAAAGAGAAGTGAAATATTCATGTTACACACACTGACAAATAACAGGTTTGCGTGTGTTTAAAAACGTAGGCCTAAAAGTAAAGAAAAGAAGACACTGTCTAAATGGATGTTGACACTGGATTGGTATATTTCGTTTAGCTTTTCCCATCATAAAACATGTAGGGCACAGGTATCCTGCAACAAAAACCAAGCCATGCTGCATCCCGAAGTAAATGATGTTTGAATTCTGACGTCATTCTTTAGTGGGGTATTCCAATCATCCATATTGATGCTGTCTCTGATAATACGGCAGATAGGCGATGAGATTATGTCTTTAATGATACAAGCATGGCATTTGGCACATGAGAAAATTGCTTGTTATTCTACATAATCTTTTTCAAAGGCAAATCTGCGATGGCCCTATATAGCCAAATATCTTTCTTAAGACATACTCTGACTGTGTATGCTTGTATCATCAAGGGCACAATTCCCCCAAATATCTCCCCTGTCTGTCCAACTAGTTGTACAAATGTATCACCTTGATAAACCATTCTAAATGGCCCTAGTTTGTTGAAATTTTGTACAGTACCTGTAAGCGCGGATTGCAGACAGGCCGCCTAGAGTCTCCGAGAAATGGGCAAAGACTGGCGATTTGCTGGTGCTATCCAATCGCCGAATTTCTCTAAAAACGATGCAAAGAATATCGTGAAGTCACCTTGCTAACACGTCATGTCATCGGAGATGATGGACCGAAATACTTTAAATTTATGACATTCACAGAATGCACAAATAACGTATATTCTTGTCACATCACTTTAGTCTTATCCAAGTTATTTTCTAACGTTCTGGGGCCGTTAGGGTGACATTATGCAAGCCTTTTGAAATACATTGTTCTAAGTGCAGTTGAGTCTTCTAAGTCGCGGTCCAGTCTAGTCCCCTGGTTGACGTTGAGTATCTGTGTTTTTTTCGGATCTTTTTCATCTTGCCAAAACAATTTCTCCCTGTAGCACGACTAGGCTGCCTTTCCATCTGCCCACACATGCCCCCACAACTGAATCTTCGGTCAATTCCACATTGTCAGTGGGCGAGCTCGGCTCCATACACCCCCACCCATACACACACACACACACACGACACTCCCAAATAAGCTTGGTTGTAGATACACTGCAAAAACTGCAGTGTTAATTTAACACCATGCAGTATCTATATAGGACAACACCAGTAAAATTTAACTCCAGATGGTCCTATATAGATACAATGGTGTTAAATTTAACACTGCAGTTTTTGCAGTGTAGAATAATACATATATAGGTATACAAATACTAAGTTGCTTACACTCCCTTTAAAACCCCTTACCTCGATGTAGCCAGATAGTACTTCCGCAGAAAGTAGAAAACAACAGCTATCGGAAAGACAAAGACCAAAAACACGGGCAGGACAATGGCCACGACCACTACGGAAGAGAAGCACTGCAAAAATGATATGATTGTTCCGTTGAACGACGTAGACATTCTCTGTAAAAAAAACAAATAGCAAAGACACATTATCAATAGAAGCCTAAATTCTACTATAGTAAACACAAAAAATATCTGGGTATGACCGTTGTATTTCCTGTATAACAATGACGAACGGTATTTTAAATATGGGTATTCCTATAGGTATCTTAAGGTAAACATCATACGTTAAGGCCGGTGACAAAAGCCAGCAACAAAGAACTGACTCGTGGGAAAATGTAAGCGTTGCAGTCGAGTGCAAGTCTATCACGAATCCTCGCAAATCTTCACAGCGAGTGCTGTTAAAATGAACTGTTACGAAAAAATTCCATCCGCTGTTACAAGTGACTAGACATCTGACAGATTCGTCACTTGTGATCAGCGGCCAGCAGCCAGGGTTCTCACCATGGTGGTTGGGGGGGGGGGGGATTGGCGGGGAGGGGGGGGGGGGCTTGATGTTACAGCGAGGCGCCCAATTTCTGTCCAACCCGTTAACCATGGTCACTTATATGACTAAAATATTTCCAGGGGGACTGGGTTAGATTTTGTAGGGGGAAAAGCAAGAAACAAAACAAAAGAAATGTTCTGATGGCTATAACTTACGGCATCAATCTGCATGGTGTCATTCGAGAATCGGTTCAGTATCCTCCCAACAAGAGTTGTGTCAAAAAACCTACAAGTACACAAACAATATTTTTTTTTCTTTTCGGCAAGGCAGTGTAATTCAGTCATTTGGATTATCGTTTTTTGGGCATAGACCCTATGCGTAGCGGCCATCTTAGAGGTTGTTTGTCTTTTTAATTCAGTATAAACAATGAATACACAAAGCGTCTACTCGTGCATGTCCCAGTGGAACAAAGGTCGTGTCCTCTAAAATGACCGCTCTACGCTTAAGGTATATTCCAAATTGTACAGTGTATTTTTTGTCACAACCATGACCGTTGGTATATAAGCTGTTTTGCTATCACGAAATCTCATATAAGGCAACTCACAAGACGATTTAGCTTTTGATGCTTATAGAGGTTAACACCTGCTGACCACTCGCATTACACTCTATATTTCACCAAATTATCAATGCTCTACATTGCAATGTATCCGTGTTAAATTTGTTAATTTGGTGTGATTTCCATCGCTCAACTGACTTGATAGATCAAAATGTTCAGTAAACTACAACTCAAAGAGAGCTCTACAAACCTTAAAGGGGCACGTATGATATTCCGCAACATGTTCTGATGCAAGCGTCTAGCAGCAACCAAAAAGGACACAAGGACAGCACTGAATGCCATCAGTTGACACAAAACGCTGGCAATAGACAGCCCGACGTAGCCAGCCATGTACTGTGCTTCGGACTTCCCGCTCTACGAAATAAAAAAAATACGTGATGGGGTCCATGTGCACTTAGCAGTCATTAATAGTTAATAAAACCTAACTCCCTCGCATGATTTAATAGGAACCATACCCATCCTGGCAAATTCCAACACCATATGGAAACTGCACACATATTTCTGACTTGGATTCTGGAGGTGTGCCAACCCAATGTAAAATACTGTCAGTTTAGGGGTACTGTACCCATCCTGACAGATTCCAACAAAACATGCTGTTGGGGTTTGATGGGTTGAGTTCTGTTAGGGTTAATGTACTGCCGAAATATCACTGTATTTACTTAAGAACCAAATGCCGTTTTGCGACCATATAATTTTTAGAATTACATCGCATACTAACTTCTAACTGACCAACTCTACTTTGCTGAAGTCCAATAAAGAGGCTTTGTGCAAACATTACGTTACATCGAATATTGATGGAAGGGTAAGTCCAGGGCAATAGACCAAGAGGCCGCCCGCCCAAGAGATGGTTTGACTGCCTATCCGATGACTGTGACTTAAGATCGATTCCAACTGGTTATCAAGCCGGAAGGCTAGCCTGGACAGGAAAATTTGGCAACGCCTCATCATGCAGAAGCCATCCAGGGTGTTTCACCGGTGAGAACAGCTTAGGTCAAGGTAGGTCAAGATTACCTGTGCTGACCTCAACTTCCAAGCACTCGTGCAAACTGTTAATTACCCTAACCTGGTTAGACAATCCCGCTTCTGACCATTCAGACAACCAGAAATTGGTGACCAGAGCGGACGACGTTTGCATTGCGGCGGTTGCAAATATTAAGACCACCAGACCCCATCCCATGTTCCTCATCAGATACAGGTAATTCTTGAAAGAAACGGATCCTACAACCCGGTCTTCCTTCACTACAAGTTTTCCATCCGTCTTCCCCTTCTCTGGTGACACGATTGAGAGAAATCACACACAACATTTCAAAAAGTTACAACAACTGTACTGCAAGTACCCCGAAAAACGCTTTAGTGAAACTAGGCATCGATTGAACTTTCACGTGAACTTCAAAACATAACCCTCCATATTTGAAATAACAAGATGCTTGTTTGACTTGAATACTGATGGCATTTTGTACTTGGGGTAAAAAGGATATTTCACATGAACATCCGTTTCTGATAAGGCAAAATAAATTACACCGTTAGTTTGTCTAAATTGTCATAATTATAATGTACTTTTGGCGACGCTGTGCTGCAGAACATTCCGCTCTTCGTCGGCACTCTCTGCCTGTGCATCGTCCCATCCCACCGCTGACACCTGTTTGATCTCCTCGTACATCACGGGATCTGCTTTAATGATGTCATCCAGGTCACCCCGGGCAGCAATGCGACCGTCTTTTATTACGAGGATCTGAGGATGAGATGCACACTCCGACATTAGTAGGAGGGATAATTTTTGTTAAATGCTCGTCAATTGCTATCAGTGGAGGCTGTTAAGCCATTCGTCTTGCTTTGCAAACAGTTTCCTTTATAAAGCAAGCAGGTAATGCTCATATTCACTTTCTGTCCTCTTAAAGTTATCCGAATTTATATTTAGCAACAATTCATAAAGGATACACCAGTTAACACAAATACTGTATTCAATAAACCGGCATCTGAAGCGTATCTTTGCGTAGATCCAAATCCACATCCCATTCAAACAAAACATTACATCCCTGTCATTTTCCGCGTGCATTCTATTGAACCTATACATAGCACTGTCATTTGATAAAGGTAAAACTCCCTCATGTTTACTGATTTAGGTAAAGCAGGTTGATTCATTAAAACGTGTAAGCATCAAAATGTCAAAAGATCGATACTCTCTTATCTATCCATATCTCACAAGATCCGCTCTGCTGAGATATTGCAGCTGATGGGTCACGAGAATCACAGTTTTGTGGTTTGCAATCAACAGCTTCATGAGCCCTTCCTCAAAGAGTTGCCTGCCGACATGAACGTCCAGCGCGGACAGGGGATCGTCCTAGATAAAAAAAAGGAAAAGAAAAAAAAGACAAACACTCAGTTAGAACAAAAAACAATGGATGAAAAATTAGTCATCAAAGGAACCAAAATTAGAAGCTGACTAGGTTACTATTAATTGAAAAAGGCCTATCCTTTGACTTCGGTCAACCACTTGAGCTGTGTTGACATGCCCCCAAATTGTCAATGTCTCTTCTCAAGTTCGCTAGTCACCAAAAATTGTATGTTTCCATGTTGCTTTGGGTCAAGCCCAATGATGCTAGCAATATTGAATATGCCACAGACTTCGTAGTGAGTATAAGCACTTTTGATCAGCATTTAGGCTTGTAACGAAGGCAAAAAATGAACAAAACAAACTGAACAAAGTCCTACCAGTATAACGATATCCCTGTCCGAGTATATTGCCCGTGCTACGCTGACTCGTTGCTTCTGTCCTCCACTCAGATTGATACCTTTCTCGCCAATTTCGGTCAAATCTCCTGCTGGCAAGATGTCAATGTCTGGTGGTAAAGCACACGCCTCCAAGACATTGTTGTACCTTTAAAAATAATCATAAGACAAAACATTAATTAGTACACGACAAAGAATTGGAACAGAGGGAAAATTGGATGAACACATTAAGCAACTCCACAATTGGGAAAGTTTCAGAGGTATGGAGAGGATATTTGCTTTTCTATATTCGGTTCCGACTGAAAATTGAAGTTTACAAACTCATCAACTCAGTTCTTTGCCGATATACTCTCGATCATTTTTTTCCAAGGAAAATTAAACGGAAGCCCCATCTTCAGTCTTTCTACCCTGAACTATTTCAGCTGGTGACCCCTACCGACCTGAAATGCGCTTTTAACAATCTCCTGTAAGGGTTTTCGCCGGAATATCAAGTAATGTATACAAGGGAGAAAATTGTCTTGGTTTCATAAAATGTAATGCCATATTTTTTAAATGTAGAATGGCAATTAACTGAACTATTTGTTTTCTTTCGTTCACCTAAACGCAGACTGAAGTAACCACTATAAAATATGTTATCTAGGGCCTATTTGTTAAGTTACCGTTTGCTGTCCAACTTGGAAGTGAAAAGAATATTGTCCCTTAAGGAGGCATTCAGAAGCCATGGCCGTTGAGCTGCGTAGGCCATGCGGTCATATTGTCTGTGAAATGAAGAGAAAAGGAAAACATCTAAGAACTAATCTACAGTACAGGGACGGAGCCGGTGTTCTGTTTCACTAAACACGTTCCCTGCAGACGGCCGGATGAAAGATACCATTTAAAACATCGAAATCGTATTAGTTACTGAATAGTTGAATAATTTAGACAGCACTTTTATATTAACTCTATGTTTTCATTTCAAGCAAACACACCAAGAGCAACCCGTGTATAGAACTTAGTACGTAAAGTTGATAGAGTTCGAGTGTTATAATTATGTCCTAGAGTTATACCTACTCATTAATGGAGACATCACCCTTGACGGTAGTCATCTCCCCTAGGATGGCGGACAGCAGCGAGGATTTCCCGCTACCGACTTGCCCGATCACCATTGTGAGTTTGCCTGCAAATTGAAACGGTGATAACAATAAATGTGATTACTATGTAATATGGTACCAAACTAACATGTATCCCTTATTGTAGCTTTTATGTTTCTTACATGATTTAAACTGGACATTTCGATGGACTTGAGGGGAAGGACTGACTACTGAAGGATTTACTGGTATTTCAAGCATCATGCACTGCCATAACTGTTCCCTTCCTCCCGAGCAGTAAGTCACTGGCTTACCTGCTGGTATCTCCACATTGATGTCGGACAGAATGGGTGCGTCACTCTCAGGATCCCACGCAAAACTACCGTGTGTAATCTGAATGGAAACATAAATTGAGGCAACTGCAATGTCCGCATGTTTGATGAGATTTGAAGGTTTGCATGGTGGAAAGATATACTAAGTTAAGTTAAGTTTCCGGTGGCACCATGTGCTGCCGCTAACTTATCTTGACTTATCTTGTCTTAGTCCGTATGTTTGATACACGCTGCAGCTACCTGACATTTTTTTTTGTATAATAAAGCAAAAAGCAAACTTATATTTAATAATATAGTGCTAATGTTATTAACTACATATGCAGTTATTTTGTGCCTTTTGAAATAGTAAAGAGACCTTTAAAAGTTATTATTACTCAGATTATATGAAAACTGGCTAGGCCTTCTTTGGTTGGTACCCGGCAAGTGTATTCTATACAGTTCGCTCCTCATTTGAAACGATGCACACGGGGATTTCAGAAGCAGCCATTTTGTTTATATAAGTTTTTATGTCTTATCAGGAATGGAGTGCCTAACAAGACAATTTTGTAAGCATTTTTTTTAACTCAGAAACTTCATCGGAAGCACTTCAAACCTTCACAGCTATACCAGGGTCATCATTCCTCGATGCAACCGGCGTGGAGCTCCCGCCCTCTATCGATGAGTTAGCGCCCATTTGAAGCGCATCATCATTCGTGGAATCGGTCCGAGCTCCGATCGAAGTCGAACTTTTGTTGGATACCTAACACGGCAATAAAAATATATTTTGAAGAAAAAAATCACATTGAAATAAAACTGTTCGAATTAAGAAGGGAGCATTAGTTTGTTTGCATTCCAGCAAGTATTAAAAACTTGTCTCTGATAATGGACTATTTTAATATCGGACAAGGTATCGAAAAAGGTATAGAAAACTCTTCAGGAAATATACATGTATGTAGGTATAAAAGATTGCTTTGAAATATCAACAATCCTTCTAATTTCCTGTTGGGGTGATTGTGGGATAATGCACAATGCTTTATTTTGCGAATGGAGTAATTTTCACTCTTTGAGAAAAAAAATGAGAGCTCTATGTGCTCTCTTATTTCAAAAGACTAAAACTTCATCTTATTATTTAGAGAAAGTTTGCAATATCCGGCTGAAACAATGGAAAATTTACAGTTTAACTTATTAAATCCTATAGATCGAGTTTTCAATGGAGTTTCCGCTGGAGGGATTATTTATACAAAGTATTTCAATCTAAATTTACAGTGATTGTTATTTCTAATCAACTCTTTAAATAAAAGAATTACCATTTTCTTCCTAGAGTAGGGCCGACTCTCTTGATCCCATTCCACAGCAAGTGAACGGTCCCCCTCAATCTCAGGCGCCAGGAGGAAATTCAGCAGCCGCTTTGTGCTCACCTTAGCGCTTAAGAAAGCCGAGAGGGACACGGGGATGTTGAACAGCGGGAGGATGATTTGGTTGAAGAGCGCCAGCGAGGCAAATGTGATTGAAGGAGTCAGCGGCATCCCGTTAAGAGGCGCGTAGGTTGTAAAAGCCTAAAACGGTTAAATAAAGATAATACACTCAACCGAAAAAGAAAGTCCCCCCCCCCTCCCTTCCAATACTTTTCTGTCTAACTCAAAAATTACTGAGCACATCTCGCTCAAATAACGACTAATCAGTACAGAAATTCCTTAGCAATCCACACATACTCTTTGTTTGGCCAAAACAGTGATAATGTGAACGAATTTATGCAATTGATGACAAATGATGTATTAATTTAATTATTTTTATAATAAAGAACAAACAATTATTAAGTTGATAATAAGCAGGATAAGTTCTTTTCAGAACTAAGATCTTCTAAGCAGTAGTTATTACCACATGGTGTTACCGCAAACCGAAACGATACCGAAACGATATAAATCATATAATAATAAAGAAATCAGTCATGGTCAGCACCTCTTCAATTTCCCGGCAGAGGTGGAAATTAACCAATTCGGGCACGCCATCAATTCTATCACGAAGCATAAGGCCTTTTCAATGACGAAAGTATTGCGCTAGCTATTGTGCAGATAATCCGTCACGGGGAAGTTGGTTTGAACAACGGTAGCGTGCCCAATGGTTTCTCCAGTGACGGGACCGGGCCGCGTAATTTTTATTCCTAGGAGGGTTAGGGGCAATGTCATGAATAATTCAGTTTTTCCTTTGAATCGTTGCAAGACTTAGGTTCTCGTTCTATTTTCCCTTTAATTTAAAATTATCTCAGTGATAAATTTGGAGAAGAAAAATAGCTGATGAAAATGAGCAGCGACGACGTGGATTCGAACCAGGGATCTTTGTATCCATAGCTCATCTCGCTATCCACTAGGCTACTGTGTGGTAGCTCGACGACAACCGTTCTTTAAAATGCTTTAATGTATTGTAACTAGTTGAGTAACTAACAACAATGCTGTTGATGTCATTGTCCGTTCTCATGGATAAACATGAATTATTCATGACATTGCCCCTAACCCTCCTAGGAATAAAAATTACGCGACCGGGCCTCGTGCGTGTACAGTGATCATATGCCTGGATTCGTCTGTACCGATGATGTTATATAATTATCTGTGACAAAATGCTTAACTCACCACTAACGTGACTAGCATAGGAAACCCCAGCGTCATAAACACTGTAAGCAAAGACAATATCAATGGAAACTTGTGATGAGAACCGAAACCCTAGAATTGTCATCATGAACAGGATATTTTGCCACTTGTGTATTTTCATACCAATACTTCCATACATGAGCCGAGCATACTGGCATACTTGAGCCGAGCTGTGTTTCCGAATCTAACCTGAAAGGTTTGGGCTAAATTCACATTCTCTACAGAAGTGTTATCTTTGTTCAACTCTTATGAACTAAGTACACGCTTTGTCCTGGTTTTGGTCGATAAGTGTGGATTTTAATGCAATAGAAAGCTGCTTGTCCTTAATTAACCGAATTGTGGCTAACTTTCAAGCTCTGAACACACTGTTCGGCCTAGTTTTGAAAAGTTTCATAATTGGTCAAGCACCGTAAAACGTCCCAGCTTAGAATTGAGGTGGGTTTTTTTTTCTCGGAGACAAACATTTAACAGAATAATCTCATGCCTTTAAAATAGTGTTAGTCGGTTACTAATGCGGTTGTTTATCTGAAATATCTGTAAAATGTAGTTGTTATTGCTAAAAAAAAAAAAAAACACAAGGTAGGGTAACAAGCTGTCAGGCAATGTTTTTTCCCCATCAGTTATTGCTTTATAATAAACCGGGTAAAAATGGTCAAAACAAAATAGAAGAATTTGTCCCAATGTATATGCAGTTAGCATGTTGACCAACATTGGCTAAAATACCAAATATTTTCCCGAACTGTTTTAAGTGTACATTGTAAACTATTTTATTTTTAAATAAACTTGTTAGCAACTGATTCATTGTTCTTATTTTAAACGTTTGATTAATAACACTTAACAACAGAATAATGGCCAACATAGAATGGGATCTCGGAAAATGTCTATAAACCCAGGGCCATGTTGTTGTGCAGATCTTCTCCTTGAGTTTACAGATAATAAAGGCCAAGATTGAAAAAAGTAGCACAATTTTGAAATGGACGGAAGTGAATTTAACAACGAAAATGCATTTAATATCCTTTACTTTCTTTAGAGCTTTCTTATACTTACGTGATGTAATGGTACACATATTGATCTGGAGCAGGTACATCAGCTCTTTCTTCCGGATTTTCTCGACGGCTTTGCAGTAGAGCATTTCCCAGGCGTACATCTTCAGGAGCTTAATCCCTTGGAGGAGCTCATTAGTCAGCTTCAGGCGTCGGTCCGAACAGCCCTTTGGAAAATTATTGAAATCGTTGAGAATCGTCTTCATTTGTCAAGGGCGGAATAGTTTCAACTAGTGTTTTGTTAAGTTCATCAAAAGTCCGGTCAGTGGCGGCGCTACGATCCCCCCCCCCCCAAAAAAAAAAAAAAAAAAATAATAATAAAATTAAAAAAAAATAAAAATTCCACCAACACTTTTTCAACAAATACATTAATTTTCTTTACTGTTAAGATTCATTAAATGTGGACACATTTTGGGCCAATGAAAACATTACAAACATTGGTACTTTGGTCGACAAGACACGCCACACATGCATTTATACAGCTGTAGATAGTGACCAGCCAACGTCTTTGTGCATTAGTTATACATGTGTTCTACACCATTCCGAGGCTTGATACATTTCTCATTCAAAAATATGACTCTTCTAAGTTGCTCTAGTGGCCTATTTGCCGACCATTGACAATGGTCACACGTGCGTTCACAGGCGTTAAGTTTATATTTTGACACCTCCCAAAATATTTCCTTCCCCCCCCCCCCCCCCCCATTTTAGAGTCGGGCGCCGCTACTGGTCAGAAGTGAAGCAGAAGTCAATTCACATGTCCTATCATCAGAAATAGTGGTTAAACAATGAAAAAGCAACACCTTCGTCACTCTCCATATTTAAATAGATTGTGATTTGACTTTGGAGTAGATCACTTTGATTAACTTGTGAAGACTTCTGACGCTGCTTCTGGAAAATCGAAGTATTAAACAACACCGGCTGCTAAGTTTCCAGAGCATTCACTATACAGTCACAAAATTAATTAGCCATCACTGAGATACTTGTCGAAAGGGTTTTTCTCAACTGCGCGGGAAAATGCCAACAAAGAAGTGACGACAGTTTAAAAAAAATAATGCAGACAGAAAGGAAAGGAAAGTCAAGCTTTTACACACCCTGATAAGTCAGTAGTTCATTCAAAACAACATGCTACAGTTTCTGAGAGTGTACGTTTGAAAAAAAATAGACCTTTATAGTAATATAGTAATGTAACGTAGGATATAGTGATGTAACAAAGCAATTGCACAGTAAAATTTAAATTGGTGCAACTTACCAAACGGGCCTTCTGCTTTTTAGCGAGAAGACCAGCAACTTTGACCTGAATCGGCAAAACAATGATGAACAGAGAGGAGCCGAGCAACGCTGAAAACCCTATTTGGAAATACAGCAACACCAGCACGCTGGCTATCTGAAAGGTCAAAGAAACATGGACACAATTATTGTAGACTTCAACAACACTTCAAATCCCCTGTACAATTCAAAACACTTCAAATCCTCTGGTCTGTTTTTCATTTTAATAAAAAAAGTAAATTACTCAATTGGTGAATATTATTGAACCAAAAGTTAATTCCCTGATATTATATTAATGACAAAGACCCTGCACCGTGAAGCACTGAGCCTTATACAGTGGAACGCCGCTATGATCCACGGAAAGTGTTCGTAATAACGATCGTTCGGTATAGCGATTGAACCGCCGGTACCCTCTTTTGACCAATACTGAATATCTGACGAGTATTTTTTTTCACAAAGCCAATCTTATATTATGCCAAAGTCAGTTTATTATGCCAAGAATACTTTGCTACGAGTCACGCTTTTGAAATGTCTGCTGCAACCCACGCTTCACAGCCACAACTGATTGCAGCAAAAATCCCTTGTCAAAATACATTTGTAATTAGGTGCAAACAAGGAATACGACAAACCTGAAACGGAGAGGACCAGAGAATGTTGCAGGTGACCACGGCCTGCATGATATTGGCCACATCAGCCGACATGTGATTGGCAATCTGTCCCATGGTCATGTGACCTCCCGTGGTTGTGAACGCAGCCAGTCGAAGCGCTTTGTCGTAAATCATTGCCTGAAGAACAGAGAGAATAATATCACTGAAACGTAGAAGATTTCTGGAAAATATATGTTTGAGTTTACATCACAAAACTGGGTTTTTTTTTGCTGTTTGAAACTCCATTTTCGCACAGATTACAGAATTTGCTTGCAATATAAGCTTTCATTTGATTGATTGATTGATTTGGTTTATTGCTATTTATATACAATGGAATACAATAGAAAGTGTCGTGGTTTTCGTGCAAAAACCCCCCATCAAATTACATCAAAACTTCATACATGTGTATTACAAACAGTTGTTCGTAATCATCCCAGCATATTTTTTAAGGTGTAAGGAATTTAATGTTCTTGGGAGGAAAATGAGGTGAACAAAAACCACTTGCAATTTAATAAAATGAAATTAATTTTCCAAGTCTCTTTTTATTTTCAGGGAGCTTGAACATCATCTTTTAGAAAAGAGCTTACAGTGCACATTAATAATCAGGAAGAAACGTTGTGGCCAAAAAAGAGCGCTCCATTTTGCACAATTTATTGTGATCGCATCGCAAGTCAATCACAGCATCAAGCTTTAAGTGAAGTCACAACCTATATTCAAATGGATAAATGGCACAAGCATATTCCTTTGTTGTTGTTTATCCCGTAAGTGACCTGAATTGTGATTGAACTTGTGATGGACTGTCACTCTGGCAGATTCTCACCTGAAGTCCCGCGCGGATGTTTCCACCCTCCAGTTGCACATTAGCGCGATACATGTGGAGAACGCAGAGACGCATGACCAGCTCAATGAATAATGCAGACACTAGGACAAAGCCGTTCTCAAAGAACTCTCCGATGGTCACATAATGAGGTTCCTTCTGTGGAGAAAAATGTGTACAAAGATTTACCAAATTTTCATAAAACTTGGATTTTTTTCGTATGTTAATGAAAATAAATCAAAAGACTGAGCCTTACTAAATTGACACAAACGGTACATTTCAATGTTGTTACGAAGTCATCCATTTCAAAGTACTGTTGCAGACCGCAAGTAAATATGAGTGACAAAACATAGGAGCCATATAGACAAGGTAGCGAAAATTATAATTGCAATTATGGTAAAGTGTACACTTTCGCTTCAAGGATTGCACTCAAGAATTACCCCCCCCCCCCCCCACCTACAAAAGAAAGAGAGATGGTGACAATTAACACAAAAAGTCCACCTCAACATACAACGTTTTCGTGTCACCTAATCGGCTAAAAGGCTTGAAAAGTCCAATAAGAAAAGCTCAAAACCTTCACTTTTAATCAGCCATGACATACGGGAGACTTCCTAAAACTGTCATACATGTCCATAGAAACTACTTGTTTCTGAGACTAGCGTACGGGAGCAACGTCGATAATTTATAAATATAGTGAGTATTTATAAAGCGCACATATCCACCAGGACTGGTGCTCAAGGCGCTACATCATTATTATTACCCCTGCTCATTGGGCCCATGAAACATTCCAAATACCATCTCAGCTCCCTGGGGAGTATACAGCTCGATGCAGCCTGTTAGGTGCAAGGAAGCTAATTCAATCCCAATAACCATCTCTGCCCTCACAGGTACCCATTTACTCCTGGGTGGAGAGAAGCAATGAGTGACAAAGTGCCTTACTCAAGGGCACACGCACCATGACCCCAGGCTGGACTTGAACCCACAACCTGCAGCTTTACCAGCAGACCACGAATCCAATACCCTTAACCACGAAGCCACACCACTCCACCAATTTAGATTAGTTAACAGGTATGGAAGTAATACCAGGCCTATTAAAGTGTAAACGTTTTAGTTAACCTGGATCCCATCCTCTGGGTATGCGATTGTAACAACGTAATAGGTCAGACCACCGACGCACAATGGCCCAATAACGTTCAGCAGGTCGGCTATCAGCTTCAGGACGGCGGCTTGGAGCACGGCAGATCCGTGTGCAGCGATGAACACTTTCGCCATTGAGGGTCTAGAGTTATTTCGTAAGGCCCTAGCCTGAGCGAAAATGAAAAAAATAAGATACGAAATTTACTTATTAACATTTTTTTCAACATCTGTTCTAGTCTATGATCATTTTTGGGGGGGCTTCGGGTATTCGATAACCAGTTAAGTAACAACGAGAAAGTTATACTCAACATTATTCCCAACGTTTCTCTGCGAAAAAAAAAAATCAATTCGGAAAAAAAATGAATAATTTGAAAGAGCTCATATCATATTGGTTTACACGATAACTCCTACACTGCAAAAACTGTAGTGTTAATTTAACACCATTCGGTATCTATATAGGACAACACCAGTAAAATTTAACACCAGATGGTCCTATATAGATACCAATGGTGTAAATTTAACACTCCAGTTTTTGCAGTGTAGCAATGACCAATGACAGCAAGGACTGTAGGCGGCAAATATACTGCATCTAGCATTGTACATGTACTTGTCGCGTTTAGGGAACAAAAACACGGGCAATCGATAAACTAAGGAATTGTGATTGTCGTCAACTGGTCAGCAGTACCTTATGGTACCTTATGACAGAACATGCCGTATACCTTTTCTCTATCATATGCTTCTTTTAGCCGTTTGTGGTTGCGATGGGCTTGATGTCTCTCCGGGATGTCACCCAGGTCAACGTGTTCCAGCGGCTTCTTGTAGCCTTTCGCGAACACCCAATTCATCCACCAGTAAGTTGCCTTCGACACCAGGTTCACGTAGTGGTGCACGAAGTGCATGTTGCTGTTTTGAAGATGTTCGTTGATGCTGCTCCAACCTCTGCGCAGAACCTGTCAAGAAGATAATAATTTCAATATCGGCTATATGTATAATCAGGGTTCGCCCCTAACCTTTTTTTCACCAGCCTGACGAACTAGTGAAACAGACTCTTATCTTGTCACCGGGCCTTTTCACTAGTCCGCAATAGAACCTTTTTTTCACCATAAAGTCATGAACAACTAGCAAATATTTTTGCTAGTATATCTTTCTTTAATCTCGTTCCTGTAATTGGCGGTTCTCCGCTGTTGGATGTTGTTAATTAATAAATGAATGAAAAAAAATACAAGCCTACTGCTCAGAGTGATTTTGCACAACAGCTACAACGAACTGTGGGAAGTGAAAAGGCAAAATCTAGACCTTTCTTCCTCCCACAATACTTAGTATTTCCATGGAGGCAGGAAAACATATTCCACCATTGTGTTTCCCATAAGGCTTTATATATCGAGCTGATTATGCAAAACCGGTCACATATACAAGTGTATCTAGCCAAGCAAAACAAGCAGCTAGCAGGCTATATGTATACATGTAGTCATGTCCTTTTGCATGATGGATATCCATGTTCTATAGTTAAGTTAGCCTCATGCGTCCAGGCAATTTATACAGGGTACGGAATGGTTTTCAACATTAGTCTGTATACTGGGTGCACTGAACTCACCTTGATTCTGACCAAATTTATCTCCAGAAGGAGGAGGGCACTATAGAAAACTAGCATGATCACTGTCAGATCAAACCGAAAAACTTGAACATCAACGAGCTCCTGGTTCTGGAGGTTAGCTAGGCGAAGTGACTCCCCGATCAATGCCAAGATCCAGTAGATCAGCAGCAAGATGGACATTGAAGGTATCTGCCACAGCTCCATGTGATGGTAGTAGACGAGTGACAGGACCATGGCAATGAAGGCAGCGGCACTGGGGGCGTAATAATGGGGTTGGGTTGACTGCTGCCATGCCCGGTACGTCTCATCCGTCAGAACTCCCTCGCCGATGGCTGCGGCCAGTACGATCAACGACCCGAGGCCTATCAGCCACCGCACTGAGTCATGAAGGCGATTGCCGGGAGAGCACACCGCGAGTCCTACGCCAAGGTAGTCGGCATTCACTTTGTTTTGGAAACACCGAAGCAGAACCAACGCAAGGGAGAATACTACGATGAAGGAAATGTGAGGGATTGTTGACACACCGTGCACGAGGCATGAGTCTCCAATCCACACATCGAGGTCATCATGGTTCATGTCAGTGCTGTTGGTTCCGCAGAACCATTCCCATTTCCCGTACATGACCGTTTTCTGACTAGGCCTAAGCCTGTTGCAAGGCGAACTGATCCGTCTAGCAGTTATGTTTTGTATGCTTCTGCTTCTACTCGTGTACTGTACACAACGCCCTGTTGGACCAAGTTGTTGGACCCCGTTGTGTCAAGTTGCACTCATCCGCTGTACTGTGTACACTCGTGATACGTGACAGAATGCAAACCTGGGCTACGTAGTCACATGCTACACGTGTTTTAGAATAGCGCCATCAAGTGTTGACGACTTCGCTTTACGTATGGAGTGCACATTTAACATTAAATCCCGGATACAATAGAGACATCTCTATAATAGAGATATCTGTAGAGATATCTGTAGACGTACAGTGGCGTACGGGGACCAGGCGAACGGGGATGACTAAAATCACAAAATTGCCCAGCCATGGAAATTCGGGAAAGGGGGGGGGGGGGGTGCTTGGCTTCCTGGACACCACATGACACCAGGGGCGCTGTTCATGACACAGTAAGACTATTACCATTTGGCCAGCGAGGATGATATTTTATATGTAAATGTACTCGGTCTAGTGCATTAAAATTTAATTCTAATTAGAATACATTATACATAAGTGTGCGAACTCTGTATCTGGCGCATTTGAAGTTTATCCTACCAGTCTTACTAGACGTGTTTGAAAGTCCTCTGTTGATTACACCTAACAATGTTGAAAATGTTGCTGATCTCCACAGCCCTGTACATTGCGGTGTACTTGAAGGGTTGTAGCTCAGCCAAGCATCCAGACAATGTAAGTTGAATTCAATATATTTATTTTTTGCATAATCGAGCCAGTTTCGAAAGCACGTACTGCTTTTTCGATATCCTTCAAACCTACACATGTAAGTCTACTTTCGACATAGTGACAATTCACACTATTCGAGTACTATTCACTAGATCTGATAGGGACAAGACGAGTTTGAACGATATGCATTCAATCGAAACGCTTACAATCGAGTTTTCACGACGGGTTCGACTGATCTGATTCCGCTTCAAAATATTTCATTTAACTTAACGCAAGGGCAGATCCAGAACACAATTTTTTTTCGTAAACTGAATGGGATAAAAGCGAGTAAACATGTTCGTATTTTGTTGTCATTTCAGGAAGATGAAGTGCGATATAGGCACAATAAGCAGGCACAAGCAGGTATGTGTTTCACATTTTATGTTTAAATGTGTCATGACGTGTACTCCTTTATACCTCTGGTTCTTTTCAGAACCATTCTCTTAGTTGAGAAGTTATTCGCACATGGTGTTTCCGCAAACCTTTAATTATTTAGTATCTCCACCATGCAAAGCCTCAAATCTTACTTGACGTCAATATATACTTTGGAAACATCATAATAGCTCATTAGAGTTATATCGAGGCAACAAAACATGTTGACACTGCCAAGATAACTTGGGATAGAAAAACAGTAGTTTTCCATATCTCGAGAAGGTGCACAGTCTTGTAATGCGCGAAGGGTACTTGTGTTTTTGAGGGAAAGTTTTGCATTACAAAATGAGAAGACAATTTTATTTGCGCGATCATATGCTTTAATATGAATACGCTTTGTTTTCATCTAGAGAGGCACATCTATAACCGCGAGAGGGGCACATTTGTTTGCCTTGAAAAAAAATCTGGGGTTAAAATCCCCCACCCGGTTCCGCCACCCCTGGTTCCATGTTATCATGGCAGCTGCCGACACTATTGATGTGATGTCATTAAAAGGACCCCGAAGATACACGTAGCTATTCAACTGAGTGGGATTCTGTTCAAGCTCTGCTCATGTAGAACATGTGTGCATAAAGTTCGCTCATTTTAGTTACACTGGAGTTTGAACCGTGAATGGCATCACGTTGAGTGACATGAATATTGCAATTTTAATCTTTATTTTTTTTTACCGGATAACTAGCCCATTCAGTGGAATCCACTGATCTCACATGGGGTACAGAAAAGAGAAGACAATGTGAAGAAATTACCATATTAAATTTGCATTAGCATCAACCAAAACTACACAAAAACACCCTTGAACATTTCAAATAGGCCTATGAAGATTGAAGATTTACGTTAAATGGAACCCGCAAAAAAATGCAGGTGCAGGGATTGCATCCAAAATGAAATATCATAGAATCTAGAACATCATATTCTAGAGATGTGTAGTAAACATTGTTTTTTTTCCCCAATTTGCTAACACAGCACGCCAAGCATCTTACGAGCCACGTGTATGGATCGGTAAGTATAAACACGGATCATACACATAGACTATAGGGGATATTTCAAAAAATATTACACGAAGCGGCATTTTCGAGTACAAGTTGGTATTATAGCTATTTTACTCAATTTTGGGGTGCTAAATCCGAAAATGATGGTTACCAAGCTGGATTTTAAGTGGAAATATGCCTAATTTGCATACATCTTTAATATCTGTCGTGTAATATATTTGTTCCCATATTTTGGTATATTTCTTTATTATTATTTTTTTTTGAAAAGTTTATTTTGGTGATTCTTCTTACACTTCCTGACTTCAATAGCATTTTCTTAAGCATATTAATGACTGAATGATTATGAAGACATAGTAACAATTCAAAATGGCTAATATTACACCCTAAAGTTGCGCGCATTTACCTTGTCGCCAGATATCGTCAAGTGGTGTTAAATGTAGTGATTTCGTATAGGTATATAATTTTTGGATTTTTTTTTTTTTGGATTTTCTGTCTGAAATAAGCGAAAAGGAATGTAGAAAGTTTGTACTAAAAATACAGATTGTAAGAGACATGTCTTTAGTGATGGCACGCTTTGCAATGGGTCTACTGGAAGCGGCATGCGCCCTTCGCGATCTCGTTTTAAAAAATACACTTCGCTTTTCCCACTTTTTTTTTAAATACCCCGATCAAACTCAATGTGGTGCCTTTATGTTTAGTTGCAGTTTAAATATTGTTTTCCATAAGATACCAGCAAATGTCATATGTTTTTGCATACGTAAAAACAATATAGTTTTATCAGGTACCCGACGTGAATATATGAATGACAGATACTGTATAGATAATACATGATGCGTACAAATTTTCTCTTCGTGGCCGACCTGCAATTATAATATGCAGATACGCAAGGACAAAACCAGATGGACCGGACACCAAACGTCACAGCATGTAGGCAAGACTTAAAGGCTATAGACAACGCTCATCAATTTGAATTTTATCTTTATCGCCCGACCTTCGATATGCTTTAAATAATTAATGTCTCTCACCTTTACTTCGGAACAGTGCAAAAGATGTCAGCGGGTTACCTATTTTTAAATATTTACTAACACATACGTTATGAAATGTATATCCTTGTGGAGACATTTCTCTGTTCTCGTGTAGTAAAGTTTTTGAATTTGAAAGTGTAGTTTCAAAATGCTCTTATTTTAACCAGAATTAATTTCCTTGGCTGAAAATTCGGACTTAATATCCCTTTTCTAAAACTCTTCATTGCGACGGATCAACCCATCACCTTAGAAATTCCTGTTTTTTGAGTAAATCCATATATCTATGTTGAAAAGCCTTGTGGAGACGTATTCATCTATAGAAATTGCCCTGTGGAGACGTATACAATCTTTTAATCCCCATTGTGTGCATGTCTCCAGAGGGCACGGTGTATCAGATCGACTTTGTGATTATCATGTAAATATAAATGATTTGGCATCTTATCTTCTTGGGTACAAAAGGAGGCAACGAAAGACTGAATTTTGGATTGTTAGGATACACAAAGAAGCCAGTTCAAATTCATTGGCCTTTGGAGTAGGGGCATGCGGAACACCCTGCAGATTGGACACTGTAACATCAGGATGATGACAAGGGCGGATCCAGAACACAATTTTTTTGGGGGGGGCCAAAAAAAAATTTGGTCCCCCCAAAAAAGTGGGTCCAAAAAATTACGGCATGGGGTTCGGGGCCCGCTTAAGGGCCCCGAATTTTTTTTGGATTCTAGATGCTCTGTGGTGCGATCTGAGACAATTTCTGACCACTTTAACCAATGTTTTTTTGAGGAAAAGATGGTGGTGTACTCATTGCCTGCCTTTATTGCGTTGTCACAAAAAAACAAAAAATTGGTTTCGTTTTTTATTTGGGGGGGGGGGGGGGCTATGGCCCCCTTTGGCCCCCCCCCCCTGGATCCGCCCTTGGATGATAAAAAAAAACACTCGAGCAAACAAAATCCACCTCAGAAACAAAACTTTTTGAAGACTTCGGGAAAGGAAAGCAGGAATATCAGGCCCCTCCTTTTTTTGTGTATTTGGAGGACACAACGGAGGGAGCTATCTTAGTTGGGGTCAATTGGGAGAAACAGAAAACGTGTGTCAAACTAATCGATTTCCCTTGTACATTGTGCGGCATATCTTAAGAAGGAAAGAATTGCACTGAAAAGAGAAACGAAGAAAGAAGCAAAGTCATTTCTACCACCTTTTTTTTTTATCACACCCATCCTATTTCTGACAACTCAGGAAAGTAGGAGTGTAACATTATATGAATGCGGGAAGTTTGAAAACAAATACAAGGCTACTTTACGGGAATATTAAGGAGGCATTTTATGTGGTGTTATTAGCTAGATGAAAACCGCGAGCGAGGTATAATTGCAATTATTCAAACGGCGTTGAATATAGCATTAATATTATGACGAGGCCCGACACTAAGGTTAATATTATTTCGTTTAGGTGTGTTTTTTATTTTTCTTGTGGGTTGATCAACACCCAATCTTCCCACTGATTCGTTCTACCGTGGTTTCAAACATTGCTATCAATCTCATTACAGATAACGCACCGGACTGCCAAGCCGATGCTTCCCACTGCCAACATTTCGGCTTGGAATACGTGCGCAGCGACACCATAAGCGAGCTAGGTCACGCCTGTGAGGGCGGCACCAAAGTTATGTGCACTCTACCGAACGTGACTCCACTCGCCAACCCAACTGCCGTCAACACCCTCAAGATCATCTCCTACAACATCTTCGAACTGCCTTACAGTGCTATACAGAGTGGTCAGCGAGAGCGCACCTGTCGCATCCCTGCTGAGATCTTCAAGCTTCAACCTGACGTTGATGTCATCGTCTTCCAAGAGGTGTTCCTGGGCGGATGTATCGTCACTGATGACGACGCTACTTCCCTGACTTTGAGGCAGATCCTTCGAGCCTATGGCTTCGTCCATTTCACGCAGACCGTGGGGGACCATGAGCCAAAGACGCTTCCTAAAATGTTTAATGGCGGGGTCTTTATCGCTTCGCGATGGCCGATTGTGACCGAGACCCAAAAGGTCTTCGTAAACTACGACACTGTCTCGATTTATGAAGCCATGCTAGCCAAAGGGGTCGTTTACGCAAAGGTCAAGAAAACCAACGCAGGGTTAAGCAAGAATTATCACATCTTCGGCACCCACATGCAGTCAAGTGAGCTGCCCACATCTGTGAGCGTGAGACTTCTTCAGGCTGGTGAAATCTACGAATTCATGCAGCAGCAGAAGATTCCAGTCGACGAACCCGTCCTGCATGCTGGAGATCTGAATGCGAACAACATCGGTAAACCGGAGCACGCACAGGCAGTGTTTGACACTCTGCAGGCAACTTTGCCACTGTTACGCGGAGTCCTCCGAATCACATACGACTACCAACACAACGACTTCATTGAAGACACTGATCCGGCGGAATTCCTGGATTACATCCTCTTCTGCCGCCTTCATGAGCAGCCGACCAACAGCGCACTTGAGGTGTTTCGACCGCTGATCCCTGATCCCCTGGAAATCTGCAGAGGAGATATCCCGTATGGATCGTTCATGTATCCAAACGATCCCGACTGCCCTGCAGTGAAGACGGTGACGGACCTGTCTGATCATAATGCCGTACTTGGTGTGTTCACCTATCCACAAAGTAAGTCGAATAGCTGAAGTAAAATATTATACTCAAAGACAAATAAAAGAACACAGCTTTAAGTTCCGTAAAGTATAAGCGCAGAAGCTAACAAATTAAAATTAAAGCAAACAGGAAAAAACCAACAACTCCCAGTATTTCTTTAACAATTTCTACAGCATGTATAAATACATGTGGAAGCGACTCTGCCTTCGAAATATAGCTTTTCCCGGCTAATTTCCTGAAATGTTCATTCACTTCTAAAAATCGGTCATTCGTGTTCGTCTGAATTTGAATGCTCGTTTTTAATCCCATTTCAATTCAACGAAAGTTCAATCATTTTCATTGTCCGTGCATTCAATTTTAATAAACAGACGACCAATTACGTTTCAGATGCATTCATTTACGCAAGCAAACATTTTCTTAATTGATTTCAGGTACAGCTAATTTAATTGACGGTTTATGAAAAAGAAAACCCTTAATTTTATCTGGTGCCGATGGTATTAAACTAAAGGTGAAATGGAATGGTGAACGTTTGAAATCTTCCTCTAAAAGCGAAAATGAAGTCTTGTAAACGAATCCGAATGGACATTAACGAAAGTTGCTGCTCAATCACTCAATTGATTGAACTGAAATGGAATCGAATGCTCTGGTAGCGAAAATTAACGCGTGTCCAGAGCAATTCTCAAATTCAGACGAAAATGAATGACCGATTTTCAGAAGTGAATGACTATTTTTGAAAATTGGCCGGAAAACCTATATTTACTGTATGAATGAGATGTTATATACCTTTTGACATTGATAATAGGTACCTCATCGGGCAAGTTCGTACTCACACGATCCAGTGGTGCCAAGAAGCAAGATATTGAATATTAAATCGTTGCGTGTATGAGTTACATCGCAGACCGTGGTAAAACGCTTAACACCAAGAATAAAGGCAAAGGCAATCTTCTTTACTATTTGGACTGGCTTTTTTCTTCACAATTTCTTTTTAAATGTCGGTTTTAAATATGGTGTGTATTTAAGCTTTTTAAATAATAATACGACATGTTCATAGATATGCGTACATTAATGCTTTGAAATCGACCCGATGCCTAGTGGAGGGGGGGCAATTTGCAACCTCGTGCGTACTACCGCACAGCAGACAACAATTGTATAATGCTTGCAAGTGCATGTCCGCAACTGTACATATACATCAACATGAAAGCTTGTTTAGGAAGTATTAAAAACAATGGACCAGTCAGTTTAGAGTGTACTAATACGGGGAAATTAAGTTTGGCATTCAGAAATGTCTTGTTAATATTCTAGGGAATATTGAGATGAACGATTTCCGATAATAAACGGAATATTTGCTTCCAATATATGTTTAATCATTGTTTGCTCAACAAATTTGAGATTACTACAATATTCTTTTTAATAAGTCTGTATCAATATCAAAATAATTAGATTTTCTCATTATAAAAAAAGGCTCACACCATAATTTGAAATAGGATTTTTAAAGCGCAGAACACACGGGAAATTTGATAAATTTGGAAATAAAAGACTGTTAAATGCATTACAGCAACTGAAGAAAAAAACTACACGTTTGCGAGAACGTCGCAACGATGTCTCACATATTAAGGATGGAGCATAGTATGTGAAGCTATATAGGTTAAAACGAAGGTGTTAAATCCTGTCACATGGGTACTTTTTAGAACATTTCTTAGGTAAAAAGCAAAAGTTTCGTTTCAACCCTATTGACTCTTCAATGTACAGGGCGAGTCAGAATTATTTATACCCAAGTTCACCTTGAGTGTGTGTGGCAAATAGAGTATATTGAGAAAAAAACCTGAGTGTTTTTTAAGAATAGTTATTACCTTGTCTTCCACAGGAATTTCGAATTGTTCACATTAGTGGTAAATAATTATGTCATTCGCATTGAAGTGGCTCATTTTCCAGTCTGCACACGGAATTGGTTTTGCTCCTTTTTTTAATGTGTCAATAACTTCAAGTGAGTCAGTCACCATGACTAGGTTGCTATTTGTTATGACACTGCTTCATTAAATTTGTTGAACCATGGAACCGGGTTCAGAGTGTTTTTATCGTGTGTTCTTTGCTAGCGCTTTTTTTTTCAAAAAGGTACAATGGATGTACATGAAATTATCACCAAATATGTTCAAAATACCAGCTATAACATATCTCATTTGAACTTGTTTTGATAATTTCTACATTTTTTTTAAAAATTATTTTCTTTTACTTTGTTCCAGATCATTCGGAACACATATGTTCCACCTCTTTGAGGTGTATAAAGATAATAATAACTACCATTTTTTTTTAATATCATGGATATACGTAAGGTGACTTCATACAAACAAATGAGTTTTTCTCCCCGAAGATTGAAAAAAGGGACTAGACGACATGGGGTGTACAAAATCGCTTTCATTTCCGATTGAAGTCATTTTAAACAATCACTTGAGCGAATACTCCCTGCATTCGATTGAACGAATTTATCTCCAAATCGTCCTGGCCCGAATTTAATTTGAATTGAGTGAATTTTCATTCGAATAGGGTGCATTTCCACTTTCAAAAAAATACATACACGATAATCAAATGTAACAAATATTAATATTGGAGTGCAAATATCTATCGCCAATGCTTCCAAAAACTTGAGCTTTTTAAACAAATACGCTGCTGCATCTCAGTTTTCAACCATGCGACTGATCGACAAATTCACACAAAATCAACTTCCCCCAATAAACCCGATACCCACAAGCGCTGTTCTTTCAAATTACTTCCGTCACTAACTCCGAGTTATAAATACAGTCCTCGAAAAAAAATGGTTGAAACATTCTCTGGTATTTCAGGGGAAAAAAGAAAGAAAAGAAGCTCGCGCATTAGTTTGACCCAAAATGGTCGTTTTACACTGGGAAGACAGTATAACCATTGGCTGAAAACTTATCATTACGTGCAGGATCTTCACGTGATTGTGACAATCGAAATTCATAACACCAATGATTTATTTACAATGTTACCTTCACATTGTTGTTGTCCTTTGTTGTGGCATTATGTCCACTACAAGAGTATCTACAGCAGTTTCTACAAAACACCACACTACAAAACACTACGGCATTGATAAGAAATCTTTGGTATTTTGAAATATATTGTATCGCAAAAAAAACATTGTATCACAAAAAAATATGGAACTCGTTGCGCATCCTCTAATTAAGAAAATGAATATTAGCAAACCCATAAATCAAACAAGCAGTCTTTGGTGTTAAGATTGTACATGGAGGACGGGCTGGAATAGAAACAAAAATCACTCCGGACTATATAGACAATAGTAAATTAAAAGATACATTTAAACAACAGGTTTTTTTTTAGTTAATTAGCCCGTCGCCAGAAGGCATCGCCGACTTGTACATTCAGCTACGGTTCATACATTGTAGTCTTTAATTCAGAATAACTTTTTAATACCGTAATATTGAAATTTATCTTCCCTTAATTCATTGTGATTAAAATCATAATTTAATTGGCATTATCCTTAGTTTGTTTGCTATTTACTGTAAAAACTGTCCTAAATTTCAAAGTAAACTATTTTCTGTCAACAGGCCCTCTGAATTGTTTAAGGTATACCGTTAGAATAAAGGAATATCAATTTTACTAGCATCAGGTCACGTCCTAATTTCACGGCACTGTTAAGTATACTATTTTCTGTCAACAGGCCATCTGTATATTTTTAGGTATACCGTTAGAATAAAGGAGTGTTTAATATTAGCACACATTTCTGCTTTAGCTAGGTCAACTTTTCTGTCGACTGTTGAACAGGGCTAAATTGGCTCCTGTTTCATCTTGTAAGTATGGATGATCACTGATGTCTCACTCGTCACCGACCAGCGCCGTGAACATACCATCCTCGTCGGCTAGGAGCTCGTCAGGGCTTCCAAACTCGGCCACACGACCCCCGTCCAACACGATAATCTTGTCATAGGACCTGATGGTCGCTATACGATGCTTTAAGGGGAGGAAGATAACATATTGTGTTGATTGATTTAATCGGTATGAATATATAAATAAGTAATCCAAGTCCTATAATGGGCCTTATGCACAAGTTGACCTTTTTGTCATGTTCCCTGAATGCATTTCATAAATTGTGAACTGTTCAACGGGATGGTATCAGACTATTTACTATCACTTTCATTTTTATTAAATGTGGCTTAAAACATAACAGTATGTTTAATCAGAAATTCCAAATGATTCATCAAAGCAGACTGTATTAATTTGTAACGTCATTACTTTCTTTTATCTATACAATTTCCAAAAATACAGATTTCACCACACTCTCAATCCAATGTGGCCTACTCGTGAATAAGACCCATACTACCTCTTTTGGTCAGTTTTTAGTAACACGAGAAAGAGTGATACAAATTAATGTATCATACTTTAGTCTTTTCTCATCTTTGGCAAATTGAATGTGAAGATTTGAATTCGATAAATCTTGTCAGAATCCGTGAGCGGTTTGTGGATTCGCCACGTGGAAGTTATTAGGGCCTATGTATAACATAATGCACTACATAAAAAAAACCAGAGGTTTCAACTCGAACTTTCTGGTAATTTTTACCGTCATTGGGAGTTGATTCCTCTCGTTCTTCTGAGATCTAAATTTCATCTGTTCATTTTTCAGTTACTAATATTGTTTCAGAAAACGTATCTTAATTTGTACTTAGTCTAGCACGGGTGCATACATATGTTCCACAATACCGATGTTCCCCGAAATCCTTACCTTAACCCTAACCCTAACCCTAATACTAAGGATTTTGGGAACATCGGTATTGGGGAACAAAGGTATTGGGGAACATCGTGCAGACCCTGTCTAGCACCTGTGCACATTAGCCACAAACAGCATGGAACCTTATTGTGTGACATTAAAAATGCAAATAAAAGCCTCTGTTACACTTACTGCGATTGTTAAAACTGTTCTATCTGCAAAGGCCGTGGCAACAATGGTTTGCAATATCTTGTCCTGCAAGGGAAGATTCGACATTTTCATTTCGTGTTATAATTTCAGTATTGGGAATATGCAAAAGGGAACGTTGATTTAAAAATTCACAATAGTGTAATTCAAATAGATTTTCGTTTTGGTCAAGAAGTGCATGTCGATGTAAAGAATCAATTGGTCCTACAGGAACAACATTTAACCATTTGTATCAAAAGTTCGCTGAAAATCAAATCAAACTTTTCGTCATCGGGTTGTCTTTTGATATCGAAAATTAACCTCAACTGTTCAAAAGGCAGGCATCTATAATTTATCGAAACAGCACTTTTGAATGTTTATATCAACTTTTGCGATCTATATGTAAGCCTAATCAGATAAATTGCAGCATTACAAAATATACAGTTGAGGTTTTTAGAAACAAGTTTAAACGACAATCATCCTGTTTTATGAAACAAATAATTTCATCAAAGGCGCCAAAACTGCATCGTTTCGTCATTAGTTGTGATTATAGTTACCGTTTCCATATCCACGGAGGCTGTGGCTTCATCCATGATAAGAATATTGGATTTCCTAAGGAAGGCACGAGCCAGACAGAACAGCTGCCGCTGGCCAACGCTGAAATTCTCACCGCCCTCTGTAACAACTGCATCTGTGGTAAGACAGGTTTGCAGCACAAGTCTTATATTACTCTGTCATGCTCCCTTCCTTAACCACAAGGCGTCATGTTGGTATAATTTATTAACTAACAGGTAAACCTTTCAGCGAGTGTATATCTTATTGTGTTATGAATCTGTCTTGAATACTGTTCATTGGCCTAGGACGATCACGTGTCTAGTTTCTAAAAAAAAAAAAGTCAAAGTACTTGAGTATTGAGTTTTCGGATCGTAAACTGTTTGTTCTTCTATACATTGAAACAAATCTCCAGCTTTTTTGTATGGAAGTTTGTGTAAGACGGCCGATTGTTTCATACTGAAGTGACAGTGAGACAGAGGCCGGAGGTAAATGACCGATAAGTAAATATTCAACAACACAAATCGATTATTTTATTAACCTAATCCTCCGTCAAGCTGGGTGACAACGTCTTTCAGCTGTGCAATCTCGAGAGCATGCCACATCTCATCATCGGACACGTTCCTTTCGGGATCCAAATTTGCTCTGTATCAGAATAGAAAAAAACACTGATGAGTTTTTTTCCGACTATTAATTAATGACATCATTATCTTAAACAGACACCTATCTAAACAAATCCATTCTTTAACAGAAATAGACAAATGAACTATCACCTCATGCAGTTTTACAACTACGAACGTTGGATAGTGATAAACAAATTTACCTAATTGGTCCTGTGAAGAGCACTGGGTCTTGTGGTATAATGGATATCTTGCTCCTGAGTGTCAAAAGTGGTACGGACATAATATTGACACCGTCGATGAATATCCGACCTGAAGGAAATATCATTGATAAACAAAATGATTAAAGCACATCCATAAAAGTACAAGATAAAAGCTTAATAATTTCGAATTTTTTTGTGGTAATCACACCTTTATTTCAGTCTAAAATATTATTTCCCTGCGAGTTTAAAGAGAGTTACTTTACTGAATTTAAGTGGGGTTACCCCGTTTCAAATGCTGATACATTGTAGAAACAGATGTGTTATGATCCCTCTCCCAATTTCTTGAGGTCAAACTTTTCAAATACATTTGTATTTCCTTAAAATATGTAATCATCATCATGGACGTCGCGAGGGGGGGGGGGGGGCAAGGGGGCGCTTGCCCCCCCCCCCCCCCTCCCGAAAAACGAGGGGAAAATAGGAAGGAAAAAAAGGAAAAAGAGGTGCGAAGCCATATTGCTGTTAATTTGATGGGGAGGGGGCAGGGCAAATGCTCCCCTGCTCACGCTCGGAAAAATAATAAATTGAGAATATAATGAAAAAGTTAAGTAATCTTGGGGACAATTTTGCTTTGCTCCCCCCCCCCCTGGAAAAAATCCTGGCGACGCCCATGGTAATCATTTCTAGAATGTATTTCAATGTTTATGCCTACAATCACCTACAATCTTTTCAAATGAACGAGATCGTATTTTCTATTGATGCCGTGTACCTTCAAAGACATCTATGACTCGCAGCAGTGCCAAGGTGAGGGAGGATTTGCCACTTCCCGTTCGGCCACATATACCGACCTGGAAAAAAAAAACCAAGTAATATTTCAGTTTTCCTTGAATCGTCTGACTTAGATAATATGATTTTCTGTCCACCACAAGAACTGCAATCAATGCAATGGCTAGCCAGATATAAGCCAATCACACAGTTAATACGAAGTGAGCGTCGAGTCACAAATAGCTAAGGATGCTAATTAAACATAGGCTCTCAGTACCACTGATCAATGACATAATTTGTCACATGAGGATTGGATAACTTGTGATGATTGTATTTCACCTTGATATAATACCATACTAAATCTGACCTTCTCCCCAGATTTGAGGAACACAGACGCATTCCTAATCACAGCATCAAGACCCTCTGCATACCGAACCGAGACATTGTCAATTCGTATCTCTCCAGTATGAGGCCAGCCTTTTGAAGGTTCGGTCCCTGTTTAAATCAAGAAATAATTTATAATTTACTTTTAACACCATCGGTAGCATATTTAAATGGAACTGGCAACCTTGTTTATACATTGTGTTTGTGGTGGGCAACTCCGGAGAGTGCTTTTTAATAATCAACTATACATGCGTCCTAAAATGGACATACACCATTGTGAGCTACAGTGCAAGCAATCATTCGGTGCAAGCCTACATGAAGTATCTGTAGTTATGATTCTAACGAGAACTCTTTCCAGCTACAGCTCCAGCCACGAGAAGCCCTCCCAACTAGGCACGCCAAACCATGTTACAGAGCGTAGCAGTCTTGAGAGCGAGAATTTGGGCGTCATCTGAACACGGCCTCAAAATCTTTCAAGGCGATTGAGAATTTGAGAACGCGGCAACGGGTTCAAGATCAACGTGACGTGTGAGTGTACTGCACGAGTGATGACCTGAATAATGGGGGGAAAGCATCATCAAGGCGCATGACATAGCATCCAATTACATTTCAGAATGTCTAAGCGAACTGCCTGTCTTATAGAGGTAAGGTCTCCGGGTTACTATTAATCCCGAAAGGAAAGTACAAACTACTTGCCTCCGTAGTCCTCCCTGCCCACGTTCGTGTAGTGCTGAATTCGCTCCACAGCGTTCATCTGCATCTCAACCTCCGTCCGATTTCTCATGAGATAGTTTAGATAGTTAGACATCTGGCAATATAAAAATAAAGTTGATGTGAAGCTAAAGTTAAGCTGCAAAAGAAACATAGGTATGTCGGTTTCTTTAAAGCTGTTGCACAGGGTAGTTTGTCATAAATTCGCCGCTAAACGCGTTTACAGAGATATTCTGCAGTCTTTTTATCTGATTTCTTGTTTAGTTCAACTCAGAAAATGGTTAGTATTCTGGCTTTAAAATCAAACAGCTCGAAAAACTGAGGCATTTGTCAGAATATACCTGTATTATTATAAAGACACACAAGCGACAACAAAATAAGATGAAATAACAGGGACTTAAAATCACGGAGATTGAACTTTGCCAACACGCCAAATTAGCAATAACGAAGGAATTGTGTAAAAGTGTTGGTCTTAACTGATGACGATTATTACAACACACTCATGTTTGTATATCAAATTGACCTTTTCAACTTGTTTGTCTCTGTACATTAAATTCCAATCACCTGTAAGCTGTAAGTGGAACTTAGGCCCACCAAACTAGAACTGATAAAATCGAACACCAGCGTGCCAACTAACGTGGTCAACGTAGCAAGAAGCACAAACACAGCTCCCACGAAGTCCTGTATATAAAGAATGACAAAATAGCTTCAACACTTCATTTATAAGTTGCTTTGCATCGCCGACGATGAGATCAATATCACATGGACCAAGTCTCGGACATGATGCGTTTTCTAAATAAAACACCCACATTCAGAAACTAGTCGAAACGAGGGTTGTGAGTGGTTGCTAAATGATGTTAAAATATGGATCTCTATATGAATTTTATGATGACAACATAACACAGTTTGGGTTCTGCACTTCTTTAATACACGACAGATAATCCAGATCATTAATCAAAAATCACCTTTGTAAGAAAATAACTGTGGTGTGTAACTAAACAGAGTTTGTTTATGGTGTAAATCGAGGACACACACGTGCAACATTATCGGTGAATCGAGGACATGAACCTAATCGAGGACGACCTCGATTAAAAAACGTGTACAAAACCAATGAGACCTGTGCCAAAAAAGTTGAAGAACAAACAAAGCAAAAGGGAAGGGGAACACCAGAAAAAAAATGTTCGATTAAAACCATTAAGAAACGTGTATGTACATGTATGTAGAATCACAAATTCGCAAAACAAAATGAACGTCGAAGAAAAATACACCCCTATCCTAATATTGATCGTATTTTCAAGTTCTGCACTATAAGGGTTTGGTTGTGTACGACCATGCCACGTGTGTGCCTTTTTTGAAACTCACCAGCCTCGTACCGAGCCATCTAGACCCAACCTGAACGTAAAGAAACGCTGCTGTGTTTCTGTCGATTCGAGTCAGGATTGTGTTGTAGAAGGTGCTTTCTTTCCTGCGACGGGGGAAAAATGAGAAAAGCATTTATTAACGATTTTTTTTGGGGGGGGGGGGTTTACACCATCCCCCTTCTCCGTTCTGCTGCTGACTAAGATGATAATGATACTAGTAATATTGGACCTAAAGTAATTAATGGAACACTGAATTCCTAAATTTATTCTCAATTGGCTTAGAATGTGGGAGAAAGTATTGTATATTGAAATATTTTTCCCGGACCCCCTAGCAAGACGTGCCTTCTTTACGCCTCTATTCACCCCTCCTTTCACATCCCCTGGTTTTTTTGAAAGCTAAATCCCACCCTGATGTTTCTTGATGTACCTGTAAGCACGGATTGTGGTCAGTCCGCCAAGACTCTCCGAGAAATAGGCAATGACTGGAGATTTGCTGGTGCTGTCCAACCGTTGCATCTCTCTGGGCACAGACAAAGCAATTCAGAAATTAGATAGTCCAAAGAAAATAGTTTCATAGAGTCAAAATGTCATGTAACACCCAGAAAACACCATGTTTTTAAAACCAGATGTAACTTTACCTGGATGCCGCTAGGTAGTACTTTTGGAGGAAGAAATACAAGATGGCTATCGGGACGACAAAGGCGAGGAAGATTGGCATGACAATACCAACGACAACTATTGACGCAATTATCTGCATGATGCTGATTGTGAATCCATTGTAGGCATTAGCAAGTCTCTGGGTGAAGACAATGATATGGAATTTAAGTTGTGATATATTATATTTCAAATGGTTCTTTGGGATATGATCCAAGGATGGAGTCGGGTTTTGTGCATTCAAAATCAGTCTCAATGCCTACCTGCTTTTCAGGTGTAGAAATCAAAATAGAACTACATTATTTCAAACATTTGCAATATGTGGAGCCAATTAACGAAGGCGTCGCCAGGAATTTTTCCAGGGGTCGGGTGGGGCAAAACACATTTTCCCCAAAATGTCTTAACTTTATCATACTCCGAGCGTGGCAAGGGGGGAGTTTTGCCCTACCCCTACAAAACTAGGAGCAATATGGCTTCGCACCTCTTTTTCATTGTTCTTTTTTCCCCTTTTCCGCCCCCCCCCCTTGCCACCCCTCGCAAAGCCCATCATGGGGAGCCAATCTTTCCCCTTTAGGCCTATTTACTTACAAAGTCCATCATCTGGGTGTCATTTGAGAATCGATTTAGAATCCTCCCAACAAGAGTGGTGTCAAAAAACCTGTTCAAAATGAAATCACAAGAACAAAAAAAAGAAGTCACAATTCCAATTGAATACATTATTGATACAGTTATTAATTTCATGTCATGTATAAAATACGCCCTGTATTTACTTCTTGCGTTTGGGACTAAATTTAAAAGCCACAAATAAAAAGTGGCACAATTCTCTAAATAAACCCTGTCATAAAATTGGTCACTGCTCAATCAACCGTGAATTTAGGGACATGATCAGGGTGTCAATTTAAAGAGGAGATTCAACCCTAACAGAGAATATCCCCCTTTGATTCTGTTCCAATTAGCAATAATATCTCGGTTTTGTTTTTTTAATCCACTCTGTATGTCATGATTTGAATATCTACCTTAGCGGTGCATGTACGATATTCCGTAGCATTTTCAGATGCAGGCGCTTGGCGGCCAATGTGAAAGACAGAATGACAGCCGCGGTTTGAAGTAGTTGACTTAATGCGGTTCCGATCGAGAGGCCTGCATATCCACCAAGATACTCGCTGTAAGTTCTGTCAGTCTAAAAATGTGGACAAGAAAATGCTATTTCAATTCAGGCTTATTGGCTTTAAGGTCTAACACAGTTCAACACATCTAGGAGATATCTCATAAAAATGTAAGGCTCTTCAAAAAGTCAGTTATACCTGTACAAAGATCACCAGCAATACTTGCGCAAATCGCAAGGTAGGTTAACTGGACGACTTCCACCAGTATGGCCAGTTCCGTTCCCTTCCAGTCCACATGCGGATTGTGTTTTCAGTCCCTACATGACATCGGTTTCCCCCGAATATTCTTACATGTCATAGTTTTTCCCGGAATATTCTTACATGCCATAGTTTTCCCCGGAAAATTATTTAAACTCAAACATGGAAGAATCAGTTTCTTCCCTCCAGCTTGCAAAGTACAGTGCCATTGGCACTTTTGATGAATCATTATGATAATTATTTTGAAGATGACGGATGTGTTGTGGCAGAAAGCTCTAACCTCGTTGGGTGGAAGTAGGCCAGATTGAGACCAGTTGGACAGCCAGAAGTTGTTAACAACGGACAGCGTTGACTGCATGGCCACAACGACGGCAACAAAGCAGATTACAGGCCAGCCGATGTTGTTCATGAGATACATATAGGTCTTGTAAGAGACAGCTCCACGGACCATTTCTTCCTTCACTATTAACTGCCCGTCGCCTTGAAGAAGTTCTTTAGACGAAAAAAACAACAACCATAGATGTTGTTGTGGAATGGAAAAGTCGATACACAATTCTTTGGTTGAGGACTATGTTTACCGAATATTCCTCAAAAATATACACTGATTAAACCAAGCTGGTTCAAGCAAACTGAGACAAGGATTACATCGAATGAACTGAATGAGCTGAGCTAAGTGAGTGAGTAGTTGAAATTGAATAAACGGGTTGAATGAAATAGAATGAGGGACTGCCCATGCATGTGGCATATGTATACTGGTGGAAAACAGGATGTCCTTTGAATAAGAAATACTTAAGAATGGGAAAACTTAGTCATGTGTTGGCTTTCTTGATTCTCAGAAAGATGATTATATGAATGAGCAAGAGTACCTTAAAACAATGATCGAGCAACAGGGTTGTACTGAGAGAATGAATGCCAAATGACCAGTGACATGTGTGTGGGTATGTACATTTGTATAAAACAATATGGACTACAAGTCCTTAAGCGCTTTGAGCGTCTTTTTAGACGGATTTTGGCGCTAAATAAATGTTCTCTATTATTATTCTCTATTATTACAAGTGCACATTGCATATAGGTACACTGTGTGTGGGCGTGAAACAATCAGTGATTTATTGTACCTGATGATACGATGGAAACGCTTCGCTTCAACTTTGACCGTTCCTCCTCAGTGCTCTCGACGGCTTCATCGTCGTCCCATCCCACCGCTGACACCTGTTTGATCTCCTCGTACATCTCAGGATCGGCCTTAATGATGTCATCTATGCTTCCTCTGGCAATGATGCAGCCATCTTTCATTTCCAGTATCTGACAGAATGTGACATTATAATCCACAATTGACTTTTTTTTATCACGATCGGTGTATTGTTATGCTTTCAAGATGACGCCTCTCATGGGCCATATGCTACAGACATCGTTTTATAGTCGTGATTCTTTGATTCATTTTTTTTAAGTCTTTTTTAGACCGAGACCTATTTGTGTGACATGTAACGATAAGCCTAAAAGAAAAACAAGGCTGATGGAGTTCCTACTATCTTTTGTTTTTTACTCACCAGGTCGGCTCTGCTGAGATACTGCAGCTGGTGGGTTACAAGAATCACTGTTTTGTTTTTGTTCACAAGCTGTTTCATGATTCCTTCCTCGAATAGTTGACGGCCGACGTGAACATCCAGCGCCGACAGCGGATCGTCCTTCAAGATCAACGAGAATGAAATAACCCCAAAGCATTAAAATTGTGAACTGAATAGCACAAGTTCAGGCATCTGCTTCTTTGTTCAACCGATAGTCAGAGATAACGTCTGTTGTTAAAAAACAAATCCTTAGAATGCGGTTTGCTGAATTTTATTATTTTACCAAAATGATGATATCCCTGTCAGCGTACATGGTCCTTGCCACGCTGACACGCTGCTTTTGTCCTCCGCTCAGATTGATGCCTTTCTCTCCAATCTCTGTTTTATCTCCAGCCGGTAAAATGTCGATGTCTGGTAAGAGCGCACATGCATCCAAGACCCCTTGATACCTTTCGATTATCAAAAGCAAATAAAAAAATAACATGTCTTAGACAGTTTAACTGCTACCTGTCGAGAGCCCGGCACGTGGATGGTTTTAACGTTTGATAAAATACCGACTGGTTTCGAACCCTTTTTTTTGGCACCGCTGGGTTCTGCGCCACTTGCGCAGTACGCGCCCAGCATGCGCAAATCTCCTTTTTAATATTTCGCATGTGAGGCACACACCACGAGACAAACGACTCGTGGCGTATTTTACACGAAAACATAAGGCAAATTGATTTTTTTTTTTGGTACTTTTTGACCCAAAACAAGTAAGTTTACAACCCATATGGGCCGGGACGCCGATACTAACCCTCGCCTTCGGCTCGGGGCACTATCTGCATCCAGGCCATTTTCCCGGTTTTAAACGTTCCTGTTTAAAACAGACCAAGCATATATTTATTCCTCTACTAAATAAAGATCATTAATTGAATGATGAACCTCGTTTCCCCTTGAAACCATTTAGCAGTTAGAAAATGGTATTAAATACCCAGTCAATCTCACGAGCACTTCTTAGACTTACGCCTCTTCCAAAAAAAAATAAGTTTTTTGTTTCGTGTAGGCCTACTTTTTAAAAAGAATTATAAGCCCTTCCCTTACAACCAGGTGAGCAGATCACGTTGACGACATTAAACCAACAGTCACGTTTTATTTCTGTTACCAATCGGACAATCGCTTTATAAAACCGCTGCTGCACAGCGTAACTTCAATTCATAAATTAAAAATAATAACAAGTACCTTTTCTTCTCCATCTTTGTAGTGAACAGAATATTGTCCCGCATCGAAGCATTCATAAGCCAGGGTTTCTGAGCCGCAAATGCAATTCTACCCTTTTCTCTAAGACACGAAAATAAAAACAAGTTACATTTGTATGGTAAAAATATAATTATGATGTGTGATCTTCACACACAATCGAGGTCTTGACCACCACATCAATGTTAATCGAAACATGGTTTACTCTTGTTCTTGATTACACCTGCTCATTACGGCTTAAATGACAATGAAATATTCATAAAATTAGTCGATCATGCCTAGGCCTACTCACTCATTAATGTGTACATTCCCAGAGAGAGTCGTCATTTCATCCAACATGGCCGCCAATAGTGATGACTTTCCACTTCCAACCTGACCAATCACCATTGTCAGCTTGCCTGCAACGCAAATATTTTGTTCAAGAACTGAAATGAATGTTGTCCAACCTTGTTGGCAATAGTCAGATCAATTCATCCCCGCCCACAACTGAGCACGCGAACGACCAACAAAACTATTTGTTCAAGCTGTGCGTGTCAAACGCGCGTGACGCACGTTCGACATTGGTCAGGCTTAGATCGGTCGAAACAAGATTAGGCGTGGCTTAATATATCGGTCTTTTTGGTGAAGTATATACACATCAAATGTTTAAATTATATTAGTTTATTTTCTCTAACTCTTTAAAACAAACATGTTGTGGCCTTTTCCTACGTAAGTTTAATAAATACGTTTAAAGAAAATCAAGCATAGAGCACGGCAATTGTGTAAGGCTTAGTAACCGGCATCATAACAGAACAATCGTATGAAGATAGTATAAGTGGAATAAATTAAAGCATTAAAACCAGTTTTATTGTTCTATTCACTTACCTGCTGGAATCTCCACATCTATGTTGGACAGGACAGGTGTCGTACTCTCAGGGTCCCACGAAAAGTTGCCATCAGTGATCTGCATTTTGTGCGAAGTGTGAAATTTCTTTCGAAATTTAGTAATTTAGTTATCGTTTGTTGGCGAATTTCAATAACAGGTATCGAAGAAAATTACGTAAAATAATTATTCTTCCCCGTGTTTATAAACGGTATACTGGGTGACTGCGGAGAAGGTAATTTACCTGAAAATGAAAAAAAGTCATTGTTTTTCCGCGAAATAGAAAATAAAATAGAACAATGTTTGCGATTTGATCTTAATTACGACATCATTACTCATATTCCAAATCATGTCTCATTGGCACCCATTACAAAACCCCCAAATGACAAAAACAAACACTGATATGAAAGTGGATTATCAGCTTAAAGTCGTGTTCTGTTGCAAACAATCTTCAAACAGCATGACCATTCTTTCATTGCTTTCGATTGATTTCAGAAATCACATCTCTCTTTCAGATGCAGTATAGGCCTATCAAAGTTAAATACATCAACATGGTGGGCAGGTCTCAATAACCTTTAACACAATGTAGCTGGGGATCAAGTATAAACGTTGTAAATCGAAGGCGATTCTCTTATTAACTGTTTCACATTTAAAGATTAAATAAGTCAAAACAAACTGCCATACCTTTATTGCTATTTGGTCCGTATTTGGTTTGGAAGGTACAAGTGAACTTGTGGACTCTGTCAGCGAGATGCCATTTGTCATTAGCTCTGTCTCTTCATTCGCGTCACCGGTCTGGATGCCGATAGAGATCATGGGCTCGCTATACACATCGTCGGTATCGAGCTTGTGAAACAGTACCTTGCTAGCATCGTTATACCTCTGTGGAGATGAAAACACAAATTTCCCCTTGAGCTGGTGGCTCACCAATACAACTTTGCAAAACTGAAACAATTGAGAAAAAGGATGGCCATAGCCTCCTGTGACACGTAGGCCTATGGATTGTTCAGGGTGGATAAAAGTAAACAAAACCGAGATATTATTGATAATTGGAACAGAAGTAGGGCACATGTGAATCCAAGGGAGATATCCTCTGTTAGGGTTGAATCTCCTCTTTAAAATGGCACCATGATCATGTCCTTATATTCACGGTTGACTGAGCAGTGACCAATTTTATGAAACGGTCTACTTAGAAAATTGCACCACTTTTCAAGGTGAAATCTCTTTTTTTCCTTACCTGCCTCGATTGACAACCATAGCCTTTTACTCTGTGACAAATGACACCACAAAAACCACGATTGAAAAGTGGCACAATTCTATAAATAGACCCTTTCATAAAATTGGTCACTGCTCAGTCAACCGAAAATGTAATGGCATGGTCAGGGTGTCATTTTAAAGAGGAGATCCAACCCTAACAGGGGATATCTCCCGTTGAATCATATGTGCCCTACACCAGTTCCAATTAGCAATAATATGTCGGTTTCGTTTGTTTTTGGTTTTTTATCCACCCTGTACAATTTGGCATTAAAACACCTGTTTTTCCCACTACAATAACACTCAGACCTACCAAAATAGACAATAAACCAAGGCCAGATACGAGTACCGGTAGGTTATCTGTGTAAAGTGTTTCGTTTTAAGCAGTCAGTACGAGAAATAAATAAATAAATAGTGAAATTCATGCGATTGTTTCTCCTTTCTTTTTCAGTTGGGTGAGGTTTCTACTCACGATTTTTTTTTACATTTAAGATCAGTATTTCGTGACACGAAACGCATGCTGTACGAACTGATGTTGAGTTCCAAGTGCGTGTTCACCTTTGTCTCTTTTGAATTGTTATTTTCCTGCGTCTCTCCATGCTCCTCAAGTTCCCCAATGTCTCTCTCGACCTCTGGAGCCAGGAGGAATTTTAAAATTCGATTGGAGCTCACGATAGAGCCAACGATGCCAGATACCGACACGGGAATCATGAAGAGCGGAATCGCGATCATATTGAAGAACGACAAAGAAGAGAAGGTGATGGCAGGTGTCAGCGGTGTTCCATAAAGTGGCTCAAAGGTCACAAAGGCCTTGGGGGAAAAAAACACCAGAAGATTAAATAAAGTTTAGAAGCAAGCAATACATTTTTTTGTTATAATTGCCCTTTCCAACAACAGGTTTTTTTCGAGTTTTTCGAAAAAGTTAATGTTGTCTCACCTTTAAAGTAAAATTCATGGGGAAAAAAACGTTGTAATCCAACACGATCATGTGATTCCCACAGATCGAAAGATGGCAATTTTGTTTTCAGAGTGAATTAAGGCAAATCCCAACAGAGCACTAAAACGTAACTGTAAGCGCAACATCGACGACCGCATGAAACATACATTGTATATGGATTACAAACGGATTATATTATAATAATGAGCTCATTGATTGACAAGTTGCATTTGCGATCTGAATACTATTGTTCATCTGACAATTGTTGCTCTTGGCAACTGCTCAATTGTGGGGCAGGTGTTTATTCTGGCAAGAGGCCAGGAACAAAAACAGAAGACCTCCTTGTATACTTTACGGGAATAAAGCAGGTGTATTTTATCTGGTTCAAAATTGTCTCCACTGAAACTCAATTAAAAGGTATTCTTTTGACTAGAGCCTATACGTTAAGAAAAAGTAGATAATTCAAAATCGACACTTAAACACCTGTCTGTAAAAAAAAAAAACGGGAGTAAAATAGAAGACAACCTGTACTTACTACTAACGTCACCAAAATTGGAACTCCGAATGTAATAGACACTGTAACACAGAAATATAAAACGAGGTGTTACGCAATAAGTACTAAAACATGGTGATGATAATCATTTTTGTTTTGAATTTACAAATTATTTCAAATAACAAAGCAGTTCTAAATCTTACATTTCAAATTCAATCAGGCATGCTGAGAATGATCAAAGCTTACGATTGTTTATTAAATAGACGTTAACAAGGGTCACCTCTTAAATGCTGACAAATGTCCGTCAAACGAAAAAAAAATTGATACAAAATAACAATATATCACCTGCTTGAAAAGTCTTTTTATATGACGTTTTGGATTGATTAGACATTGCTTGTTACCCAACCAAGTTATGAAACTATTGTCTTTGCATACTTCGTCAACATAGGTTCAGGTTTTCCATAATATAAGGACATATTCCATCTGCTTTACCTGAGGTGATCATGCATAAACTGATGTGGAGTAAGTGGAGCACTTCTTTCTTGCGGACCGCCTCGATTTGCTTACAATAGAGCTCTTCCCAGGCGTACATCTTCAACAGCTTGATTCCTTGTAGAAGCTCGTTGGTTAGCTTGAGACGCTTGTCGGAGCAGCGCTGAAACAGACAGTTACAATGTGGCTATGTTCGTAATGAATGTTACCCATTTCAGTCGATATGTCCACTATTTCAGAAAACCAGCTAAAGAAGACAAGCATATTGATTTTTTGATTTTCCTATATCAGGTGCGGATCCAAGGGGAGGGGGGTTCGAGTTCCCCTTGTTCTGGGAAAACATGTATATTAATAATAATTACCTATAGGCCTATGTCCGCCTGTCTGCATCCATATAAAACAAATCTGACGGGCATGACCCTCCCCGCAACAATTCCTGGATCTGCCCCTGCATGTTCTGTTTCAGGTGGATTTCATTTACTTGTTTTTACTCCCTAAATTACGTCTTTCATCAGCTGACAGTTCCCTCCAAAACTTACCAAAATAAGCTTCTGTCTGTTGGCAAGGATGGCTGCAACTTTGAATTGAATCGGGAGAACGACGATGAACAAGGATGCTCCTAGGAGCGCCGAGAAACCAATTTCAAAATACAGGAGGATCAGGATTATGATGATCTGCAAAGAAAAAAAGACCGAACACTAATGCTTGTGATAGTGGTAGAGAATTAATATATGATGCAGCTCTCGACCAATAAATGGTATCAACTGCACAGCCACAAGGCAAGGAGACCGTGTAGACCGTTAGTTGTTTAGAAGGGCGAATAAAGTATTTATGAAAAGCTGACTAACCAATATTTAAAATGCAACCACCCTGACTTGTTCATGCTGTTTGTTTATAGTATATTGTTGTACATATAGCACAACCCCTGTAAACAATCAGTTCATCAAGAAGATTTACCTGAAATGGAGCCGACCACAGAAAGTTTATGAACTGAAACATGACCTGGACATTAGCGGCATCTGCGGACATGTGGTTGGTGACCTGGCCCATGGACATCTGGCCTCCCGAAAGGGTGAAGGTGGCAAGTCGTAACGCCTTCTTGTAGACCACACTCTAGTGGCAGATAAAGAAAAGATGACATCTTTTTCTAGTTTCTTAAAACTGAAACTGCCCATCCTTTTACTCTCTGTACTATCCCGAAACTCCCCCACAAACTTTATTGTCTTCGGGATTAATCAATAAGTCAAACTTTATAACAATGTAAATATTAGTCCTAAGATAAACGTATTTGTCACCACACAAACGATTATCTGCACTACTTTCTCAAGGAACCTCATCTACTTTTTGTATGGGCTACTTGGCACAGTGAACCTCTTCTACGTTTTGTATGGGCTACGTACCACAGTAAACCTCATCTACTTTTGTATGGGCTACTTAATTGCCACAGTGAACCTCGTCTACGTTTTGTATGGGCTACTTGCCACAGTGAACCTCTTCTACATTTTATATGGGCTACGTGCCACAGTGCACGCATTGTAAAGCTTAAAATGAAATCAGGTGTGATATCCAAGGAGCTGAATGCACATTTAACTGAAACGTTTTTGCTGGTTATGATCAAGTTGTCGAATGTCTTTAGGTAAGTTGCTTGTGATTGCTGTTATTTGTTGATCAGAAACATAACTAAAGGAGTACGCGTTGCTTCCCTTTGCAGACTTGATAACGTTAATCTTTTGATCAACTCGTGAGTGATAACGATCAATTTTCCTTATAGACAGCAACACGCTGTTCAATCACGTTAACAGAGCAACTGATGGTTGGTTATAAATCCTTAAGAATTGTCCTACAACAAAACAATTACAAGAACAGCAAAACAGAAAAAAATGCATCAATCTCGATTTATTTATCATTATAATAACCTACCTGTATGGCCGCTCGGACGTTCGCACCCACCACGAAAACCACTTTGAAATGCATATTCATGATGCATACCCTCACTGTTAACACCATGAACAGAGTCACAATCAGGACGAAGCCATTGGCGAAGAACTCCCCGAATTCCACGTAATGTGGAGCGGGCTGAGATGAGAAATGCGAGGAGAAATACTTAACATTTCACGGTCTCAATGGTGTTTGAACGTTTTGTTTATGAACAATTTAGGTTGTCTTTTTGCCATGTGGTTTTTGATTAGAGATGTAAAACATGTGTGCAAGAAATAGTTTACTTTATAAATATATATTTATATTTATTTATTTATTTATATATTATGTAAATCTCTAAATTCAATAGAGAAATCCCATAATCGTATTTTTCTGTTAAATTTGAAGGGAAAAAACACTAGACAAAATGTCTTTCGTAATCTTGTTACAATTAATATTTTGTTGCACCAGTTCACACCAATATATTGCAGGACATTACGATAAAATTAAACATAAAGTGCATTTGAAAAAAAGCTAATTGGTGTAGTATAATAAAGTGTCGATCGTGACAAAATTACACTTTTTCAATTTAACAAAAATACCTGGAAGATTCATAGCGCAGGATCCGTAGAGGCAAAATGTCTAGCAGAAAATATGTTTAAAAAACACTGAAGTTATGGGATTTTTATTTATATTATTGTAATAAATGAAGAGGTCAGGCTGCGATACGTTATATGACTTACCAGCTCTGTATCTGTCGGAGTCGAAAGTGTAGTAACATAACCCGTGATGGCTCCGATACAAAGAGGCCCAATGATATTTAAGACGTCAGATATCATCTTGTACAATGCAGCTTCAAGCAAGACTGGCCCGTAGGCATCAATGTAGATCCTGAACATGGATGGTTTGGTGTCCTTCCTCTTTGCCCGATCCTGGGGTGAAATGAATAAAAACCTCCATATTGAACCTTGAAAAAAATGAGAGTCATTGACCTTATTGCCGTGCTAGATTCAGATTCTGCCCAATGATATTTAACTTTTGGCAGACATCTTCGAAGTCTGCATTGAATTAGAAAAAACAAAACATTTCGAAAAGGTTATTTCCAGTTAGGGTTACTGTAAGTCATTAATAGAGAGAAACTAAACTTGTTTTGTCAGGAAAATAATATTATAGGAGCTCTCTTAAATTAATATGGATTTTTTTTTTATTGCGTCATTCCTGGCCAATGAACTTAAGCAAGAGGTTGGCGACCCCGGGTGCAAAGGTTCAAAGGGTATTGTTAAGTAACAAAGAAAAAGTAACCAAAAACTAGAGGGATTCTTAAATTGTTTTGGTAAGTATTATGTTGACAACAATCAAATCTTGATTACTTTTTTTCGAAGGGGCTGGGACCACATTCCCCAACTTTAAATTGACACTATGAAGATAAATGATCATAAAATCATAATGCTACATTATATATCCAGAGCTGCTAGGCACGAAGCATATCGAAACGGTGTAACAACTTTAAATGGATATTGATGTTTTAGCTAGCTCAATCTATTGCACCGATTAATTCCACGAAAGGGCACTCTAAACATGATCACATGGAATATGGCACATGAAAGACAAGCAAGCAATGAACAAATTCTAATTTGCGGTGGGCTCGAGTGCCCTTTGAGGTCGGCAAACTGATGATGTCAATATTTTCGAGATTGCACAAGCAGCATTTCTAATTTTAATATTACAGTCATTATGCCATCATCATCGTTCTTATCACGATGGACTGTGGAACGGCCCCACTTGGCCACCGTAGATTAATTTCCATAAAACATCGAACTTGGTAAACACTCCCCGGTTGAATTTCTATTGAATTTTCCCCGCCCCCGCTACATCCATAATCATGATGATAATGCAGTTTCCAGTTATGTGAGAACAAAAAAGGCGTGATCAATGAATTTTAGAGGAATAAACAATACAAACGTTCCAAACATCTTCGGGAACGGAAAAATGGTATACGCGCTACAATCTTTGAGTGATTTGAAAAATGTGGTCCCGGTAAGGTGTCAATTAGCTATTAAACCCATCCAGAACGATTTTTTTCACTTTCGTATTGCAATGCAAGTGGCTCTAAATGTTGGAAAATTAAGATTGGGTAGATTGAACTTGATTTCGGTTTACTTCAGTTCAGGTCCACGGATCGACTTGGATTTTTGTTATCTTCAGACAAGTTAAAAATCACGGATTTTTTTTATCTTACCAGCTCCCTGTCGAAAGCCTCTTGGAACAGTTTGTGGTTGTGATGGGCCTTATGTCTTTCCGGGATGTCCCCAAGGTCGTTGTGTTCCAGAGGCTTCTTGTAGCCTTGCACAAACACCCAGTTCATCCACCAGTAGGTTGCTTTTGACAAGAGGCTCACGTAGTCGTCCATGAAGCGCATGTTGGGGTTTTGGAGGTCTTCGTTGACTGTTTTGCGCTTACTGGTTCCAACAACCTGCAAAGATTGAATTGGTTGTTAGGCAATATTCGATTCTGCTTTAATAGAGCTGATATAAATCGAGGCCCGCCTCCATTAAGTAGGCCAGTACGGCCCATAATGTTGAAGCTTCTACGGGTGAATGAATATTTTCCCATAGTATAATTTGCCCTTTTCTTTCCGAAAGAGGGAAATTAACTCGCAAAAGCAATAGAACAACCTATTTGCGACCACTAACAAGTTTATGCCTTTTTTTTTTTAAAGTTATCTTTCATTAGAAGATTGTAAAAAACCAATACAAGATATTTCCCTTCATGGACGTGTAAACACTGTATTCTCAGTGTGTTACCTCCGGAGTGACAGTTGGAAAAAAATCACTCGGGTGGGACTCGAGCTCACGACCTCCTGCTTTCTAGTGCAGACGTCTTACCACTCGACCACCGAGCTTTCGGGTTCGGTTAGCAGGTTCAAATCTGATGTACATGTAGCAGCGGGTACCGCAATTAAACTATACATAATTGTAAAAGCTTCTTAACTGCAGTTATCAAAAGTGTATCTATTCTGTTCATGATGCCCTGCCTAACAAAGGGCAGTTTTCTATCTGAATTCATTTCTTTTTGTTCTTGGGGAGGAGTACTAAATTCTCTAATAAATTATTATAATAATGCTGAATGGAAAATCACCTTTATTCTGATCAAATTTATTTCGTTCAGAAGGAGGATGCCGTATGCGATCACCTTCAGTACCGTCAGATCAAACCGAAGCACGGTGACGTCGACTATATTGTGGTGCTTGAGGTCAGCTAGCTGTAGTGATTCTCCGATCAAGGCCAAGACCCAATAGATCATAAGCAAGATGGACATGGAAGGTATCTGCCATAGCTCCATCTGGTGGTTGTAGATGAGAGAAAGGAACATGGCAAGGAAGGCAGCGGCACCGGGGGCGTAATAGTGGGGTTGCGTTGAATGCTGCCATGCCCGGTACGTCTCGTCCGTCATAAATCCCTCGCCGATGGCCGCTGCAAGAACGAACAGCGACCCGAGGCTTACCAGCCACCGCACCGTGTGACCCGGATAACACAGGACATACTTGGTGTTGCCCCGTTTACGGTAACTGCAGACACATCCCAGCAGGAAGAGCGCAAGGGCAAAAACGATTATGAATGTGACATGCGGCAGAAATGCCAGTCCGTTTATGAAGCACGTGTTGCCGACCCATTCACTGGAGAGGTCGGTAGAAAGGTCAGTGTTGTTAGCCCCGCAGAACCACTTCCATTCTTCGTACATGATTGCACTATGCTGGAAAAACAAAACACACACAAGCACAATAAACCGTTATTGATCATAGCCTGCAGCTTAACTATGAATATCGAAATCTAAATTGTTTTGCACTATATTTTTCATGTACATGTACATGTAAATGTACGTAGTACAGCACAACTACAGGCCTGTAGCATGCATGCAATTACCTCATTCCCGTTATCTTCTGAACGGTTCCACTGCAAGACGCCAATTAATTCTATGTTCTGGTGCTCCGTGTTCTCCATATCCTCCTTTTGCTGCCAAATTGACTTGTACGTGATGAACTACTACTGTTTGAGCACCGTTTCTCATGTACGACGGACATGCGAAAGAGTTAGGATTTCACTCGCGTTGTGTTCATTCGTGGGTTTGTTGATTGCCGATCGATTGTGCAATTTGCAACACGCGGCTATTCCACGCACTGTATCTCGACTCCATGACGTGCATAATGCATAGGCGCTTTTCGAGGCATCCGTCTATGTGTATTCCGCTACACTGGGCAGTTAATGAGCCGTGCAAGTCAAGGGTTAAAGTGAAAGGTTCATTTCATAAGGTAGCAGACCAGTAAATAAACTTCCATAGACCCCAATGGTAAATGCTCCCACTTCAAAAATTCGGGAAAAATACTCACAACTCTCCAAGGTGTTCGAGACGCACATCAAATTAAAGCTTATTTCATCATCATTCATTTTCTTTTCAATTTTCGGGGGGTCAACTGATGACTTTTAGGAGAAATTTCCATCTGAAGATGATCACCCCTGAAAATAGTCCTGAAGCCCATCGCCATTTTGAAAAACGATGCCTACACTCCATTGCAAAATAGAGCGCTTTTAGGGTCCAAATTACATCAAAATTACACAGAACTGCAAGCTCCCAGTCCTGTGCACGGCTTCCACCCATATTTTTTACAAACCCTCAAGTTCATGGCCCACGGCATGCCCAAATACCGAAGATTTTGAGGGCATGCAAATCGTGATTTGGCCGGCGCAGGCAATTTCGGACCGATTTACTGGTCTGCACCCATAATATTATGTTTATTGCCGATTGGTTGTGCAATGCGCTTATCAAATCCTGTCGTCCTTTATATTCAATGTACAATTTTGCTGTGAAATGTTTCGGAACGTTACTCGGTCTAATTCAATGAAATAGTTTGATCACGTTGGACTTCATTGGGAACGAAACTGTACGTGCTGTCGTTTATCGGGCCTAAAGAACAGGTACGATATGGCACACTAATATGTTTTCAAACTAACGACGTATATTGAGAATAAAACAGCCAAAAACAAACAAACAAGCAAACAAACACCCCTGCATACACCCCAACACCCCAATTAAACAACCTAACAAACAGACTAAAGGAATCTGCAGTGGGAGACATCATTGTCTGATCGTATATATTTTTGTTCGTTAGTTAAAGTAGACTAATATCCTTCTAAGGCAAGACAGCAGTTGAATTTATATTGCTCAGTCGACAAACATTTTTTTTTGGGTGGGCGGGGATATTTTTTTTTTTTTTTTTTTTTTGGAGGGAGAATTATAAAATGCCCTCTTTTGCATTTTAGCCTATAGCGTAAACTTGTTTTTGGATATTCAACCACAAAATTGTGTAACGACATAAGGGCCTATGCACTTCGGTTTAGGCTTTATAGTATGCCTACGACTGGGACTTTGCTATAATATATACAGTCGATTACTTTATGTGCAAACGAACCTGAACAAGAATTCAGTTCCATCCTACTTACCGTGTTACATCCTCATCCACTCGATTCTTGGTCCGGCTGAAAATCCTAATTTTTAAACAACGCTCGGATTTCTTTTCACAGTATGATACGTCGTTGCATGCACTTAAAGGGCGGTATGTACAGATCTCATCATTTGCACTGGCTTTTCATTGGGACAAGTCACATATCGAAGATCAAAGTTCTTTTTTTTTTCTTTTTTTTTTTGGTTGCTGCGTTTGTTTGTGTTATTTGCATGGGTTTTGTACAAACACAAATCCTTTTATTTTGTTGAAGAGCCGCAGCTGCGTAAAAGCGACGGATACATTGTTAATATTAAACCGGAAGACAAACAAATGGGTCTGTTTTCAAAAGGAGTTCAGTGAGTCTCGACCGAAGTGCAACGAGTAAAATTGCACAGTCACATCAACTTGAAATTTATGCAGATTCACGTGTGCCGGCTGATATGTTTACATGGGGACGTACGGGTAAAGGTTATACTGAATGATATCGGTGTACGTGATCGTCGTTTTAAGGGAAAGTCATAATCCTTTCATGATCAAGCGTCGGCAAAATTTATATAAACTTTAAACCAAATGGTTTGTTCATTCTCCTTCTGGGATCGATGGAATTTTGAAATACGTTCTCTCTAACAACCGCTTTACTTTCGTCTTGCTACCAATGATAAGTCAGTCTTTCTTTCCTACAGGGATAATGATGTCAAAATGTTTAGACAATTTGAACCCAACGAGTGTCGTTGGAATTTGTTTGTGGCAGGAAAAGGAGCTACTTTTTATTTAAAGGAAGACATTTTAAAATCTTAAGTGTTCTTGATATCAACCAAAAGCTTGTCTACCGCCGAAGGAAAACGGTCGTCCACAAAAGTTATTTAGATTTATTGACAACATCATGTTCACACTTTCCTTCTGAAGGCTCGTCACGGCGGATGGACTTAAGGGATGGATCTAGACGGTGAAAAGTTAATGAAGCGCTGTCATCCTTCAAAATTTACCTCACGGTTTTGTAGTTATTTAAAAAAAATATATTCAGATGGACACTTTTCTTGGGACATAATTATTGTAGAAGTCAGTATTTAGGAACTTCAATTATAGCGAGGGTGTAAAGGGAAATAGTCCGACGGGGTCTCAGACCTTTGGATCCTCAGTCCCCTCCCGTGGCTTGTTTTGCAACTTGTTTGAAACGTGGCGCCAAAGTTTTGAAATTCCATTCCACGAATACATTTATTTTGATTGAGGACGACTAATCTAAACGAGGGGCAACAAATATGTGACAAAGACTATATAGGTGTTGCGCACGTTATGCGTTGAGTACAGAACACGTAACACATAAAGGGGATGTTTGTTGTTTATATTTTAGAGATGATTCATGTGTCACCAAGTAATTAAATCACCGAGTTTTTTCGTCTGTAAATATTACTTGCTTAAAAAAATAGTTGCACCTTTCGGTCGATTACACAGTGTCATAAGAAAATGAGTAGGGACAAAATCGTCTCACCCATTAAAACTATTCCCGGACGGATGTATTTTTCTATCATAGATGTGTTCGGGTCCGGGGGGAACCCACGCTGCAGAGACTCCGGTCCGCCCTGGTACTTTGCACGATACGGAACAAAGGTATCAGGTTGTGACTGCAACATATCCCGTGGGTTGATATTCATAAAAAGGGCATGTGGGTGAACTTACAAAGGGAGTCTTGATACACGAGCAAAGTTTTGTGTTGTTGGGCGGTTTGTTAGGGTTGATGGACTCTGATCTAAAGCGTGTTTATATTTGTGGCGTGACGCCGATGAAGGCCAAGTTGAGTTTCTAATGAGGCTAACTTGTTATAAAGTAAGTTGTAATAAGCACACAATGAATCATGGGATGTCAGTTTTGCCAAGATAACGGAAGCCCTCTGTAGTCCCCTGCATAATACGTAAGATAAGTACATTATTGCATAGAAATATGCAACATGACAGGAGTATAATTTTTCACGACTGAATTCCAAAGCCTGATACACTCATCAGTCAAAAGATCGTTAAACATACAATTAAAGGAATTTAAATTATTTTCAAGTCGCGTTTCATATGAGATTTCTGTCCTTTGTTTATTTCCTCCACGAACAGAAATGGCCGAGGGGTGCTGTATGATGTGACAAACTTCATTTATGAATAATAAAATGATTTGTTTTCGAGTTTCCAATATATGTACCTTCAACCACCCCCCCCCCCTCAATGTTCCCAAGAAATCGCTGCCGCTGGTCAACGGATTGACAATTTTGTTTGCTTAATTCCCCCAGTGGTCATATTCTTATTAATAAATAACACATGCTTTAATTAGCCTTTAAAAGTAGACTTCAGCCAGTGGGTTGAATTTCAGCCGATGGATTGACCTACTTTTACTGCACGAGCAGTTTGACAGTGAATGGAGTTTGTGGACGGATTACCGATTCAGGTAATTTCTGGTCACACCTTTGCCATCAATGATGAACGTCCCGCAGATACGAATGCCGTCACCGCTTAACTGCGCCGACCTGCATATTACGACTAATAGTAATACCCAGGCACATTTGCTCGTTCAGTGAAGAAATGCAAATCTCTAATCTGTATACGCAAGGAGTCATTTTTTTGCTCCATATCAAAATGCAGATGTCTAGACCTACCCAACAGTTACGAGGGAATTGAAATGAAAGGAATTGCAGAGGTATGTCGAGAAAAACAAATAGTTCCCTCTCATGAAAATAGTCCAGCGTTTGGTTCACTACAAGCATTCCTTCCATTCAGGATGAAATGAGAGAAAAAAACTTCAGTTGTGAGCGTATAGCTATTACAAGAGCACGGAGGGAGGAACACCTAAGTCAGCAGTTTAAAGAATATTGATCAGAAAAGGAAGGTCGATTTATTGTGTAAGAAAGATATTCTGTTATTTACTTACGTATTTATGTGGATAAGTGGGATTTCGAAGTCAGGTAACCCTTGAGCTGTATTTGCATATGACTACGTTTGACCCAGACGTGCTTAATTACAAAATGTGCTCTGGACGACAGTCCCGTTGGCCAGAAGTGGCTTGCATTGTATACATTTGTATACATTTGTATACATTGCAAAGTCTTGCACGTTTTCGGAGACAGTTCCCACGCTTGGATCCTGCAGCTCGGTAGCAAGGCCCATTTGCTGTGATGGCTTCTTGTGGAAAAACGTAGCTATATATTGTTTTTGCAAACTTTAAGACGTCAGGGTATATGCAAGAGCAAAGTCTGATTTTTGCAGACTTGAGGTTCACAACAGTTTCAAGTTAGTTTTGAATGAAAGTAGTTCTATGTTGTGTGACAACAGCTTCGATAGCTGCCTGACCTGAAAGCGTATAATTTTGAGGACATCAAGTTGGAGCTCCACACAGCATGCCCGGCTTTCTTTGCTGCCCTACAAGGATCTGTAGTGAAGACGAAGAAGAAAACAGAGAAGCAGAGAAAAGCCATGGTTGCAACCGCTGCCAGCATACTCGACCATTTCCGTTGACCACGGAAGAGCTGGCAGTTCCAGACCTGGAATGTCATCCAAATGTGGATGACGGGTTGCAAAAGAAAGGTAAAACAAACAAATGAATTGTTTTTACAAATAGATGATGCCTACTGAAAGTAGTACAACCAACCGATCAATCAGTTAATACGGACGGGATAGGCGGCTCGATCGGACACGGACGGACGGACGAACGCCCTCGGATAACAAACTTAATTGAACAATTATGAAATGACATGTAAATCGTATTACTGTGTATCTGTACAGGTATTAACTCGCATTAACCACTTGAGCTGGTGCGTTGGTGTAAAGGGAGCGAGAAAACCAATCGACAGAATGACACAGCATCATGACGAGGAAGTCGAAGGTTGGAAAGATGCCTTGTGTCAAGATTCGACGGAGGAGACATTTGGACGGAAAAAAGGTATGTATGACAAGAACTTGATGAGGTTAGGAAACATAATGTGCATGGAAGTCAGCAGAAATCATGAATAATTGTTCATAGTTTTCATTTTTTTTATTGTCTTCATAGAACCCATGGGATATGTGCTATGTTTTGACAATGTGAAACACTTCATGACAGCTCGCCACCAATCTAAAACAGCACCACACCAGCAGCTAAATCTCACACAAATATTATTATGCGAGCAAGGATAGGATAACCACCAACGACCTTTGAAATGACAACCCCGACAGTGACACCATCAAACGTAATTGCCATTTCATTCCTTCTACCATGTTCACAAGAAGAGAGCATGATTAGAGATGGTGATCATAACATCGCGAATCGTTTGCCAAGATCTCACCCCTCTACAGCACCTCAAGTACGAGCGGAATATCTCACATCAATATAGCGAGGAGTCATCCAATCAAAGCCACATGGTAACGTGCGAACATTTATAGGCAAAACCAACAATTTTAATTCGTATTTAACCTGCTGATATTTTGCAGGTAACAATATTGTTATAATCCACCTTATCGGTTCCCCCTTTCTGAATAATTACAGTTCGCTTTGAAAGAGTAGAGGTTGCCGCTCTCCGCACTTAACTACATAGAATCAGACTTGAAAAATTGTATAACACACTTTCTTCAGCATTTTTGTAAAAATCCCATTCATTTTGTAATTCAATAACCATGTTAATTATTTCACAGACACTGCGCTGATATGCCGTGACAACAGGAATTGCCAGAAGAGATCCTGGTTTCACACAGTGTGAAGTATACTTCGAGAGGACAGTGTCCCAAAGGGCAAGTGGTACTACTCCTCCGATTGTCGCCGTGCATCGTTGTAAAAGAAAAAAACACGTTGGGAAAAAGAGATATATAAAACTTTACACTTTATATATATCGACAATCATACCTTGTTTTTTGTGTGTGTAAAGAGCTAAACAAGTAATTCAAAAAATTAAATCAAATCTTTGATAATTAATTTTACAGGCAAAGGCAACAGAACAAGCAGCAGTCGACCACATGCGTGAGAACAATAAGAGTGTAATATTCCTCGGTCTCAACTTCCTCGTTCGGAGGGACGCGATTCGGCGAAACGACGGCCAGAGAATGATCATGAACTGGAAAGTGGATCTGCAGAAAGATTTGCAAATGTCCTACAAAGATCTGTAGCATAAACGATATCATTAATGCACTTGTAGTAAGCTTAAGTGAATAAATCCGACATGTAGGCGCAGGCAGGCAGTGCCAGTTATGGGCAGGGCTTGCATTTGGGAAAGTTAGCGAGGTATTGTATACCCAAAAGGAGAGTCATTGACTTTGTTGCCTGCTGCGTATGACAAACTTGAATTCTCAATTACATATGGAAACAATTACCGCACATAAAATTTAGGGTGGAGAACCTACAAATAATTATACAATGGATACAATCACACACACACATGTTTGTTTTACATATCTAGTGTGGACATTCCTTTGTTTTCGTGTAGTTAAGAAAAACCAGTGAAAAAAACTCATTTTACTCAAACTGTAAAACTCTTTCAACACAATGTGTTTGCTATGATTCCCTTTAGTAGTTACATTCACAATACAGTATCAAAACATTCATCCTCCAGGGTGTGTGATTATTTTTTAAAAATCTTAAAATTAATAGCAAATATCCCGTCGCTTCCCATGTGGGTTCAAGTTAATACAAATATGGATAAAAGGGAACATACTACTAATTCACGATTCGACAATCGAGGACTCCCGCCTACGCATAAGTTACGCATAAAAACTTTAACGAACGGTGGCGCTATTTACATTGCAAAAAGAAAACAATACATCTAAGTGCCAGGCAGCGCATCGGTCTGGCTGGTCACATTACTATATCAAACAATTCGAAGAGAAAAAGGTAATATTAAAAACACACGGAAAAAAATAATAAATGTACTTCACAATAATTCTCAACCCCAAATTACTGCTATTTACATTGAGGGCACTACCGCCAACAACGATTTATCGCTAATCACTTCAACCACTAGGCCTACTGATTTCTGTCTACAGGACCTCTGTATATTGTATGTTCACCGTAAAAAAAAAAAACCACGTCATGAAAGAGCATTTAAGGTTAGCACAAAATGTCTGCTGTAGTTAGCGCAATTTTTCTGTCGACTGTTAAGCAGCGCAACGAAATTGACACTTGTTCCATCTCGTATGGATGATCCCTGATTCCTCACTCGTCTTCGACTAGCGCCGTGAACATTCCATCCTCGTCGGCTAGGAGCTCGTCAGGGCTTCCAAACTCTGCCACCCTTCCCGCGTCCAACACGATAATCTTGTCATAGGTCCTAATGGTCGCTATACGATGCTTTGAGAAAAAGAATAAAGACAACAGGTTGTGTTGAATGATAATAATTGGTACGATTAAATAAACTCTTTCCAGCAAAACTCCTTTTTTATCTCTTGTTTTGGTATTTAGTTAAATGAGATAGAGTGAAAACATTACATATTTGATTCACTAATCTTGTGGGAACAGAGAGAGAGGTTTGCGGATTCGCCATGTGGAAGTTATTAGGTATTAAATGCCATGCACTAAAGAAGAAACCAAGAGGTTTCGACTAGAACTTTCCGGTAATTTTTACCGTCATTGGGAGTTGATCCTCTCATTTTTCTTAGATTTCAACTACACCTTTTTGTTTTCAGTTCCTCCATCATTGTTTCAGGAAACTTCTCCTAATTTGTACTAGCACCTATGCAAAGCCACAAACCGTATTGAATATTATTGTGTTTCATTGTAAATGCACATAAAAAACTCTTGTATACTTACTGCGATTGTTAAAACAGTTCTATCTGCAAAGGCATTAGCAACAATGGTCTGCAATATCTTGTCCTGCGGGATATTATTTGAGAAAAAAACATAATTTCTCGTTAAAATTGTGGTAGTTATAGGGTAAATGGCAAATGGCGAATTTTAAAGATTAATAATACGATATCCAATATTGTGTTTGTTTTTTCTTTTGTCGATGTCGATGTCGACCTGCAGAAACATCAAGTCAAATATAGAACCAACTATTTATTGAATTTGTATCTTCATCAGTGTGTCTTTAAATATCAATATTTCCAAAGACAGACATCTTAATATCTCGCAATAACACTTTTAATGTTTAAATCAACATAAGCGATTTGTATTCATGATTGTTATAAATCTGATAAATCTGCTATAGTAAACCCAAAATAGCATTTCTGCATTACTACAAACAAGTACTTCAATGTTCGAAGAGACAAATACAAGCGACAATCAAGCCCAGGCGTTGAAAACAAATACTTTCATCAAATGCGTCAAAACTGTATCATTTCGTCAAAAATTGTGATTGTAGTTACCGTTTCCATATCTACTGAGGCTGTGGCTTCATCCATAATGAGGATATGTGATTTCCTAAGAAAGGCACGAGCCAGACAGAACAGCTGCCGCTGGCCAACGCTGTAATTCTCACCGCCCTCTGTAACAACTGCATCTGTGGTAAGACAAGTTTTCAGCACAGGTCTTATATTAACTTTGCCACCGCTCTCTTCTTTAACCTTAAGGCGTCAATTTGTATAATTCATTAAAAAAGGTAAACTTTTCAGGGAGGGTATCTTATATTACGTCAGACATAAACTGACATCACATACCAGTATCATAAGTCTCTGCTGGCAAGGTATTGCTCAATTTTCACATCGTGAACTATTGTTTTCTTTGAGATTATTAAACAAATTCTTCATGTTCCCGTCTGGAAATTTCTGTAACCCTGTTGACTGCTTATATTGCAGTGACGTTTCTACAGTATTTAATGACCGATAAGTAAACAGGCAATGAAATCGGTTATATTATTTACCTAATCCACCGTCAAGCTGGGAGACGACGTCTTTCAGCTGTGCAATCTCGAGAGCATGCCACATCTCATCATCGGACACGTTCCTTTCCGGATCCAAATTTGCTCTGTATCAGAACGAAATAAACATTGATGAGCTTTTTAAACTATTGATTCTTTGACGTGCTTTAATCAAATCAACAGGACCTAAAATATTTCTCATCTATCTGCTCGGTATCATTGAGTAACACACCCCACTCTTAAAGGCGTTTTATACTTCCGTTTTAGTTTATACCCTGGCAGCCCTGTGCTCATTCCTAAGATAGGTAGGGCCTATGCTTTATTTGCTCTTTTGTATTTATTGTCTTAACTGTGTGTTTTCTGCAGTGAAGTTTTGTACTCGTTGTGATAAGAATCTGCGAAATAAAGTATTGGAATTTGTACATAATTTTGTTCCTCCTATATTTTGCACTAATTGATATATTTCATGCCTTGTTAGTTAGTTTACGTATTGAACGATTACCGATACATGATAACAAAACGATATTGCAGTGAGCTATAAGTTACTGGTTAGTACTGGAGAGAAGGCAATCACTGTGTATTCGTTGCGGGTTCTTAAAAATACCATTGTATCTGACAGTCTAATTAAATAATGTTTTCGTACGTTTTGTGTGTCAGAGCAAGGAGAGAGGGGGTTCGAATCCCCCTCCCAAAACCGCACCTGGATTGTAATAGGATTATGTTTACGGACTTGGTATTATTAATGACATATCGAGAGAAAAAAGGCCATTTGATAAAAATGCACATTTCAATTCCAAATGAACTATACGTCGTGCAGTTTTACAATTATGAAGGTTGGATCATAGTGATCAACAAATTTACCTGACGGGTCCCGTGAAGAGCACTGGGTCTTGTGGTATAATTGATATGCTGCTCCTAAGTTCCATTAGTGGTACGGACATAATGTTGACACCGTCGATGAATATCCGACCTGAAGGAAATATCATTGAGTAACAAAATACTTTAAGTACAGTCACAAACGTACAAGATATATTATTTCCTTGCGATTTTCTTTACTAAACGTTGTGTGGGTTGCCCCGTTTCAAATTTTGATATCTTATAGCAACTGATGCTTTGTGATAAAAATTGGAACTTGTTCTTGTCAAGCAAACCAATGTTTAATGAATGAACAATGGAATCGTCTCAATATACGAACCCTAAACTAAATGTGATACCCCAATTTCTTGAGCTTAAACTGTCAAATTACATAGCTCCTTCATATAATTATGTAGTCAATTCTAGAGTGCATTTTAATGTTAAGATCTACAATCACACAGCCTCCCCCTAAAAAGTTATCTGTTCAAATGAACAAGATCGTATTTTCTGTTGATTGGATTTACCTTCAAAGATGTCTATGACACGCAGCAGTGCCAAGGTGAGGGAGGATTTGCCACTTCCCGTTCGGCCACAGATACCAACCTGTAAAAAAGGCAAGTAATATTTCAGTTTCTTTATGATGTTCACTCCACCACAAGAACTTTAATCAAGTCAGTGGCAAGTTTGACAAAAACCAATCTCACAGTCAATCAGAATTCCATGTCATCAAGTCACAAATAGCTGAGGATGGTCATTGACGATTGAATTTCAAAGCCACTGATCACTGACGTAATTTGTCACATGAGAATGGATGATTGTGATGATTAGATTTCACCTTGATATAATACAATTTGCTAATCTAACCTTTTCCCCAGATTTGAGGAACACAGACACATTTCTGATCACAGCATCAAGACCCTCTGCATACCGAACCGAGACATTGTCAATTCGTATCTCTCCAGTATGCGGCCAGCCTTTTGAAGGCTCGGTCCCTGTTTGAATAAAGAAATAATCTACAATTTAGTTTACAACAAGCTAACACATTTTAAGATAGGCGAATGGCATGGTATTGGGTTGAATCATAAACTACACGTTTTATACATTTAGCATAAACTGTATAGTGACCTTTCTTTAGTGCTTGGTCACTAATGCTAGAATATCAGACTCCGATTGGCCAGCACTTTGTGGGCGTGACTTAAGAAAGACAGGGAGCCTACAAGGTGACGCACATTACAATATAGATGCTGTATTAGCAGAGAGGCAGCATTCGTGTCTTGTTATGATTTACTGAAAACATCGTCAGAAAATTTCTAAAGGGACTGCCTGTCTTATAATGTATGAAAAGAGGTAAGATCTCCAGTCTAGTATTAATCCCGAGAGAAAAGTACAAACTACTTGCCTCCGTAGTCCTCCCTGCCCACGTTCGTGTAGTGCTGAATTCGCTCCACAGCGTTCATCTGCATCTCAACCTCCGTCCGATTTCTCATGAAAAAGTTGAGATATTGAGATATCTGGCAATATCAAAGAAAATAGGTTGATAAGAATCTACAGTTAAGCTGCAAAAGAAACATAGGAATGTCAGTTTTTTTAAAACTGTTGCAAATGGTAGTATCTGTGCTGAATACGCCGCTTAACGAGTTTACAGAGATATTCTGCTTCGTCTTCCATCAGATTTCTTTTTTAGTCCAACTCAAACAATTGTTAGCATTCTTGTGTATCAATCGGTTAAAAATCGCATTTGCTAGTTTATACGTACATAATTATAATGACTCGCAGGAGACAACAAAATACATGATGTCATAACAGGGACTTAAAAACGCGAAGAATAAACTTTACCAACACGCCAAAATAGCAACAACGAAGGAATTGTGTTAAGTTTTGGTGTAAAGTTATAACGATTATTACAAAATAGTCATGTTTGTATATATAGGCCTACTTGAAATATGAAGCTTGACATAATAACATAATTATAGAAGTCGATATCAATTGGATTTCTCAACTTTTGGGGTTTTGGGTCTATGTACAATCTTGCATATACCTGTAAACTGTAGGTGGAACTCAGGCCAACCGCACTAGAACTGATAATATTGAACACCAAGGAGCCAATTAACGTGGTCAACGTAGCAATAAGCACAAACAAGGCTCCCACGAGGTCCTGTGTAAGAATAACAAGAAAACAGCTTCAGCAACACTTCCGAGTTGTGTTGTTTTGCATCGCCGGCGAACCCAGTCTCAGACACTTGTAATTTGTTCTTTAAAAAAAACTGAGAAACAAGTCGAAAAGCGTGTTTTTGCTGGTTGCTTAATGATGTTAGAATAAGGATCTACTCTTTTAAAATGATAACTATTTGAACTTTACAATGTCACAAATATGGGAGAATCTAAAAAGATTTGGGTTATGCATTTCTTGAATTGATACACGACAGACCATTAAATCACCTTTGTACAGGTGCAGTATATCGTAGACATATCTAGACTCACAAATTCGCAAAACAGAATGAACAGCGAGGAAAAACACATCGATATCCTGAGTATTCTCATATTGGTCGTATTTTCAAGCTCTGTATTAAGCGTTTGGTGTTGTTCCTTGTTTGAAACTCACCAGCCTCACACCAAGCCATCTAGCCCCAACCTGCAAATAAAGAAACGCCGTTGTGTTCCTGTCGATTCGAGTCAGGATTGTGTTGTAGAAGGTACTCTCTTTTCTGTGAGGTGAACATGAGAAAAGCATTATAACATAAATTATTAATAACTAAAAACCATACTAGTAAAATAGTGTCAAAAATAACAAATGAAATGTAAAGTTCCTAAATGTATTCTCGAATTGACTGAGAATGCAGAATAAAGCATAGTAGATTCATGGGAACCCCTAGCAAGGCGTGCCTTCAGCACGTCTTTACTTACCCCCTCCCCCCCTTATGTAAACTCCCCCCCCCCCCAACAAAGAGTGATCCACGCCAGAATGCCTTTGAATGTACCTGTAAGCACGGATTGTAGTCAGTCCGCCAAGACTCTCCGAGAAATAAGAAATGACTGGAGATTTGCTGGTGCTGTCCAACCGTTGCATCTCTCTGGGCAAAAACAATTAAGAAACAAAACAATTAAGACAAAACAATTAAGAAATTAGATAGTCCCAAGATAGTAAATAGTTTCATAGGAGCTTGTGTTTTCATAGGAGTATGTATTTCATGTGACAACGTAGCGAAATGAAACGCATGTTCAGAGAGATTCTCAAATTCAAACGAAAATGAATGACCGATTTTCAGAAGTGAATTAACATTTTAGGAAATTGGCCGGGAAAACCTACAGTTCGTGTCGAAATGACGTGTTGTTTTCCCCGGGTAAAATAACCCAGAAAAAGTGACCCAAAAAATGTCAGGTTAAATCTGAAACCGGATCCTGGTCGAATCTGCTACGGGACTTTTAAGAGTGAAGAGCAAACCGTTTTTGAAAACGTTACTTTACCTGGATGCCGCTAGGTAGTACTTTTGTAAGAAGAAATACAAGATGGCTATCGGGACGACAAAGGCGAGGAAGATTGGCATGACAATACCAACGACAACTACTGACGCTATAATCTGCATGATGCTGACGGTGAATCCATTGTACGAGTTGGCTAGTCTCTGGGTAAAGACAATGATGTTGGATTTCATTCACCTGCCTATGTTGTCAAATATCATATTTCCATTTCTTCAGGATGGATCATGGAAAGAATCGGATTTTGTGCATTGAAAACCAATCCCACTGTCTACCTCCTTTTTCAGGTGTAGCCTTTACATCAAAACAAAACTATATTATTAAAGCATTTGCATCATGAGGAGCCAATCGTTCCCCGTAGTCCTATTTACTTACAAAGTCGATTATCTGGGTGTCATTCGAGAATCGATTTAGAATCCGCCCGACAAGAGTGGTATCGAAAAACCTGTTTAGAATGAAAACATAAGAAACAAAAACAAATGTCACGAAGGCCTACACAAATCAAATTGAATCCATGAAAACAAGTATTAATTTCATGTCATGTATACAGTACGACTACGGTATGACTTGGATCATTCCTTGACCTTTCTCTATAATAAATGACGAAGTCTGTGTTCCTATGCCATGTTCCTTACGGAAACAATGGGTGTAATCAAAAAAAACATTCCTTAGAAAACATACATTTACTCCTAAATGTATATGCAACACAAATGAGGAAAGTCGCTACACTGAACATGGCTATTAACATACTGCTATACCGAACATCGTCCTTGGCTCCCAAAGTTGAGTGTATATAAAACCTTCTTTTTTTTGGCACATGTCATGGTTTCCACATTTACCTTAGCGGTGCATGTACGATATTCCGTAACATTTTCATATGCAGGCGCTTGGCCGTCAACGTGAAAGACAGAATAATAGCCGATGTTTGAAGTACTTGACTTAATGCGGTTCCGATCGAGAGGCCTGCGTACCCGCCAAGATACTCGTTGTAAGTTCTGTCACTCTAAATATATAGACAAGAAAATAATGGTTTGATTGAGTTCAACACATCTTGTCGATATCTCGCAAAATGTAAGGCTCATCAAATATTAAGTGATACCTGTGCACAGGTCACCAGTAATACTTGCGCAAATCACAAGGTAGTTGAACTGGTCCTGTATTCGCCTTCCACCAGTATGGTCAGTTTTTATTCCTGCCCGGCCCACACATGGATTGTTTTATTACATGAACTGAAAACTGCAGCACTGAAAAGAAGGGCTGTGGTGGGAGCGGAGCAAGTGATCTCAACTGTGTATAATTTGAGGAGGAGACCACGGACAAATGCCTTTGTCTAATGTGCTGTGGTTTCCCCGGAAAATTCTTCCAACTCAAAAATGAAACTTGTTCATCATTGTCTTCTCTTTTGCCTGCGAAGTAAAGTGCCACGGGCACCTTTGATGAATCATTCGCCCTAACCTTCCCAAATACTCCACAATCATCTTTGCAAAATGGAGGATTTTGCAGGATGGCAAAAGTGTGTTGCTGATTTCGGAGGATGCACTTTATGTCAAGGTCTTGGGCTGGACCTTGTGTTGTTTATAATAACTTTGAAGATGACAGAGGTTCTGTGGCAGAAATCATATTTCTGACCTCGTTGGCCGGATGTAAGCCAGATTCAGACCAGTCGGACAGCCAGAAGTTGGTAACGACAGACAGCGATGATTGCATGGCCACAGCGAGGGCAACGAAGCAGATTACTGCCCAGCCGATGTTGCTCATCAGATACATGTAGGTCTTATAAGACACAGCTCCACGGACCATTTCTTCCTGCTGTATTAACTTCCCATCACCCTGAATAAGTTCTAAATTAGTAGAACAAAAACAACCACAGATGTGCTTGATATTAGGCCCATTTTCAATACACAAAATCTCCTTCAAGCCTGGGCAAATCTTGTTTAATTGTTTAGCCTGTTGTGTAATTGAACATAACACTGACTCTTGCATGGAAGTTTTTTTTTTAATTTAGGAAGTTGTTTTTTTAATTTGAGTCGGCACCCTACTACTCTGGCCCATGACCACAGGCCATTCATTCATGGCATCATTGAGACCACTAACACCCACTGAAACCACAGAAATGTCGTTGGAGATCGAAAGACTGTTACATTTTGGATGTACCACGGGCCCCACTAGTGATCTAGTACTAAAGTGATCTAGCGATATAGATGAACTCGGGCGTGTCTACCAAGTGGCTGGGATAATATAAAGCAGAAAAGTGTGAGTAGACTTGAATCATGCTGGCTCAGAAAAGGGTTTTGAATAAAGTGTAACTTACAATAGACCTAATCTCAAAATACTTTTAAAGGGATATTTATTCACGTAGCACGGTTATATTTATTTTTATGTTCACGCTTGGCAGCACAAGATCTTGAAAGTGAAACCCGCAAGGTGAAATAATCACTGATTCATTGTACCTGCTGATACGACGGAAATGCTTCGCTTCAACTTTGACCGTTCCTCCTCGGCGCTCTCGGCTTGACTGTCATTCCATCCCACTGCTGACACCTGTTTGATCTCCTCGTACATTTCGGGATCTGCCTTAATGATGTCATCTATGCTTCCTCTGGCAACGATACGACCATCTTTCATTTCCAGTATCTGACAGCATGTGACATTGAAACCAGCAATCAGCCTTGTATATCACACTCTGGGTTATTGTAATGTTTTCAAGCTAAGAATGTTACAGACATATTTCCTATAGTCGAGATCCTCTGATTTTGTTTGCCGTTTTGGATGTCTTTTAGACCTAGGTCCATTTTCTGACGTGGGGGCGATAAGACTTGGAAATGATTTAATGTTATGTAGGGTGTATGCATTCACCAACCAAAGATATCTGATAAGAATATGATTAGAATCTCGGGAAAATGACAACAATAGACAAAGTAACTATACACCAGAATCGAATTGGCAGTTTGCATATTTTAGCTAGTGCATTGCTTTAATACAGGTTGCTGAAGTTGTCTATGTCATTTTATGGCAAGCTGGACATGATACAGACACCTTCTTAAGCTCCAGATGTCTTGATATATTGTTTATTAGATTCGACACTGTATCTGGTCTTGCAGGGTTGTTTGCCTTATCCTTTTGCGATTATGGTTTTCACAGGATATATGATCAAAATTTGGTTTAAGTAAACTTTTGTATTGGCCAGAAGCAAATAGCGTCAACTTAGTGTGTATCAAATAAAAAAAACAAGACTGATGGAGTTCCTGTTGATTTGTTTTCTAACGGTTTATACCAAATGCACAAACTCACCAGGTCGGCTCTGCTAAGATACTGCAGCTGGTGGGTGACAAGAATCACTGTTTTGTTTTTGTTCACAAGCTGTTTCATGATTCCTTCTTCGAATAGTTGACGGCCGACGTGAACATCCAGCGCCGACAGGGGATCGTCCTGCATAATAAAAAAGAATGAAATAATCTAAAAGTATTAAATGTGTGCTCTTCAAGCAACCTGACAGTATCTGAGTAGAGCTGGCCTAGCTTGCTCGTAAGAGTGTCCTCATCATCTCCCATTACGTGACTTAGCTTGGTTATCTTGTCGATTCTCTTATTTACTTTTTTATTATGTTTATTTTTATTTTTGTAATTTTATTTATTTATTCCTCTTTCGTTTTACTATGTGCATTATTTGCGTTTTTACATACAGAGTTGGAACTAAATGTGAATGGCATCTACATCTTTGTTCATCTGATACTCAGTCATCAAGACCAGTTGGTTTTCTATTCAGGATAATTGACCTTAACATATGCGGTGAGTGGTACTCTAAACTAAAGTGATTGGTGCATTTGTTGTAGCAACATAGTTCCATTACTGTCCTACTCAACTCAGAGTGTACCATACAAGGGCTTTGAACGTCACATTTTAAAATTCTCTTCCCACTGTGACAGGCATGAGAAGACACTTTATGAGTCCGTTTTTAGTCCAACGAAACTTCTCAAAGATGCCATCTAAAAGGGAACAACACTTACGAATGTGTTTTGCGGAATTCAATTCATTTACCAAAATGATGATATCCCTGTCAGCGTAAATGGTCCTTGCCACACTGACACGCTGCTTTTGTCCTCCGCTCAGATTGATGCCTTTCTCTCCAATCTCTGTTTTATCTCCAGCCGGTAAAATGTCGATGTCTGGTAAGAGCGCACATGCATCCAAGACCCCTTTATACCTTTCGATTGATCAAAAGCAACAAACAAAATAAATAAGGACCACAAGAGCGATAAATTGGTAATAATTATAAAACTCTATTTCGTAAGTGCCGACACTACGCTTAAAAATATAGTGGAAGTAACGGCTCAGTCAATTCATGTCAATAATGTTATAATTCTATAATAAACAAAATAATTTGAGTAAATATATTCCCACCGAACAGATTCTTGACCATTTCTCCTTTCAACATTTAATAGCGGAAAAATTGTCATACATGCACATTATATTTTCAAGAATCTTTACTTTCAAGAAATAATATCGGAACCTTACACTTTCTTTGTGTATTTTCTTGAAAATGACTTAATTTCATAAAATGAATATAATAAAAGTACCGTTTCCTTTCCAACTTTGTAGTGAACAGAATATTCTCCCGCATCGAAGCATTCATAAGCCAGGGTTTCTGAGCTGCAAATGCAATGCCGTCCTTTTCACTGAGACAAGACATTAAAAAGCAATTTACCTGTTTAGCAAAATATAATTCAGATTTTTAATCTTCAGACAAATCTGAGGTCTAGACCACACAATAAATTCAATTTCTTTGGTTGTCCAAATGGGGCACCGTTCAGTATTGATGCGCGAGGCTATTGGTAACCAACATTGCAACCAGCCTCATTCTGGTCGCAAATAGTCGACTAGACCAGCCCAGCCATCGCCGACTAACCAGCTTCAGATCAATGTCAGTCGAAACATTGTTAACTCTTGATTAAATGTGCTCCATTCGACTTAAAATGACAATGAAATATTCATGAAGTCAGTCGATCATATCTAGGCCTACTCACTCATTAATGTGTACATTCCCAGAGAGTGTCGTCATTTCATTCAACATGGCCGCCAATAGTGATGACTTCCCACTTCCAACCTGACCAATCACTATTGTCAATTTGCCTGCAAAGCAAAGATATTAGTCAAGAGTATAAGTCAAATTATTGGTCAAGAACTGAAAACACTACAAGCAAAATGCTTAATGACAAAAGCAAAAACTCATGTACCGGTATCCGTTTTAAAGCAATTGCTAATCTGGGAAGCATTTGCTTGAAAATTTTTTTTTTTGCTTTTGCTTCAAAGTAGAAGCTTTTGCTTGTTTATAGTTTATGTTTAAAAATGTAAGGAAAAACCCCCAAAAAAATCAATTGCTGTTTTGTATGTATTCGGCCCTTTAACTATGACCTATGACCTATGACTAGGCTGCAACCTTTTCACGTATGTTCACTTTTATGAGTATAACAACATCCCGGGCACACACCAAGACAAATATAGTAAGGCCAAGTATAACCGGCATCATAACGGAGCAATTAAGATGGTATAAGTGAAATATATTAAAGCATTATTCAAGACCAACTTTATTTTTCTATTCACTTACCTGCTGGAATCTCCACATCTATGTTGGACAGGACAGGTGTCGTACTTTCAGGGTCCCAAACAAAGTTACCATCAGTGATCTGCATTTTGCAAAGTGTGGAATAACGCTTCGACATTTAGTAATTTCAACATTTTGCGAAGCAAGCGGATATCACCGTTCTCGTTTGTTGGTGAATTAAAGTAACAGAAATCGAAGAAAATCCTTAATTAGAACTAGCATCTTTCAGATGCATTATAGATGCAGATGCATAAAAAACTAACCCCCAAAATCCATCTACTTCTGAAAATAACATACAGCAAAAGCAAATGATGTTTATTCTCTTAAAGTTAATGTGTAAATCTTATCCCATTGGAATTGGTGAAATTATAATCTGTTAGATCTATGGTTTGCATGAACGAATTTCCATGGCATTTTTACTGAATATACACAAGAGTATAATTAATATGCTCCATCAGATGAAAGACTAATGTTAAGTAGTTTTTGGGGGAAATTAAAGGATATCTGCTTCCACTTATTTTGGGACATCCTGTACAGTGGGCAGGTCTCAATCAACTTTAACACAGTGTAATTTAGGGTGCTCAGATCTAAATGTTGTAAATCTCAAGCGAATTCTTCTTTTTATTGTTACACATTTTAAATATTTTATATAAAAGTCAAAACAAACTGCCATGCCTTGATTGCTAATCGGTCCGTATTTGGGCTGGAAGGTACAGGTGAGCTGGTAGACTCTGTTAGCGAGATGCCATTCGTTATTGGCCCCGTCTCCTCATCCGTGTCATCGGTCTGGATGCCGATAGAGATTGTTGGCTCGAGATCGTCGGTAACGAGTTGGTGAAACACTACCCTACTAGCATCGTTATACTTCTGCGGGAATATAAACACACAGAGCCCTTTGAACGGATGGTTCATCAAAAAAACTTTTCAATATTTAAAAAAACCCAGGATGACCACACCCTTCATCGACACGTAAGGCTTGCACAATTTGACATTTTGGTTTTTTCCCACCAAAAGAACTACTCAAAATTACCAAAATTACCATAAGCCTAGGCCAGATAATGTGTACGAGATAGGTGATCTGGGCAGAGTGTATGATCTTAAGAAATCATTACCAGACACAAATCAATATTTCTGAAACGGATGAGATATTCCCTTTTTTTCAGATAGGTAAGGTTTCAACTCACGAATATTTATTGACACTAAGGGTTAATATTTCTTGACATAAAAAGTATGCTGCACGAACTGATGTTCTTAAGTTCGTCTATTTGAGGAAGTTATATCATTACGTCAGCTCCCATACCTTCTGATCTTTTGAATGGTTATTTTCCTGCGTCTCTCCATGCTCCTTAAGTTTTCCACGGTTCCCTTCGACTTCAGGAGCCAGGAGGAAGTTTAGAATTCGCTTGGAGCTGACGATAGAGCCCACGACGGTCGATACCGACAGGGGTATCTGGAAGAGCGGAATCGCGATCAAATTGAAGAACGACAAAGAAGAAAAGGTGATTTCAGGCGTCAGCGGTGTTCCGTAAAGTGGCTCAAATGTCACAAAGGCCTGGGAAGAATGAAAAATACACAGAATTGTAAATCACAACAACATAACCTTCCAATTAAATTATATGTTTAGAAGCAAACAATACAATTTCCTTTCAGCGTGTTTTGAGTTAAATCACAAGAGAGCACTAAAACATGAAGCAAAATGTCGACAACAAGATGAAAAATAAATGGAATACGAAAGGAATATTAACTCTTTGATTGACATGCTGTATTTGCGAACTGAATACTGTTGTTCATCAGAGGCAGGTGTTCATTCGTTCTGACAACAAGCCCGGACGAAATATCTCCTCGTACAATATGTGAGTACTTTTACGGGAATATGGCATGTGGAAGTCTTTTCAACTTTTATTCAGAAGAAATAGTTGAAATTTGGCTCCTACTATACGTTCCGCAGTCGCCCCAAATCTTTGGTTGACTTAGTTCATTTCCCAATGACTGGGGCCCACGTTCAATCGCTAGTTAGTTAAAGATTCCGGGATTCAAATTCTAAGAAAATCTGCACTCACCACTAATGTCACTAAAATTGGAACTCCGAATGTTATAGACACTGCAACAAAAATAATGTAAACGAGTTGTTACGCAATAAGTAAAAAAAAATACTGCAATGGGAACTTGCGCGATCCCCCGGCATAATTATGCTTGCAGTTATTAAGGACACTTGTCAGTGTACCTAACCAAAATGGAAGATTTCTATTGTTTTAGCAATAGTGACTTTGACCTTTGAACTGTTGGCCCTAAAAGCCATAGGCTTCTTAAGACTACCTAGAGCAAGCCACAAACCTCATATGAAGTTCCTTAGCAAAGTACAAAATGTACTTCTCAAGTTATCGCGCTGACAAGAGTTAACCTAACCAAAACATGACATACATTATTATGTATAGGCAGTATATTATTTAAACAATTGTAGGCAGTATAAACGGAAAACCATTTCATGAATATCAATGAATACAGCAGAATTTCTAAAAATCATAGCAGCTCTAAATTTTACATTTGAAACTCAATCAGGTACGAATGTCCAAACGTTCCATCTTTTACAACGATGATCAATTCCCGTTAGTGGATACAAAGTAACAAAATATCACGTGCATTAAAAGTCATATTGTACCATGTTTTTAATTCATAAGACTTTGCTTGAATACCAGCCAAGTTATAAAATTATTATTTGAACATGCTTCGTCAAAATAGGTTCTGTTTTCTATAATAAGGATACATCATCTGCCTTACCCGAGGTGATCATGCATAAACTGATGTACAATAAGTGGCGCACTTCTTTCTTTCGGACCGCCTCGATTTGCTTACAATAGAGCTCTTCCCAGGCGTACATCTTCAATAGTTTGATTCCTTGTAGAAGCTCGTTGGTTAGCTTGAGACGCTGGTCCGAGCAACCCTGAAACAGACAGTTGCAATAGGGCCATGTTGGTAATGTTTCTTACCCGTTTTTTTTTTCAAACTTGACAATCGATCCTGACCCAGAAATAGCCACATACATGGGCGTGGCGAGGGGGGGGAAGGGGGGCACTTGCCCCCCCCCCCCCCCGGAAAAGCAAAAAAAAACAAAAAAAAAAGGAAGGAAAAAAAGGGAAAAAAAGAAAAGAAAAAGAGGCGCGAAGACAAAGTGGTGTAAATTTAATGAGTTGGGGGGGGGACAAAATGTCCCTGCCCCCCTCTAAAACTGATAAATCGAGAATGTGTTGAGAAATACAAGCATTTTTTTGCAAAAAAAATGTTTGCCCCCTCTAGAAAAAATCCTGGCGACGCCCATGGCCACATACATAGTGGTTTGAAGGTAGCAGTTGGAAGGGGGCGTGGTTTTCGACATGCACCCCTTTTGGCAAATCAGTGGTGAACCAACATGTAAATTGTCAGAGTGCTTCAATCTTTGTTGTGTGTGTCCAGGGGACCTCCATTCATCTTTTCGGACCATTAGAGAACAAGTTGTGTCCCTCCAAACACTGTTAATTGCGCGTAAAACAAAACGACTTGCGCTGCAGTGCCTTCGTGTGTATATTTTCCTAATAGAATGGTGGCAGGGTTAAAGAAAAATATCGCGCAGGATATATCGAAGAATTAATTTGTAAGTTTTCCTTTGATAAATTTTTTTTAGGTCGATATAAGCTAACACAAGACAAGCATTTTTTTTATTGCTAGACTTTTTTTTATTCTCTTTCAGCTATATTTCACTAAATAGTTCTAACCCTTCAAAGTTTACGTCCTTCATCAGCTGACAGTTCTTTCAAAAACTCACCAAAATAAGCTTCTGCCTGTTGGCAAGGATGGCTGCAACTCGGAACTGAATCGGGACAGCGACGAGGAACAAGGAAGCTCCTAGGAGCGCCGAGAAACCAATTTCGAAATACAGGAAAATCAAGATGATGATGATCTGCAAAAAAAAGAAAAAGAAGGACCGAAAACTTTGCTTGTGATTGTGGTAGAGAATTAATATATGACGTAGACTTGATGACAAGTCGTTATTTATTTCGTATTTTACCTGTGAACTTCAGTCCGGAACTCCATCGGCGACTAAAGTACGTAATCAGCCGGGTTGCGACAAATCTAACGAATTGACGATTACGCATCCGCACCCTTATTCATAACATGCAAGAAGTGCAGTACATACGCAGTGCATTTTTGCCGTGAGATCCAATCGCACACTGGCTTATCGTTTAGAAGGGCAAATAAATATTTATAGAAAGCTGCTTAACCTGGCTTGTTTCATTTTATTTGTTTGTAATATTATTGTTGTACAAGTTCATCACGACCTAGGGAAGCAATTAGTTCATCAAGAAGACTTACCGTAAAAGGAGCCGACCACATAAAGTTAATGAACTGAAACATGACCTGGACATTTGTGGCATCTGCGGACATGTGGTTGGTGACTTGGCCCATGGACATCTGGCCTCCCGAAGTAGTAAAAGTGGCCAGTCGTAACGCCTTCTTGTAGACCACACTCTAGTGCAGATAAAGAAAAGATACATTAGTGGCATCTGCGGACATGTGGTTTGTGACTTGGCCCATGGACATCTGGCCTCCCGAAGAGGTAAAAGTGGCCAGTCGTAACGCCTTCTTGTAGACCACACTCTAGTGCAGATAAAGAAAAGATACATTAGTGGCATCTGCGGACATGTGGTTGGTGACTTGGCCCATGGACATCTGGCCTCCCGAAGAGGTAAAAGTGGCCAGTCGTAACGCCTTCTTGTAGACCACACTCTAGTGCAGATAAGGAAAACATATCATTCTTTTCTAGTTCTTTAACAACCGGGACTGCCCATCCTATTACTCTCAGTACTACCCCGAAACTCCCCATCACACTCTATGATCTCCTGGATTAACCAATAAGTCAAACTTTATACAAATATTAGTCCTAATATAAACGTGTCACCACACAAAATATTATCTGCACTACTTTCTCAATGAACCTCATCTACTTTTTGTATGGGTTACTACTAGCCACAGTGCATTGCAAAGTTTAAATGAAATCAGTGTGATATCCAATGAGCTGCTGAACATTTATCTTTAACGTTTTTGCTGCATGGTTATGATCAATCAAATATCTTTGTACAAGTGTTTGTGACAGGTGTTATTTGTTGGTCAGACACATAGCTAAAAGAGTACGCATTGCTTTCCCTTGAACAGTTCATAACTTTAGTCTTTTGACGATGACTATAGCGCAGGCTAGTCCAAACGTTGAGACCTAAGGCAAGTTCTTTTAGAACTTAAATCAGGACTGTTTTTATCAGAAAAACTACTTAGCGAGAGTTGATAATAAGCAGGACAAGTTCTTTTCGTACCTAAATATCTTCTAAACAGTAATTATTACCATATGGTGTTACCGAAAACCAAAACGATACTGACACTCTACCATGCAGAGCCTCAAATCTTATGTAAGTCTTGACATTACAGAATATTCAATTAGCCTCCATTTGTTTTCCAATGTACTCACTTGTTCCACAACATTAACAGAACTGATGTTCGGTTTTAAATCCTTAAGAAGTGTCTTGACAACAAAATAACTACAAGAACGGCACAATTCAACAGATTATTATCCTTATATGAATAACCTACCTGTAAGGCCGCTCGGACGTTCGCACCCACCACGAAAACCACTTTGAAGTGCATATTCTGGAAGGATGCTTTCAATATTACCACCAGGAACAGAGTCACAATCAGGACGTAGCCATTGGCGAAGAACTCGCCGAATTCCACGTAATGTGGAGCAGGCTGAAAGAAGAAATGCGAGGGCAATAATGCATATGTTCTGGTATCAATTGTGCTTCAACTTTTTCATTAGGAGCAATTTCAGGTTTTGTTTCCCCATATGGTTGTTGATTAGAGATGTAAAACATCTTATCAGAAATAATTATTGCCGATATAAAAAGAAGCAGTGAAGAGAAAACACATAATTGTTTTCTGTTCAATTTGGAGAAAAACAAAAACACTGAACAACATTTCTTTCGTATTTTTGTTGCAATGAATGTTTTGTTGCATAGATACATGGCAATAAAGTTCAGGAAATGACAGGGCAAATAATGAAACATGAATTGCTTATACATGTATTTTAAACATGAATTTGGTGCAGTATTAGGGAAACTTCCATTACAAAGTAACATTCTTTCAGCCAAACATAAATATCTGGAGGATATAAATCACAGGATCCTTAAAGGCAACAGTTCTGGCATAAAATTAAACTAATGAAGTTTATAAGATTTATTTATATGGTAATAGTTTCAGAAGTTTGCGAAACGTTATGATATGACTTACTGGCTTTGTATCTGCTGAAATCGTGACTTTGGCAACAAAACCTGTGATGGCTCCGATACAAAGAGGCCCAATGATATTTAAGACGTCGGCTATCATCTTGTACAATGCACCTTCAAGCAACACTGTCCCGTAGGCATCAATGTAGATTCTGAACATAGATGGTTTGGTGTCCTTCCTCTCTGCCCGATCCTGGGGTGAAATGAATAAAAAAAAACCTCCATATTGAACCTTGAAAAAAATGAGGTTCATTGACCTTATTGCCGTGCTAGAATCAGATTCTGCGCACTGATATTTAACTATTTGGCATGTATCTCCGAAGTCTTCATTGAATTAAAAAAACAAAACATTTCGAATAAGTTTTGCCTATTAGAGTTACTATAGGTCGTTAGAGAGAAACTGAAACCGCTTTGTCAAGAAAACAATGTTCTAGGAGCCCTATAAAACAAAGTAAAAACGGTTACAAACATGGAAAAAAACTCAAAATTGCACCATTCCTGGCCAAATTACTCAAATGTACAGTCCATCATTTGTAAAGTGTGCATTCTGTTCGTTTGAAGCAACAAAATAATGAAATTTTAGAAGAAAAGAACGTTTAAGAAGAAAACAAAAAATGTTTCACAACATCTTCGGGAACAAAAAAAATGTCATACGCGCTACAATATTTGAGTGATTAATTTAAAAAATGATATCATTGTAAGGTTTCAATTCGCTCACCCATTTTAGAAAGATTTCTTTTTAACTTGGTACTGCAATGCAAGTGGTTTTAAATTTTGTTCACACGTAGCCATTTGTAGATTAAAATTGATTTCGGTTTACTTCATTTCGGGTCCATGGATCGGCTTGGATTGTTGTTGTCTTCAGACAAGTTAAAAATCACAGAATGTTGATCTTACCAGCTCCCTGTCGAAAGCCTCTTGGAATAGTTTGTGGTTGTGATGGGCTCTATGTCTTTCCGGGATGTCCCCCAGGTCTTTGTGCTCCAGTGGCTTCTTGTAGCCTTTCGCAAACACCCAGTTCATCCACCAAAAGGTTGCTTTAGACAAGAGGCTCACGTAGTCGTCCATGAAGTGCATGTTGGGGTTTTGGAGGTCTTCGTTGATTGTTTTGAGCTTACTGGTTCCAACAACCTGCAAAGATTGATTTGGTTGTGTGATATTCGATTCTGTCTTAATTGAGCTGATAAAAATCAATAACCGCCTTCAGAGGCTAGTACTCCCGATAAAGTTGGAGCTCCCACGAGTGTGGGATATTTTCCCACAGTATAATTTCCCCCTTTTCTTTCGGAAAGCTAAAGAGGGAAACTCACACAAAAAAAGCAGAACAAACTATTTGCGACGACTTACAAGTTTATGCATTTTTTTCAGAAATTATCTTTCATTGGAAGATGGTAAAAGCTTCTGAATTGCGATTATCAAAAGTGTCTATCTATTCTTTTCATAATGCCCAACGATCGCTTTGTGTGTGAATTTTGCTGCAAATACAAAGGCTTTTCAACTCAATTCTCACTTCACTAATTACTTTGTAAACCGTTACTCTTCATGACTTTTTGTTTTCTCAGCTACTCTGAGCTCTTAAATAGATGATTAGTATGCTAAATAAGAAATCACCTTTATTCTGATCAAATTTAGTTCGTTCAGAAGGAGGATGCCGTATGCGATCACCATCAGTACCGTCAGATCAAACCGAAGCACGGTGACGTCGACTATATCGTGGTGCTTGAGGTCAGCTAGCTGTAGTGATTCTCCGATCAAGGCCAAGACCCAATAAATCAGGAGCAAGATGGACATTGAAGGTATCTGCCACAGCTCCATGTGATGGTAGTAGACGAGTGACAGGACCATGGCAATGAAGGCAGCGGCACTGGGGGCGTAATAGTGGGGTTGGGTAGACTGCTGCCATGCCCGGTACGTCTCGTCCGTCAGAACTCCCTCACCGATGGCTGCGGCCAGAACGAGCAGCGACGCGAGGCTGACCAGCCACCGCACCGTGTGACCCGGATAACACAGGACATACTTAGTTTTGCCCCGTTTACGGTTGTTGCAGACGCATCCCAGTTCGAAGAGCGCAAGGGCAAAGAAAAATATGAATGCGACATGCGGCAGCAATGCCAGTCCGTTTATGAAGCACGTGTTGCCGACCCATTCACTGGAGAGGTCGGTAGAAAGGTAAGTGTTGTTGTTCCCGCAGAACCATTCCCATTCTTCGTACATGATTGCACTGTGCTAAAAAAAACACACACACACAAACGCAATAAACCATTATTAGCGTAGAAGCTTTACAATAGATTTCGAAATGACAATGGCTTTTGCACTATAGGCCTATTAATGTAGTACGCAAAACTATAGGCCCAGAGAGCAAAGATTCACGTGACCTAGCTTCCTTCCTGTCCAAACTGGAAGTGCCTATGGGAAAAGATGTCAACGATGCTAGTCTCTGGCTAAGTTGTACTGTACAAGAGTATTACCGCTGACGTCATAAAAGTTTGCTGGTATCACTTTATAATTGATGTATATAATCAGCTTCATTCTAAGAACAATTTGAGGGGGAAAGATTGATGACGTCACCAGACAGGAAGTTATAATGAAAAGACCTTTAAACCTTAAAAAATTGCTGAAAACTCAGCAGCGAGAGCTATCACCCAGATATTTACTTCAAATAGCACAGCTAACAAAGCTCTCGATCTTTATTATAATGACATCACAATAACGTCATCAAGTATCAGATGACAAGCAACCAAAGATTTCTAGATTGATTCTTTGAAAATCACTATTTAATCAACTATTTTTCTTGTCATCAAACCGAACATAGCTCAACACCATGTGTTTGTTCTTACAAACTGTAATATAATATGTTTGTTCGTTGATTATTAGTAGACTAATATCCTAGCTTCTAAGGCAAGAGAATAGTTACATTTATATTGTTCAGTCGACAATTAAGTTTTCAAAGATTTCCGTGGTTTTTTTATTATTATAAAATACCCTCTATAGCATATGAGACTATAGCGCGGGCTTATTTTTGGATATTCATATTACACTATATTTTGTAACGAAATTAGGCCTAGTATACCTACGACTGAGATTTTGCTATAATACCGTCGATTAGTTTTACAAACGAACCTGAACATGAATTCAATTATATCTCATAACTTACCGTAATAAATCCTCATCCACTCCTTGGTCCGGCTGAAACTCTTAACAAAACGCTCGGATTTCTTTTCTGGGTATGATACGTCGTTGCATGCACAACAGCCGTATGTCGATCGGCTTCGTTTGCACTGACTTTTCACTTGTGGGCCACGCGCCAAGCCAAGTGCACGCACCCAAGATCAAAGTCACTTTTTTGGTTTGGTTGCTACGTTTGTTTGTATTAGTTGCATGCGCTTTGTAAACATCACAATTATCCTTTTATTTTGTTGAAGGGCTGCGGCTGCGCATATATCACGGATACATTGTTCACATTGTGTGCTCGAAATGAACAGAGTGCGTTTAGAAAAAAAGGCACCGAATAAAATTGCATAGTCACATATCAACTTGAACTTTATACAGATTTACATGACAACTGAGGTATGCCGCATTCATCAGCTGTCAGGCAAGTCTGTATAAAGTTCAAGCTAATGTGACTGGAATTTTATTCAATGCCCTTTGGTCTAGATGGGACTATGATGGGAACATATACGGGTAACGGTGAACTTAATAATATCGGTGTACGTGATCGTCATTTTCAGGGAATTTCATAATCCTTTCTTGATTTTCAAGCGTCGAGATATATTTACTTACTTTAAACCAAATGGTTTGAGAATTAATTCAATCACTCGGTATTGTGTTTTCTGTAAATACAATTTGCTCTAAAAACGTAGTTCCATCATTTTGTCGTCTACCGTTTCATCAGAAAATGGGCGGGAAAAAAATCGTCTCACCCATGAAAAAGCATGTTCCCGACGGATTTCTTTTCTTGTTACAGATGTGTTCAGGTCAGGAGGAAGGGGAGGACCTACGCTGCAGACAATCTGTTCTGGTACTTTGTACTACTACAATACGGGACAAAGGTATCGTGTTTTGACTGCAACCATTAAAAGTGCGTGAGGCCAGGGTAAACTCGCAACGGCCAAGTTTTAATTTGTGTTGTCGGGCGGTTTGTAAATATAGCTTGTTTATATTTGTGGCGTGACGACGGTGAGGCTTCATGTTATTAAAGTACGTTGTAATAAGCAAATAGTGAATCATATGGATGTCAGTTTTGCAAAGATAACTGAAGCCCTGTGTGGTCCCATGTATGATATGTTTTCCATTAAGAGGCTTAGTTAACATATAAGTACATGTTGCATTGAAACATGCCCAATTCGATACCTTCATTTAAGGATGAGCCAACGAGTGTTTAGTTCATTCATTGATAACCTCTCACTAGTCAACTCTATAATTTGACGTATGTCTCAGGTAAAGTCAGTGGTCAACCATGGGTCAACCCACCATGGGTTAACCCACCAACAATTGGGGAAAAAAATGAAGGATGACATGTTAATCATCACATTTCTGTGCAGCCTAAATGCCTTCGAGGGTTCTGAGTATTTTAAAAGAATTTTATATAATGGGTATATTTAGCACAGGTGTCTATGGGAACTTTAATACAGGGGTACAACACTAACTTTTTTTCACGAACGTCGGTAATTGTGCCATCATGAAGAGCGCCACCAATTTTCCGATAGCCGAAGATCGTCCGGTTTGAGCAGCGCCCCCATACGGAGGCGAATGACTGCTGAAAAAAAGTTGTCAATATAACCTTTCAGGATCATCTGGCGACGCTCAATGTGCCTACTTGTCGGATCCATGCGGAAAGGGGGGCAAAGGGGACCATCCCTTCCCAACAACATTTGAATTTATGGAAATAAATTAAAGCGTTGCGTATCTCCCTCACAAACCAAGCCTGTTAGTTTTAACATTACAATATGTGACTACATTGTATAGTGCACGATACCAGTAAATCCCCTTGTGTAGCCCCCCCCCCCCCCTCATGAAATAGACCTTGCTACGCGCTCGAGGCTGGCTACATTGGCGTACATCGGGCGGGGAGGGGATATTAACCCAACCCAAACATCTTTTCTCACGATTGTCCATTTTTTAAGAGTGCCTGTATTTTACGACCGCGCATGTAATGGACGCTGCGGATAATTTGGTATCACACATACGATCCGGACATGAGGAGTTCCCGGAGCGTCAGTGCGATACCAGATTTTCCGTGCGTGGTCACGTGACTACTTTTTGTTGCGATAAATGTTCCCTTTTCGCGATAAGTGCCGTTGCATGTGATATTTAAAAAATAATTTACACCCATGTACAGCTCGATGTCCCATTTATCAGTTTTTAAAACTCTGTATCTGAAATTGTGTTCTTTTCATGGATCTCATTTTCAATAAGATGGACTTTTCAGAACAGGTCTGACAGGTCATGAACAGGTCATGCCTTTTGCGTTACGGATTTTCAGCGTGGGTCACGTGTGCCCCCGAGGCCATTGCGCAATCATGATTCCAAGCAAGATGGCGGTATCCGCGAAACGGCTTATGGCATGTACACAATGGTGAAGAGTTAAAACATATGTCCTGCATCGGATCACGTCCTAAATCTAATGGGTCCATACTGAAGGATCACCCCTACACCAATGTTCATGAAAATCCGCCCACAACTTTTTGAGTTCTGTTCACAGACAAACCAACCAACCAACACCCATGAAAGCATAACCTCCTCGGCGGAGGTAATGCATGTACTGACCCTAGTAATCCAAGCCAAACACCAGCGCCTCTGACAACAAGCATCATATATTTATGTCATAAATTAGCCGGCCGACCCACAGGATCATGCATTATCGATCCTTTAAGTCAACCGGAACGTAAACACGCTCGATTGATATTTTCCCAATCGTCTGAACACAACAGAACCTCAGACTGAAACCATGTGCACGAGTCGGCCATTTTGAATTAAAAGTGAAGTAAAATCATCATTTTTGGATCTTGCGAGGAGAATTGAAAGCAAGTTAATTACTAATTAATTCCAGTCTGCTTCAAGGAATAATATAAAATTTGTAATTAAACATTCACTAATGCTTACAAGTTAACCCCGACCGGACACATATTTCAGTGAATACCACCGTTAATTGAAACTGTTGAACACATTTTTCATTAAACATTAAAACAATTTAATAAATTATCTGAACCAAGCTGCTTTGATTACAGTCAAGATGAGTTACTTTGGGAGAAGTTATACATTAAATAATTCTGATTTAAAACCAAAAGATGACGTGCAATTATCGGGTGTTATTAGTGTGGCATTAATCAACATAAGATTTTTTGTATGAATGCGTCGGCATTTTTGTTCAAACATGAAAAGTAAATTCGCACATACAGCAATAGGCATTTACAGCGTGCAGCGAAAAAGATTAAACATAATGCCGCTTTTCAATACGACACTTCTACTATGTCAAATGCTATTCATATACACAAATCAATGAAAACACTAAACAGATAATTTCACATGATATAACTTCAATGTAACAATGTGCAAAGACACGAGTTGTAAATTTTGTTATTTGTAATCCACAGTTGTGCCAGCAAGAAAAAAACACCCTTTGTTTTCTACACTGATTCTCTTTTCCTCAACTTCCAGCCAAAGGCAATTTTTTTTTTCCACGCAAACTATTTTTTTTATCGAAGTGACAAACAGTTATTATTTGTATCGCTCTGGTTCATAAGGCCTTATCTACGATAACATTTTGAATTTCTAAAATGGTGGCCTTGTTACTTTTTACATTGCAGTTGAAAACAAAAAACAACTTCGATACTGTGGCTAAGCTATTTCAACCCCGCCCAAAGTAAGAATGGACCTTTATAAAGAACATGCCTAGTCTTGAAGATGTTCGGGAACGGAACTTGGAAATATCGTATACCGCCCAAAACAAGCGGAAACGGTTTCTGTACGTCCGTGATATTAAAGTATTCTCTGAGAGGGTGAAAAGTCACAGCATTCAAGTTAAAATTCATGCGAATTATCCGAATGAATAAAAGACTAGACGATTTCGAGTGAAATTAAGGATTTGGATCCGAAACCAGAGTGGTCTTCATTCTTTATCGTCTTAGTTTTCACCTTTAAAGAAGTAGGAGATACACTGAGGATATGAAAAAGTGTCCGCAACTTTTTCTTTTCTGGTATACATACGTATTTCTGATTACGTTTGAACCTGAAATGTTTACTCTAGTGTTTGATTATGTGATTATGTGTACACATTAAGAAACCTTTAAGAACCAGAAATCATTTATAATAATACTAATTACGGGAAACGGTACCTTGTGGAGACATCCCATAGGGTTGTGCACAGTTTTTTGCCAACTTTAATGACCCTTAACCATTTCCCCCTTATCCTACCCTCACGAATATTGGTGTATTTATGTTTTAGACCCCATGCAATCAATCTAGCATGTTGTTAATGTTAAAATGTTGTCCCTAAATAGGAGTCGGGACATTAGGGAGATACCGTCTGTGCTCTCACATAATATTAACTCCTGGGTGGAGAGAAACAATGAGTGACAAAGTACCTTGCCCAAGGGCACACGCACCATGTCCCCAGGCTGGACTCAAACTACAGCCTGCAGAATTACCCGCAGACAACTCATTCAATGCCCCAGACCACGAGGCCACGGCACTCCACTCTACAACAGCCTGGCATCTTATGACTGGGGACTTCAGGCGCGTTCATTGGTTTATTGTTAAACGATGTTAACGCGTGGATGTCGATGTGCTGAAAGTCCTCTGCGAGTGCACGCGACCCTCCGGAATGTCCTTACAACGAACCATGAAGGTAAATGCTTCCTTGAAGTAAGGATGCGAGGTTGCGTAAATGGCAGGGTTCACCAACAGGTTGCAGTACAAGATGGCTATAGAGTACATGGTCAGGCGTATGCCCCATTCATACTTTTGCTGCGTCACGGCAAGAAAGTACGGACTCTGGCAGATGACATAGGCGAGGACAATGTAGGCGAGGTTCTTGGTAACAGCAATCTTCCGTTTCCACATATTCATCCGTTTGGCGCGAGCCGCACCGCTCACCTCTCCAGAGACGGTCTGGGTGTCGTACGAAAGCATCCGTCGAGACGTCTTGAGCACGTAGCGGAAAATCGAGATGTAGCAGCACATGATGATACAGAGCTGTATGGGAAAGAAGCAGATGCAGAAAGTCACGGCCAATGGGGTTGTGTACGGGTTGGCCTTAACCCAGCCACAGGCGCTGTACAAGGGCTCGTAGCCGTGCTCCCCGTAATCGGTCAAGAGAGGCACAGAGATGATGCCAAGGGGCAACGCCCACGAGAGAGCCACCATAAAGGCGATGTTTCGGCGGGTGTAGATGCGGCGGGACGTTGAGCCTGATTTAGTGATGCCCACCCACCTGTTGACAGCTATCAGGGCCAAACTGTTGATGCTGCAGCCGTAACTGACGTGAAGAACGGCACTGGCTGTCACGCAAATCCAAGGAGCTTGTGGTAGAGGCCAGCCATTTTCGCCCAACACGGCAACTGCCTCCCACGGCAAAAAGAAGCAGGATATCAAGTCACTCGTACTGAGGCTTACCACGAACACATTGGTGACCGTGCGCAGTCGCCTCGATAACACGACTGCTGCAATGACGAACGTGTTACCGGCTACTCCAATGATGGATACCATTATATACAAGGCAGCAAACATTTGCCTTTCACCATAGGTTCTGTATAATCGGAATGGTTCTTGCGTGCTCAGCGAGGGCCAAAGGGTTCCATTAAGAGCTGTTGCTTTCTCCATACTTCCAGCGACTGCACTGTGCTAATTTACAGAACACGGACTATCAGAGTCATCGCTCAGGTCCAACACTTAAGCGCGAATTACCCTGATTGAAGGCCATCCTCGGCCGTGTTCAATATTAGAAAGTGTCTTAAAATGAAACCAAGCCGATGGAGTGATCGCTGCGTCGTTGTCTCACTGCAAAGACAGCTTTCGTTGTGAAAACTGTAGATATCGGTTGTATGTTCAAACGCGTATATTAATTCTCTGTCAACATATTATGACTTAACTATTTGTTATCTACCGATGACAGTTATGTCGGTACCGACTCCCAGTAAAGCTCAGCGAACAATGGTGATGCTTTGCTATGCCATACACGTCCTCTTGCCATTGGCCACGGACCTCGTTGACTGCTGACAATAGCCGGGGGCGGACTAAATTATCAAATTTAACTTATTTTTTTCTCTTTTGTGCACGAAATTGAATTAAATACATTAGCGCCAGGTGTCACGTGAATTGGCCGTTGGGAGGTACGGTGAAACACTTTATGAAATGCTCATGTTTACCACGCAAGCAGGATGTTACCTGCGCAATACCTTGATGAAAATAACCAGGCACCATTTAACAAACACGGCATCGTCACGACACAGTACAGTCTCATTCCCTTAATGCTCCATTTGTTACCGTAAAAGCATCGGATAAAATTGTCAACACGAGTTAGCGAAACCCATTCATTTATCTAAAGCCATACCGCGTAAAAATGGCGACCGCGTAACGATGACATGTTTATAGGCTGAGTATCAGCCTATAAAGTCTAGCCAAAGTAATAAGCGTACATCGAAGTGCATTGAGGGTGTCAAGGGATGGACGTAATGCATGTGAATGCTTTCTATTCGGAAGATTTGGCAAGCTCACATATAACAAAAATTTAAGCAGCACAAAATCCTCAAAACAAAAATCATAATTATTAAGCCTATGCAGATAAGCAGGTATAAATTTTAGGCCTTTATAGGTGAGTCAAAAAGAAAGTGACCCAAATTCATGATTTTTTTAATTCTAAAACAGCAATCAAAATTGTAAACACAGATAAAGTGTATGTAAAATAGAGCACGTTCTTCAACACATCTAAACAAAAATAGAATTACTGAAATTTATACTGAAATTATTGATTATACACGTTTTACTAAACGTAATTTTATAGCTGTCCTTGGAACGCCATCGGAAGCAAATTCGATCCAAAATATTTAATATGACCCCAAAAGCAGTGTTCCATGTAATTGCTGAAGTATGTCTCGCCAAACAATTCCATATGTATTTTACGTCTGTTCATATTAATGATGACAAATATGCGCGTGATTAGTGGCGGATACAGAGGGGGGCGGGGTGGACCTAATTTTTAAAGAATTTTTTTCAGTAAATATGTAAATTTTTCAGTGTATATATAAAAGCCTTTGTTAGAATGACATGAACCCAATAAAATAGAAAACCCATGAGCTCCAAAACCACTACAACGCACCGTGAAAATCCAGTAAGCATAATAATGTTCAGTTGCGAAGAGCACCGTGGGAGATGGGTACAACCCCCCCCCCCCTTTTACGGATTTTACGGAGGCCAAATGTCCGAAGAAAATAAACCAGGTCAATCTTTCGGCGCGAAAGTGCGAGTGCGCCCCCCCCCCCCACCCTATACGTCATAGTGATACAAATATCTCATAATCCCTGGGTTACGAAAAATGTCTCGTCTTCGTGGTGAATCTCCCGTGGGAAAACTTTGTAAGACTAGACCCGCGATAAAGGCCGCGAACATTTGCAAAATGCAAGGTAACAACATCCCAGATCAGACTTGTTTTTTTTTTATATTATCCGGGCAACATGTCATGCATGAGATGCTACGGTGTTAAATGAATCAGACGATGTCTGCAGCGGAGGATGGATGACGCATTACCATCAGTGCATCATTAATTGGATTCTCAAATTACGAACATAACAGAAAATGCTAATAGTTCCTGTGTGTTTTGTTGGAGAAACAGCCTCCTTCAGATTTAGTTGAAGCAAAAATGGAAGGAAAATAATGTTTTAAAGATGGATAAACAGATCGAAGCGCGTATGTCGCAGTGTCATGCAGTATTCTTAAACAGCATGTAATGTATTTTATTTTAATGCAATCCTTGAAAGCCCATCTTTGTATCCCGTTTAAGCCTAGGACCTTTATTTTGTTCTTCTTGAAATAAAAAAATAAAATTAAAATTGGCTTTTTCAACAATACATTTTAGGTTTGTCAGCGGCTTCTGTTTATAGCACTTCAATTTCGAGTGGGCGTTTTCAAAATGGGCCCTAAAATACAATGACATCGCATACACACTCGCATTTGTCATCTACTATGAGTATTTTGCATGCAAATCAACATCAATATTGAGTGGGCAGTTTACATGCGGAGAAATAAAATGTCATGCAAATAATTCATATTTCTATCAACGTTCATACGATGCATTACCATGCACGATGCGGATGTATAATGCACAAGATGATGAATATTAGAGAGATTGACTTGACACACACACAGAAGAAAAAAAGGTAAAAGCCACGGCATTGCTGGGTTTCCTGGGAAACCTGTAGCTGCACTAGGTGACTTAATAAATTACAAATTATTTGCGGGGAAAAATGAGCGTAAATAGAATTAAAGTGAGAATTAACGGTTACCCCCCTTCCCCCAATGATTTGTAAAGAGTGGCCTTTTTTAAGAAGTGCCATTTCTTTTCTGAACAAGTGCCTTTTTTAAAAAGAAGTTTTGCCCTTTTTTGTGCCATCGGCCGTTCCGGTGGCTTTTTTTTTTCATTTTTAATTCACGCATGTATTGCCCTGAAAAACACCAAATAGGCCCATTGTCCGTTTGTGTTCATAAGCATCTGTTTTGAACAGCCCCCCCCCCCCCCACACTTTTTGATTTTACGGAGGCCAAGTGTCCGAGGAAAAAAAACCTGTCTACATTTTACCACGGATATGCAAGTGCCCCTTTCAAGAAATGTTTAACACCCCCCCCAAAAAAAAATGACCGTGCTACGCCACTGTGACAGCCCTTTTCAGAGAGCAGTAGGCGCCCAAAATCGAAAACAACGCCTTCAAATAAAATAAAACAAAACAAATTAAAAATCCATTAGAAGGCAAAAAATCAATGTTTTTTAAGTGCACGGGGCACGAATTGAAAAGTAACATAAAACATTCAAACCAAACCCTGCCCCTCAATTTGACAACCACTTATGCCTTATTAGTACCATAAAAAAATACAAAAAAATGCTAGGTAGACAGCATGTCTGAGCTAAGCTGTCTGTTGTGGGCACAGATAATTGACAGCACAGACCTACATGCCTTGTCTCCAGATGACTGACAATACAGGGCGGTTCATAATTTTTAAAAATCCACTTTTGACAGCAGTTTTCACCTATTAAAAACAAAATATTTTTAACTTTAGATTAGTAGTCGTTGAAGTACTTGCCTTTAAGCATAAGCCTTAGCAGAACCCCAGCAAATCTACGAATGAGCTACGAATCTCCAAGAATATGTACGAATAGCCACGAATAGCACTACTTATAAACACGTTTGTCATACGGATGTCTCACGGTCGCACTACGGATTTACTTTCATGACGTTTTACCACGGAAGTTTTGAGCAGTTTAAAACTTCCGTAGCCCCTCCTCGAATACCCAAGGAAGATGAAGGATAACGACGGAGGTACTGAGGATGCATACGGTACTCCCACGGTTTATCGCGAATTTCTAACCGAGGAGATCCGTAGCTCGAAAGCGTAAATGTGTGATTGGAGTTTTAGTGAAAATTGCTGTCAACAGTGGATTTTCTTTATGTTGAACCACCCTGTAAACCAATCCGGGCACGCTGTCAATTTTATCACGAAGCTTTATTTCAATGGCGAAGGCATTGCGCTAGCCTTTTTTGTTGTTGTTGTTGATATAATCCGTCACGGGGCAGTTGCCAACTTTAAATGTAATTCGTATTTGCACCATTCATCTCATCCATCAATTAATCCTGAAAGCTATCATTTCTTCAAAATACAATTATTATTTAAAACAAAATGTTGGCCTGTGTTTTACGTGAGGCGACCCAAAACAATTCTTCTTGCAGTTCAAATACATATACAGTCGCCAAAAGTCTGGTGTTGGAACTGTTGCCACGTGCACTAGCTGGGGTATAAGAAGGCAACAGAAGAAGAGACGATTGAGAAATGTTTCTCTTGGATGACGGGAGGACATGTGCAGACACAATGTTGTGTTGTCAGGAATGGATTGACTAGTGCAAGGCGAGATAAAATGTTAAAATTGCGACCCTTCTCTATCAAAACTACGAAGAAGGTGCATTTATATCTACAGTAAGTTGAAGCGTGGTTAAAGAGGATGCTAGCTAGTGGCACATTCGTGAACTTATAGCCTTAAAAAATACTGGTAACAGTCAAACTTGGTGGTGACAATAGAAAGGAGTATATGAGGTGAATGCACCAAGTCTAGTCGATCTTGGTCTGTTGGAGAATGACTATTTGCGCCGAAACATGTGGTTGAAAGTTTCCTTGAAGTCAGGGTGGGAAACTGCGTATATAACAGGGTTGACGGAGCTGTTGAAGAAGAGTATAGCGGCACCGTACATGGTCATACGGATGCCCCACGCGAGTGACTGTCGGCTGATGGCAATGACGAATGGGAGTTGGCAGATGACGAATGCCGATACAATGTAGACGAGATTCTTGGTGACGGCAATCTGCCTCTTCCAGAGCCTCCTACGAAACACCCGCTCCGGAGTGCAGACCGCGCCGGAAACACTATGGATCTCCAGCCGAGCCATGGTCCGGGACTTCTTGCGCACGTACCGGAAAACCGACGTGTAACACAACAAGAGAATCAGGAACTGAATCGGGGAAAAACACATGCTGAAAACGAAACAGTAAGCCACCGAGTACGAGTTTGACCTCACGAAGCCACAGACACTGTACAGAGGTTCGTATCCAAGTTCACCGAAATCGGACACCAGGGGTATCAGGACGAGGCTCAGGGGGAAGGCCCAGGAAAAGACTAACATGAAGGCGATGTTCCGGCGGGTGTAGATGCGACGTGTAGTGGCTTTCGATTTAGTTATACCGATCCACCGATTCAGGGCTATGAGGGTCAGGTTGTTAAAACTGCTACCGTAGCTGAGACAAAGGACTGCAGTGCTGGTCACACATATCCACTCAGTTCTTGGCGACGGCCAGGCCCCTTCGCCTAACAAGGCAACTGCCTCCCAAGGCAGGAATATGCTTGAGAGCAAGTCGCTTACACTCAGGTTCGTCACAAAGACGTTGGTCACCGTACGAAGCTTCTTCGACTTGAACATAGCCAGAATGACCAAACAGTTCCCGACAGCCCCTGCCACGGCGGAAATGATGCACAAAGATGCGATGATTTGTCTTTCGTAATAATATAGGTAGGCTATGTGTGTTTCCTCGTCAGACGTATTAACAGATGACCCTAAATCCTTGTCGGTCGAGTTCGACATGACATAAAGATTGCACATCCGGCAAAACTGCCAAATTGGAAACAAAAATGAATATCCGATATGAGTGAATCAAACAAGCACTTGTCTCGCTTGATGGGTTTGTCCGAATTAGGCAGTTTAATTGTTTCTGTTCTCGCCAACGAGATTGAAACTTCCGGAATTGATTTCCCAATTTAATTCTTTCGCTTCTGTTTCCTCCAAGAGAATAGCACAACAAGAAAGAACCAGTACGTCTACAATACGTTAAGGCTTCATTTGCATTATGAAACCTCGCATTGGACGACTGTATGTACAGACGTCCCATAATACAGTAGGCCTTCGTGGAACATAAATGGCATGCATGGCTAAAATCCACTCTGGAATTGCTGAACAGGATGAGAAAAGCCCGACAAACGACCGCGAATTTAATAGAATTTTGACAGTTCCCATTTGTCTCCGGTCCTAAATGATCCTACGATTGCTCTGATGATGCAACGGACTGTTCATATCGACACAACAATGTGACGCTGTTTCAACAAAGGTGTTTGGACTTTAGCAGAAAATATTGAGGTTAATATTTTATTGTGTAGCGCGAGCATTTACGTACATTGCCCCGCTTCCATGTGTGTCCGCCATCCTTATTGGATTTCTTGGAGTCAGGCAGCTCCAAAACTACAAAACTATGTGCATATACTTCTAAAATTATATCCGGTAATGAAGATTTACGAGTCTTTGGTTCAAAAACCAATATTGTGCAAAGATAAACTATCGGTTAATGAAAAGCAGATCACAGTTTACATTTGCAATACCTTGTCTATTATTTTTTTTTCTCTGAAACGTTCGTTCTTTAATTGTAATTATTAGAAAATGACCCTTTCGTGTTTAAACTTAAGGCAAAACTGGGAGATACGCCTCAGCCATTGAGTGTTGAGACGTTTGAGGCGAAATTGGAATGCACCCCCATTTTGGAATGTGAACATCATTTCTCGACGTAACAAAATGAGTTTATAGTGGAGTGCTGAGTGGAATGCTGTGTGGACAAGGGCATTGGATTCGTGGTCTGCGGGTAATGCTGCAGGTTGTGGGTTCGAGTCCAGCCGGGGTCATGGTGCGTGCGCCCTTGAGCAAGGCACTTTGTCACTCATTGCTTCTCCCCACCCAGGAGTAAATGGGTACCTGTGAGGGCAGAGATAGTTATTGTGATTGAATAAGCTTCCTTGCGCCTAACAGACTGCATCTAGCTGTATACTCCCCAGGGAGCTGAGATGGTATTTGGAATGTTTCATGGGCCCAATGATCAGGGGTAATAATGATGTAGCGCCTTGAGGACCAATATACTGGTGGATATGTGCGCTTTATAAACACCCACTATTATTCATACACGAGGACAAATATCTCCTTCCTTTTTGTCAGACTATTAAATGACTAACACATTTAAATTCATACTGGTTAACATTTGCCCCAAAACTTTTAAAATGAAGAAAAGGCCTACAGTGCGACTCGCTGTGGATCACATGAAGGAGAAAGTAGGCCACATATGTATTTACAGACTTGAGGGCACAAAGGCAATGATGCATAAGTCTTTTGATAAAAGAAACGAGACCTGCACATGGGTAAAAGGGCACCCAAAATCTGCGCAAAGGAGTTGTCATAAATTACGGTCGTGTGCAATGCCAGATTGAGAAGATGTTCGACTTCATGTGCATCAAATCAATTTTGTGAGATTCAAAAGCTTAGGCAGTACGGTGGGCCACAATTTTCCTTTCGCTTTCTGAATGTCACGGGTTTGTTTTCTTTGTTTTCCGTGTTTTGATTTTATTGAGAGAACAATGAATTTGCGTTGTTGTTTGTGTTGCCAACTGTGAAGTGCCGCAAGCTAAGTGATAGACCCTCTTCAACTTGATCCAAATATCTTAACAGTACTGGTTACTGTAACAACATCAATTATCTGGTCTATAGGTCATACGTCCAGCCGAACACGTCATAGCTGAGGACGAGGTATGTGTTAGTGAGGACCTTCATGCAAATCATGCACTTGATGTTCTCGATGTTGTCGAAGCTGTTATACAGAAGATGGAGTTTCCTCAGGTTCTCTGCACTAGGCAGTAACAGCGACAAACTGTGGGCGTCACTTTCCTGCAAGCCACAGTAATCAAGATGCAACGTGTCCAGGTGGGGAACCACAGGGACTAGGAGGTCAACTCGGCCGTGCATGTTGTTGTAGCTGAGGCTTAGCCGTTTGAGGCTTGTCGCTGCCGAGAGGACGTTGGCGAGGGACTCAGCGTCGTCTTCCTGGATGTCACAATTAGACAAATCTAACCTTTCTAGGGATGAGACAAAACACACCAATGCGTGCAACGAGCCGTTCAGACTATTGCCGGACAAATTGAGCACCTTCATGCTGCTAGCTGCTGTCAGCATATCAAATAACCCACTGGTGTCCGCTGTAAGAAGCCCAGCATTGGACAAACACAGGGACTTGACTGTCCGAACGTGAGGTTGTAGGGCACCGACCCAACCGTGCATGTCTACACCTAGTAGGTGAACGTGCGTCATATTAGCCTGCTTTGCTAAAAATCGAGGCACCAACGAACTACTATGACCGGACGCCTGGACGGCAGGGCTGTCAAAGAAGTACACTGTCGTCAGCTGTCTCAGACGAGGGATCTTTACGGATGCCTCTTCTGGAGTGGTATCCTTCGCACCCCTGTGGCAAATCAAATCCTGAACATGCGGTGTGTGGCTGAGCATACTCATCACGAGACCCATTTCTGTTGAAGACTCGCATGCAACACTCAACTTTCTCACTTGAGACAGGCATCCAACGTTTTGGAGGAAGCAGTTGGCCGCTAGGAGATGCTCACCTTTGAGGAGAGGAAACGATGTCACATCTGAAAGGAAGCTCTTCAAATGCTTGGACTTTGCTTCAAATGCAAGTATCAGCCTGAGGCGCTGAGACTGACCTCTCTCAAAATATAAGCTTCGTTTCTGAAGTTTCTTCACATGGTGGAGGACCAGCTTTGCCGCTCTCGTGCTTTTCCCGCAGCAAAATCGGAGAAGGTACTCCATGTTACCTACTGTGTCGACGGTGACGCTTGCGAGGTATTTCTTGAACTGTTTCTTGCTGGTCTTGGCTAGCTCCGCCAAGTAGGAGGCTGCACAGAGCTCTTGAAAACTTTTGTGCAGGAATGTGACTTTTGACTCAACCTCTAAACCATCAGGCACAATGTCCTGAACCAACAGACCAATGTCGCATCCCTCAGCAATATCCTCCTGGGAGAATTCATATTCGGAGAAAACAAGTTTCTCTCCGCCGCTGCGTAGTAATCCCTCGAGTGCTACTTGTCCTAGTCTGTTCATGAGCTGATGTGGTACTTGGCTCCTCTGATTTTGCTTTGAAGGAGCACCATGTTTGGCGGCTTGGTGCATGAGAAGAGTTTGGATGACATTCTCGTAGAGCTTAGTCAATCTCTTTGGCAGCGTGGACTGGGACGCAAATACAAGACACATCATGAGAAGCAGCAGGGGAATCGCGGCTAGATGGCGGAGAGTAGCCGAGGATTCCATCTCGGTTATGAGCTGCGTTTGGTCTTGTGCACTGGCAAAGTACTTCTTCACATAGCTGTCTCTCTCCCTGGATCCAAAACCTGTGGTTTCAACTTTGGCAAAATGAGGATAGCTTTTGAGGAGCTGGTGAGCCCTGTGATGTCTACTCGTGACAATGACACAGCAACGCCTCAGTATCCTACCCGTCAGCAAATCTTTCAAGACGTTGTCCCCCTCCTCAAAAACACTCGCCGGTATCTCGTCAAGACCGTCCAAGAGAAAGAGAATCTCCTCTTGTCGAGTCTCGATGAAGTTCTTCAGACCAACTTTTGACACCTTAGTATCCCGAGCAAGAATTTGCCGACTGATGCTATCCACGATGCTCTTGTCATGAGTCATTTGGTTGACTTTGAGAGGAAACAACAAAGTGAATTTGGAGAATGCTGACCGAGACTTAGACTCTTGGTTGTTATCTGACTTTGCTGCCTCAGCTTCTAACTGAGATGACTCGTCTCCTGATTCTTCAAGACTTGACCAATCGTATGTGATCTTTTTGATGACCGTCGTCTTCCCAGAACCAGGCCTACCCTTCAACAATACCCTGTACTTTCCAGCACCGTCTAGCCCCACCAGATCCTCGTGAGATCCCAGGCGAACCTTCTTTTTCTGATCTATCTTTTCACACCTCTCCATGGTACGCTCCTTCGAAGCGCTTGCTGATGTTGAAGGCTGCCCGCAGGGTGGATCATTTTCTTCAATAAGGTTCATATCAACATAAATTCCGCTCATATCTCTTACCCAAGCCGGAAACACGGGATGCGTTGGTACTTTGCAGGTTGTATTTAGATAATGCTCAGCCAGCTCAGCGCGGAGGGCCCTTATTTCAAAGGCGCTTGGACTGTTTGCTTCTGTTGAACAAAATCAATAAAAGAGGAAGCAATTGAAGATAAAGGTTCGGGGAGTTCTAAATTAGTTCTGAATGATTTTTTTTTGTATAGACTCACTCTGATTGACCAGTAATTCCTCAGCCAGGTCGGTGCGGCCAACTTTCTTCAGGCCCTCAGCAAGGATGCCAAAGGAGTCGTCGTCTTGCCCTAGCGTCCTCCGCCACGTAACAAGCATCTCCATGATCTGGTTGACGGTGTTAAGAGGATTGTCAGCCTTGATGACGTCTATTCTGGCCGCGGTCAGGCCCAGGCGTCTGGCCAGCTTTAGCCAGTCCTTGCCAAGCTTGTCGGCCAAAGCCGACAAAGTGAAGTCATCCAGGGGCTCCTTGGAAGGATCTTGTTGTAATAAATGCAAAAGCGTGAAACTCCACGATTAGGCTAGCTGTTTTGGGGTGGTTTTTTTTTAGAAAGAGGCATTATTCGTGAACGAGAGAGGGCGCTGTTAACAGATGAGAATGTGGTTATCAATGTAAATTTACACACTGCTAAGCCAAAAAAACCCAAAATGCAGTTTGACTGTCTTTAATGTTAATTTGATTGAAGTAATAATTTGACCACTGCGTCTAATCAACAAACGGGATTTCTTGAAGGGTTGCTACACGTACCAATAATATGACGTCATGACAGCACCCTCATTCGCTGAGAAAATTCACCAGATTTGAAATGTGCTCCACTTTTGTCAACTCGCAGCACCAATATTTGCTCTGCCGTACATGTGACGTCACAAATTAATTTGCTTTCAGACAATTCCGCCATCACTCACATTACATTAATATAGGCTGTGGGGTCACTTTGACGTGACCTCTCAATTTGAAATTTTGAACAAGCTGAATCAAACCCGTTTGTGTCCCATTTAGCTCTACTTTAAATTTTCGTTTTGCCGTTTATAAGAGGAATATAACCACCCCCCCCCCCAAAAAAAAAATGGCAAAAGCTGGATCCACCACATTCATGGGTTTAATTTTGGCTGTATACTGTGGCTGTATGGTGACCTGGCTGTTAAAGCCTACGTACAGTCGACCAGTGTACGCCTAGCTGTATGAGCATTTTGGAATAAGATTCCATCCACAAAGTAGTTCTGCTAACATACCCATAAGTCATGTTGGCCTATACATCAACCAGCACGCACATATCTTAGCCTTATGTGCGTATTTGTAGTACAGCGGAACCAGGGTGGGGGGGGGTGCGCAGCCGGCAGCCCCCTCTTGTTAACTACTTTTTTATTGCCAGTTTGTTTTTCTTTCTAGAATATTTTTAGGCTGTACATCTTGTCTTTTCCCCCTGTTTTAAATTTTGTCAACTGCTTATTTATTCATTTCACAGACAGAAATGTTCACCCACAGGTAAATAATAAACGCTCCGCTTGTAGGTTCGGGTTTCGCTTCCAGTTTTAGCCGGCCCTGACCCCGCCCTTCCTTTTCCCGCCATGCTTGTCGCCTCTGGTAGCTAAGGCTGTGGTTGAACTTCGCTGTAGTGTTAGCATAATCATGCACTTACCCATTATTGCCCGCGACTGATGATCCTCTGGTCTTACTCCTAATGAATACTATTAATGGGAGAATCCCGTGTCATTTTAGGCGTATCAGATACCAATTAATAAATCATGATGACCTTCAGCACAACACTCAACAGGCTTTTATAGCCGTCATCAAAACTCCATTTTATTTCCGTGTTGCAGTGCACGCAGTGCACGTATACGTTGGATGATTAAATTTAAAGTTGCTAAAAAAAACTCCTCTATATGACCTTACAGGAAATACAGCCGGTACGACGTTCTTCCGCGTTTGGTTTTCCTGAGTGGTGCTTCTGCTTCTGTGGTTATAACGCATAGGTCAGTGTGGCGGAGGTGATTATATTTTGTAACGAGCTTTTTAGACCAGCTCATCCATGTTTATTTGATTCAGTTTCTCTTTGAAAGATTTGATGTTAGGTTGAGCCCTAACGTCTGGTGGCCAGTGGTGGGAAGATGTTCCATTCGCGAGTTGTCCGGGGGTGCAACAATCATGAAATTTATACCGAAGCTTAAAGTGACCATCCGGGTTTAGAGTCCGCGTTTCTCAGTTGATAATTTTTCTAGGAAGTTGAGTTAAGACGTACGTCTTTCCCCGATACTCGTACAGGCATGATGGGAAGACGTCGGTCTGATACCGTCAGAGTGCAGGGGTAGCAAGCTCATTGTAATGAGGGGGGGGGGGGGGCAGTGGCTGAAGTGTATACACGGTGGGTTTTTTCCGCGGACACAGGCTTGGCCTCTTCAAATCAAATAGTGTGGTGGGGGCGCGCGGTACCGTCAATCGACGGGGGCGCTGGTCAAACCCTAGACTTGAAATCAAGTCTGTAATGAGTGGTTTTAATCGCGTCCGCCGCGCGCGACTGCCAAGCTCTGTGCCGGGGGTACGACATACCGCATATGCTGTCCTAGTAGCCGGGACGCTACGTACATTTTCGACCCCATGCGTGTGCGATCCCATGCGTGTACTGCATTACAGACTTGAATAACTCGTTGTCAGTTTGTGCACAGGCAATGAGACTTGCTACCAAAATTGGACGGAGCAGTCTGATTGGTTAAGAATCAAGAAAATATGAATATTCAACAGGCATCTCTTAGCCGATGCGTTTTGGCTTGCACGACGCGACGACACACACACACGTACACCCACACTGTACATGTACATGTACACACAACGCCTGATTATCGCGGCGTCTTCACAAAATATTCTCAATCGCTTCGGATTTCCTATCGCCCAAAGTTAAAATGGAGGAGTTGGAAGCTGGCACCGAAAAGTATAGAGGTTCCATTGACCATGGGTTGCGAAAACTGGGGATTAATTACCAGTGCTCTGAACCCCAACAAACTGAGGCAATCACAAGTTTTCTTGACGGCAACGACACCTTCGTGAATCCGTGAATCTACCCACCGGCAACCTCGTCCCCAGGGTGTAGAGCAGTACGCGCCCACCACTACCTGCTCTCTCACCCTGGTATTGGATCATTTGCATGTGCAAGATTTTTGCACACGTATGCAAATGAGGAACAGTCTGGTGCCTAGATATGCGTTACACATTAGCGTTTGTTTTTGTATGCGGTGTCTGGGGTAAAAACAGAGTCAATTCGCAGCAGCGAAATCAAACTGTTACGATCTTATCGAGACAACATGCAGTATCATATTTCATATTAATATGAGCAAATTGGAAAGGAAATTAGTATTTTCGAGAAGGCGTGGACGAATGATCGCGAAAACACGTACTGCACGTTGTGAATATATAGCACCAAGTACACGATAAAAATCCATTACTAGCCAATTGCGGTATCCAATCAGGATACAGGAAGAAACTTTCCTATCCAGGGTTTACTATTGGAAACACGGTTGGAAATAAAGTTAGCACTGGGGACGAGGTTGACCCACCGGGTACGGGAAATCCCCGATATACCACATGGGCCAAAAGGAGCTTACGTTTACAGTCGGTGCGCACTTCATTTTTTGAAGGGGATTTACAATTATTCGTAACAGTTTCAAGTTCCATAATTACACTAAATGTTACTCCTTTTTATTCAAAGACAATTGCAAAAGTACTAATGATATCTACAATGTTATACTTTTTTTTACCGTAATTTTAAAACTAGGACTGCCAAATCAAATGGAAACTTCAAATGATCGTGTAATAATTACCCCTATATTTATAATGGATGTTTCTTCGTAAGCCAGATGGGCTACCATTGGCCCGCGCTATGGAAATACATGCATATGCATTGCAGTGTCTGCATATATGAATATTCGCTTGAAAACATGTTAGTCAAGTCGTAATTAGACACGGACTGACCATGCCGCGCGGTGTACGTGTATGTACATGTACATGTACATGTACATCGTACATGTACATGTACTGTACACATGACTTTTGCATGACTGGTTGTAGCGCTTTGCGTGAACGGCGGTGGCATGGCCGGTATGCGGATTCTGGCGCTGATGACGGACATAAACCACTATAGTCTAACGACTTGCCATCAAGTCTAGTCAAACCCGAGGATGTACAAAGGACAATATGGAGCTTTCATCAGGGCGATACATGCGCGAAATAAAAAAGGCACCCATATACGGCCGCCGATGGCACAAAAAAGCTTAGGGCACGACTTTTTTTAAAGGCCAGTTGTTCAGAAAAAAAAGCCTCTTAACAAAAGAAGGGGTCTTTACAAATATATGGGGGGGGGAGGGCGGAGGTAAGCGCTGGTGAAAAAAAGGCATTTAATGGAAAAGGGCAGCTCTTTACAAAATATTAATGCCCCCCCCCCTTGCTGGCTACGCATATGGGGAGGGGGGGGGGGGGAGTGACCGACAGTGGAGAGAAGACAATAAGTATAAGCCGGTCTTCTAAGACTGGTACCCGATTTTTTTTTGATTTTATATGCCATTTCACTTTACGTACCTATCGCACAAACATGGCACTTTCATATAATCTTCACAAAATCTGTCTTGGAAAGAACACAGACACGTAAGCATCAGATGACTGCAATCGTGATAATGGTCTAAATTGTCGATAACTTCCCCGCGGCCACGCCCACCATCACCGTGCGTACGTGACCACGGCCGAGACATTTTAAGTGAATGATTGAGGGCGCTTTCTGAACTGATGTATTTATAAACGAAACCAGCACAGGCACCGCGCGCGGTCCGCATCAATGATAGAGTTTTCACCAGTAGGCCTACTAGTTTACGGTAGGTTAATACTAAATAATGCTATTTTATAGAGCCATTGTCTCCATTGTTGCAGGACATTTTTTTGTTTTGAGTGTGTGTGTTTTCGAGTAGTGTTACGAACTTCGAAGTTCTGTCCCAACTTGCAAGGCCAAAAAATGATGCACAAAAATTATGCACAAACGGACTGGAGTCTGACGGATCGTATTCAAAACTACATTGGCATTTCGTGATCCGCGCGGTGCCCGACTAAAAGATAAATGCTGAGTAGGACATCCAACAGCCGTTGGGTCATGGCCAATGGACTGTACTGTGTACATGCAGAATGTACTACTGACCCGACGGCTGTTGAATGTCATGCATGGTGAAAACATATACATGTAGTCGTGTTCCCTAACGTGGCGCACTTCGAAGCTTACCCAACTTTCCTCGTGTAGTGTTGCCAAACTTCTTTATTGACAAACCTCAAATTCATGCAATGAAATACTAGTACTTTTACCTTATCAATGCTTGCTATTTTACCTCTGTGAACAATTTCAGTTTCATAAAATTTAATCCGAAATTCAAAAACGGTGGTGTCCGGAAATTGGGCACAAAATGGCGGAGTGTTCCCTAACGTGGCGCACTTGAATAAATCTCGGAAAATTCCAAATTAACACTTACGAATTCCTGTAAACTTGATAAATTCTGATAAATAATTAATATCTTTACTTACAGTTACATACCCAGCCAAAAGTTTGTCAGAAAATTATTTCTTATTTTTCAGGGCATTTTCAAAGGGTTCACTTTGCACTTGAAAATAAAATCGGAAAATCACGCCAAAATAGCTTTTCCTTCTAACTTTGTTACGGGTAAATAAACTCGCGATTTATGAACAGGACCGTTTAGAACTTGATGAAATTTCACTTTCTGTGAAATTTCAGTTTAAAATTTTGCTCCAAGTGCGCCACGTTAGGGGCCGCGCCACGTTAGGGTACATCAACAATATATGCAAATGTTATGGAGAAAGGCTTAAAAAGACCCCCCCCCCCCAAAAAAAAAAGGTTGTACACATGTCATGTAGTTGCCAAAACAGGCAAAAAAACGAGGGGTAAAAAAGGGGGGGGGCAGTTGACAGCATATGCATGCACACAAAAGGTCAAGTCAACTAGCCTACATGTATGTAAAAATAGCAACATCATGAGGCTGACTGATATTTACTATAATTTATAAATAGGCCTACTTGCAGTCTTATCTTGCAGCCTTTCATCAGTATCATGGTCAGGGTAGGATTGGAGCTTGTTTATAGATTGGACTTAAAGTTTCAAAGTCCGGTGTCTGTTTGCATTGCTTTCTGATGAGTTCTCTAAGACTGTTCTAGTGTATACTACGGTAGCATGTATGTATACAAGTAGGCCTATCTCAACTCAAGCAAAAACATCTTGATTATTTGTAAGTTATTAAATCCTGTATTTTTCTGCACACGTATGGCGTAGGCTACATGTAGCCACAACTGCATATGGCAGGTTCAAATGTTTTATGTACATTATGTACAATTTCTTTATCTATCATATTTTGCTATAGTTTCCTTTTGGGCAGAACAATGAGCACAACAGCTCCATCTGGCAGGAGGCAGGAGGGGACATTCCAGCTAGAGGACTCCCTCCCTCCGCTTCCTGTGCCAACGCTGGAGAAGACACTACAAAAATACCTGGAATCTGGTGAGTTTCAGCCTAAGGCTGCAAACCGCAGACTTAACTAGCTATTAATGCTACAGTTACACTTCCTGTGATCAATTTATGGTTGACTTTTGTGGACGTGACTAAATTATTCTCTTTTCCACAGCCAAGCCCTTTCTGACGAAGGAGGAATTTGAGAACACCAGACGTATCGTGGCCAAGTTTGGAGAAGGCGTTGGCAAAGAACTGCACAGGAAACTACAGGAGAAAGCCCGCAACAGCAAAAACTGGGTAGGCTTTGTGAATTCTTACAAAACATTCAGAAAAAAATGGCCTATAGTTCTTGTGCGTAGCAGCAGTCATAGAGGTCAGAGCCTTTATCGTTTTGCTGGGATATGCTCAAGCAAACCTTTTGTGCAATTATTGTATACTGAATTAAAATAAAAGAAACCCACAAAGATGACCGCTACGCAAACAAGGTCTGTTTGGTCACTTGGTGGTCTGTTGGTCCGTGTGTCTGTCTGTCCCCGAAAATTGACCAAAAGTATGGTGTTCCATATGTGCCATCAGCGTCACATTTTTTGGCATTGTATTTTTCAGCTCTGGCTGCGAGGGGTCGTTTGATCGACTTTAATGCGAGACTTTTTTTCACCACGGCCAGAGCTTATTGTGGACTCGCTCTTGTTAAATCACTAATTTTAATTTTGCTTGTATGTATCATGTACATTGTAGGTGGAGCAGTGGTGGGAAGATCTCGCCTATCTGTACACACGTGCGCCCCTGGCCGTTCAGTGTAACATCACTGGTATCCCGCCCTACCACGATGACATCTGGCCTCCAATGGAAGGGACCCAGTGTGAGCGGGCTGCCATTGTTGCCTGGTATACCCTGAACTACTTCCAGAAGTTACGCAGGTAAAAATGAAGACTTGAAATCAAGTCGTTGGACATTGTCGTGTTTTGTCCGACGAGGCCCACCCTCAATATTTACAAAGCATGGCATTAGCTGGCGCCCGTGTTTATCGTGTTTACATCCGGCATCCGACAGGTCTAATATAACGACTTGACTAATATGAATTTGGACGGTTATTACCAAATCTCCATAGTTTTTGTTTTTATTTTAAGAAATTTGCCTGAATGTTACTGCGTTATACATGTAGGGCGAATGCAAACATTTCAAGTCTCAAGAAATGCTGCTGTTGCTTTCTTTCTATGGTTTGAGGATTTTCAATAGATTTATCACAGGTAAAAATTCATCAGAGGTGCACATACATTTTCATGTCACTTTGTTAACATTTTTGCTGGTTTTTGGTTTTCCAGAGAGCAGATTGCGGTTGACAAGAGCCGTACTGGTAAAGTCTTCTCCATGAACCAACTCAGAGGTCTCTTCTGCTGCGCCAGAATCCCTGGCGAAACTAAAGACCAACTTGTGCGGTACTTCAAAACCGGTAGGCATAAAGCCAAAACAGGCAAATCACGATTTCCATTTTCAGTTATGTTTTTAAGATCTTTTAATATTTATTTTAATGTTATTTTTTTTCTGAAAATGAAAACGAGGATTCCTCAAAACCTCCCACGGTGTTGTACAATTGAAGCTCGCAAGCCTGGAGAAGCCTGTAGAGAGAAGACGGTGAAGAAATTTCCGTTTTTGAGTTAGGAGCAAAACCCAAGATATATGCTTCGACAAGCCAATCCATAGTAGACCACGGTGGGAATCGAACCTGAGCCGTAGTGGTTGACGGCAAGGGAAGGATAGCACTGAGACAACCTGATGTGTCCCCTCTGAAGTCCCTTGATTCAGTTCTGATTTTCAATCTTCTTTGCCTGGTGTTTTTATCACCTCCTGATGAAATCAGGCACACACAAAAATGCTCAGAAAAGAAAGACCCAGCAAAATCAATTTTAAACTGTTACATGCATTTACATGTACAATACAAAATTTGACCCAAAAAACCAACATAAATGGTTTGTTAAATAATGGATATTTATAAAGTGCATGTATCCACCGTTATTTGTGTTCAAGGTGCTACATCATTCTTAATGTCCGATGTCCGACTTAAATTATACCCTCTTGCATTTTTAAAGATAACACACATTTTATCCAAACAAAAAGTGCAGGTACTGCACATGCAATTCCCATTCGTATGAATGATCAGTAATTTAGTTCGTTGACATTTGGATTCAACTGACTCTCGATATCACCAAAACAATCTTGTTTGCTTTTCCAACTGTGCTTGGCAAATATGTCACTGTTCAGTATGGGAGAAACACAGCAGATAAATGGACAGAAATCTATGGTGGGCAATGATAACCAAATCTGAAATCTGAATTTTCAAGTTTTGAAGTCCATTTACATGTAGTTCCAGTTTTGTTACCGCAAGATGTTTTGCCTTGGAACCCTCCAAAGCATGCAGAAAACTATCCCAACGGGGAAAATCTTCAAACCTTTATATGTGCACACTTGTATTTTGAATAACAAACTGGCTGGTTCAAATTGATAAATATGATGAAAAAAAAAACAATGAAAGTGGAGATATTGCCAATCTATCATTTCTAACCAGCTCACAAATTATCCAATGTTATACATTCTTTGCGTTAATTAAAAGTCGAGCCGACAAGTTCCAAGAATCTTTTTGTTACAGCGTTTTTTCTAAATTTGAATTTTAATGCAAACAAAAATGTTGTTTCCTACATGTATGTGCAGAGAGTGAGGGTCCATGCCCCAGCCATGTGGTGGTCTTCAGCAATGGCCACATCTTCCTGATGAGACCCATTGATGACAAGGACAGACTCATGCCTGCCCAAGAAATCTACAGGTAGATAAAAAAAACACACCAAATCTTCATTGAGTTTAAAGAGGTTGTGGAATGCTCGAAGACATTTCCGTCATTTTTCGGGTATATGTAGCCTAAGGTGTGATGAAATAAAAACGACTGTTGTGTCTGTCGTGAAATGAGTACAAAAGGTACTTTTGAGAGCCGTTTTTCAGGTCCTGTTTCGACCCTAAAGTGCAATTTGTGTAAAAGTCGTCGTTGGGGGCAGCAAACAAAACAGTTTATACTACGCTGCATGGGGAGTCCTGTTTAATACGTCACGATTTACTGTGTTTTGTTTGCTTCCCCCAACGACGACTTTTACACAAATTGCGCGTTCCGGTCGAAACAGGACCTGAAAAACAGCCCTCAAAAGTACCTTTTGTACTCATTTCATGACAGACACAATAGTCGATTTTATTTCATCACACCTTAGGCTACATATACCCGAAAAATGACGGAAATGTCTTCGAGCATTCCACAACCTCTTTAACATGAACCACTGTGCATAACCCAACCTATTCAAATATATTTGTTATTATTGTGTGCTATACTGTAATTTCATTGGTTGAGAACGGCCATGTGTCAAGTCTGTAAAATTGCATAGACAATGGTTAACCTCATGTACAATAATGCGCGTTGAACTCGCGCGTGTAGAACCTGCATGCATTTAGCTGACATTTGGAAATAGATGTCCAAACTTAAAATATTTTTAAAGAGCACAGGGTTCAGTTCAAAACTAAATGGCATTATGTTTAAGTAGGAATGCACCAAACATACTGTAATTGTACCTGCCATGCTACAGTGTAGCATAATGACCGAGTGATATAAAAAAAAACCAGGTCAATCACAAGTCAGTCACAAGTACGTACCAATTAAGGAATGAACGATGACAACAAATGTGTTGTAATCATTAATTTAGACAGATTGTCACTTGACTTTAGACTGTAAGACTTGTTATCGACTTGTGATAACGTGATTGCTACTCCAGTACTATTCCTAATGCTTCTTCCTCCTGAATATGTAGGCAGCTGTGTCTCATTAAGAAGTTGAGCACAGCCAGAGGCCAGGGCATAGGAGTACTGACAGCTGACGACAGACCTTCTTTTGCCAAGGTACAGGTCAAGCATCATCCCTCCCTCCCCCAAGAAATTTCGAAAAGAATCTTCCTGAATCCTCAGAAATTGTCTAGTGATCATATAGAGGTGGAATTTTAAGACCGGAACCCATGATATTTAAAAAAAAAAAAAAAATTCATCAACATTGGAAAGAACTTTTTCAGATGTACACTTCCTTGGATGACTTATTTGACATCTCAATTTAATATGTACATGTATGTGGGAGTACCGTCGGATTGTCTTTGTGCAAATTGTAATGAAAGCGTTAACAACAAGTTCTACATGTAGGTCAAATTTGCTCATAAATAACAGCAAATTGATTCTTACAGGCTTACAAACACCTACGGGCATTGGATCCTGTCAACCAATCCCATCTCGATACCATAGAGCAGAGTGCATTCACCATCATGCTGGACGACGGAACACCCAAGACGCCCACGGAGGTATGTACAATAATGCGGTGCTCATTCAGTGCTTTTTATCAGTGTCTCAAAGCTTTTCACAATTATTATCCTAGTTTGCCATGACGTCAACGCCCGATTTCATGGGGCTCATGTTGACAAAAAGCTAGAGAATAGCACCTCATGGGTACTTATTCATACTACTGGGTGGAGAGTATCGTGTCTTGCCCAAAAACACAATTGTCATGTTCATATCACCTTATTCGGCGAGGATGCTACGTCCAAACTATAGCATGTTCCCAACTGCAGTTGGGATGATTTCAAATACAGATTTGATGGTCTCATAGTTTGGGTGGTCTCAATTATAGTTGGGCTGGTCCCAACAATAGTGAGGTGGTCCCAACTATAGTTTGAGTGGTCTCGACTATTGTTAGGTTGGTCCCAACTATAGTTTGAGTGGTCTCGAGTATTGTTAGGGTGGTCCCAACTATAGTTTGAGTGGTCTCGACTATTGTTAGGGTGGTCTCAACTGTAGTTGGAGTGGTCCCAACTATAAAGTTAGCGGTAGCGTGGTCTCAACTATAGTTAAGTATATGGTCCCAACTATAATCAGAGCAGTCCTACATGTAGTTACATGTAGTTATATTTAGGGTCATTTCTATAGTTTGGGCTTAACAGGAACACATGTACTACACTTGAGACCATGTGACCTCTGAAACTAAATTTGTTTGTCCAAGCTTGACCTTGGATAGTTATGGGAGAATTCAAAATTAAACAGGGGTGACTCAAGGTTTACCCCAAGGTTTTATAAGCAGGGTTGGGTGTGTTACCTCAGGGTAAAACCTTGAGTTAACCCTTGTTTAATTTTGCATTCGTCCCTTAACCCTAAAGGGGCCGGGTTATTTTGACCATCTCTCAGCCGGGGGGGGGCGGATTCCGCCCCCCCCTAAGATCTCGGCCATCGAGTGACGAAAATTGTTGAAACTCACTACATGCATAGAACAACTCTTCCTCAACATGCCCAAGAAATTTCATGACTATAGGTCAAAGGGTTTTGGAATTACGGCTAATTAATTATTCATATGTATGAATGCCAATTCTGCTCGGTGTACACGACGTATATGCGAAAATTCAGTTTTCACGGCGCGTAGCGCCGGAAAATTTTTCGCTACGTGCAAACCCGTGGTCCGATTTTTATGTTTTTGGTATCAAAAGATGCGCAAAGCTCGAGGCTAAAAAGTCATAATAGCTCGGGTCGCGAAAAAATTTTTTTTAGAAGCTATCGCGGAAAATGTTGAGGGGGGGGCGGATTCCGCCCCCCCCCGGCCCTTTTAGGGTTAATTAATGCTTTATTTGATGTACCTATGAATAATAAAAACATGTTTCCAGAAAATTGACCAAGGGTTGAAGGGAGACGTGCACAGTCGCTGGGCTGACAAGTCCACGGGTATAGTGTGCTTCAGTAATGGTGTGCTTGCTTGCACACAGGACGTAAGTCAGTCAAGCTCCCAGTAAGCTTGCTCCGATCTCCAGGAATTTGACTTAAAAAAACACTCAACAACTGATTCTTTATCTATCTGGGAACGAAGTTTTGGAGAAATAACAGTAGAAAGTATTACTATGGCTCTACTAACATTCTATTTCTGACTGTGTGTTCTTTTATGGTGTGACCATATTTACAGTACATGGAGCAGTCTATGAAGGGAGACATGCACAGTCACTGGGCTGACAAATCCTATGGCTTGGTCTGCTACCAAAATGGCATCATCACCTGTACTGGTGATGTAAGTACCCCTGCACCAGCAATAAAATGATATCCAAATTTGGCCCTGCTGATTGCGCCCATGGGCAACACATACACCTCTCCAGTGCTACAGTATGTACAGTGTATGTTTCAGATAACAGCATGTAGACTGACATTGGGCTCTGTCATATTGACATAGAAATGAATAGTTAGGCCAAAAAAAAAAAGATAACAGCATGTAGACTGACATTGGGCTCTGTCATATTGACATAGAAATGAATAGTTAGGCCAACAAAAAAAAAAAATACTCGGTCTCTGGTCAGCGCGCGCGTCGATTTTAATCATGTGCGTCAACCTTTTATTTTCTTCAAATTAACACGGAAGCTACAACAGACAAACAACAAACACATTTTTGTACCAAGGAGCACCAAGGAATGGGGAAATTGCACCAAGGCAAATGATAAAGGGCATCAAGGCAAATTATGGAGGACACCAATGTATAATGAGGACACAAAAAAGCAAAATAGTACCCACCTTGTCTGTACAATACAAGCTTGAAAAAGAAAAAAGCCACCAAAAAAAACCAAAAAAAAACGCGTCACCGCATCAATTCCGGAACTTCGGTCTGACCAGAGACCGACTATTTTTTGGCCTTACCTTTCAGTGGCTATTTATTTTCAAGACCATGCATTTAACTTCTTCTGATGCCCCACATATACTTATCTTTTCTTTTCTTTTATCATGTTTATCCTCCATTTCTTTGCACACTATATTTTCAAGACCACACATTTAACTTTTTTTGTCACACAAATACTTAACTCTTCTTATTGTCTCCAACTGTAGTGAGCCGTCATGATTTTAATTTGCACAGTTTGTTTTCAGGATTTATATAACCGTTTGTACAGGGTGACTATTGTTTTAGTGAAGTTCTGCTAAATCTAGGATATGAAAGCCCAATTCAAAAGCTTTCTTTTAGTACAAGAATCATTTAAATCACTTGTGTACTTTTCAAGTTACGGAATTTGAAACACAACCACTGTTTTAAGGTTCTGTCCACGGATCACCAAAAAAGGTGTGCGTACTTTTAGCAAAAGGAACACAATTCACACACATCCCTAAGTGATTTGTTTTCATTTTGCTGAAAGAACACTAACCTTCTTGTGATCCGTGGACTGAACTTTAAAACAGTGGTTGTGTTTAAAATTCTGTAACTTGAAAAGTACATGTTGAGTGATTTGAATGATTCTTGTACTAAAAGAAAGTTTATGAATTGGGCTTTCATATCCTATATTTTGAAAGTACTACATGTACATGCAGTACTTCACTAAAACAATGGTCCCGACATTTGGTTTCAATTTTTTGACTCACCATGTAGATTGTATATATATGTGGATTATTTAACCAAAATCCTTACTTTTTTGTCATCAAGTACAGTTTTAAGACGAGTGTATATTTTCTGTGCCTACAGCATGCTCCTGTCGATGGCATGATCATTGTTGTCCTGAATGCGCTCGTACATGAAAGCCTGATACGGACGGCTGGGCGATGGCCCGTAAGTAGCAGCTATCACGGCATCCATTTTATACAAAACCCCCTTCGAAATTGTTTCTTCTTCAAAAGTTGTCAAAATAATTTAATAGAAACGTGTGAAGGACATGTCCCTTAAATGTTGTTGTTTTTTAAGTGAATTATATCACCTAGACATATGAACATGTAGGAGACTATTAACAGACAGCGTTATATGCTAATGATTCTTTCCATGTGTGGTTGAACCATGTGTGGCTTTCAAGTATTCCTTCTTTTTCCTACTTTTCCTATTTTTTCCCTTAAAATTCCCATTTTCCCTACTTTTTTTGTCCCACAACTCAAGAAAATGAAATCTCCTCGAATAATTTGTATAACGGTGTTACACACTGTCATATGTAAATCATACAATGAAGGGCTTGGGCGCAGGAGTACTGCAACTGTACTACCAAGAGCTTAGTTGAGGATGGAGCACAAGTGTTGTGAGTACAGAACATGCCAAATAAAGGAGGCTTATGATGCTGTGGACATGGGTGAGCATCAACAAAAACTGCTCCAGAAAGCCTGCAAAAGTCCTATTTTTTTGGCGTAAATTTTTATCCTACTGTTCTACTTTTTCACCTGTGTCTGCTTGATAGCCTGGATTAAGGAAAGTACGAAGTTTATGAACAAAATGTCAAGTGATATCTGTGAAATTGTAAGTGTCAGTCTTTATTAAATGTGAACAATAACTCTTCATTGCTCTTTAGGTATTTTTGTTGGAACCATGTATCATGTAACCTTTGAATCCTTTTCTTTTCTCCAGACCTCAGAGTTTGTCGGTTTCTCCAACTACCAAGCCCCCAAGGAACTTGTCTTCACCATCGATGAAACCATCTACAAGGCCATGGAGAAAGCGTACAACACGTTTGCTGCCAATGTGAGTTCTTTTCTTATAGTCACTTATAAAGTGGGTAATACGAGTACCGAAGTGAATACATCACGCGCACAGTGTGTGTGTAAAAGACAAAGCGTGGGATTCAGCCCATGAACCAACCCGCGTGCGTACTCCATTTCTTTGCACTACACTTTCTGGTTCTAAATGATGTCACACTTTGGTACCCACTTGCCAGGCCTCCAACCTTCTGGTTCTGAGCAGCAGATGTGGAGCATTTGGCAAACAGTGGACCAAGAAGTATAAACTCCACCCGGACACTGTGTTTCAGCTGGCCCTGCAGCTTGCATACTACATGCTACATCACAAGTAAGTGCGAGATTTATCCTGAAAAATCTGGCTACTTTCTCTCCATGAAGATTTCATATATTGTAATAATTTCATATTTTATTTTTTTTGGGTGGCAATGTACTAGCAGTGTTATTCCCCTAGCTTTCTAGCCAGAGGGGGATATTGCAATCACGTATTCCTTCTGTGTGCTGTCCGTGTGTTTGCCATTTTGGTTAGGTTCACTGTAAGTTCAGTCATCAATCTCAACCAAACTTGAAAAGTGGTCTTTGGAGAGAAGGTCGACGTCAGAAAAATCCTTTCCAATATGGATATTTACGAGGTCTATGGAGAGCTCAGCTCAGTATTACGCATGCTTCTAACATATGTCAGTAGTAGGTCTACTATTAATGACCCTGCATGCTGCAGTGGCTAGGGGAACGCACCAAGACTCACTGACATTAGGCTGCACGGAGTCCCATGTCTCACCCAAACTCCCCATTCAACTGAGAACTGGTACCTGCCGGGTGGACAATCAAGGCCGTGACTGAAAATCTACCTGCATGGTTTGGGTGTTTGACGGGAAATCTTTAGCTTCTCTATAAACAAGAAATCACTGAGAAGGGTCTAACCCTTAAATAAAGCCCTGTTACTGTACTGCATCTCCCTCAATGTTGTGCTTTTCACTTTTGTTGTGAAGGCCAGTTCCAACTTATGAAACAGCCACTACAAGACAGTTTTATCATGGACGTACTGAAACCCTGCGGGTATGCACATCGGAGGCTGTGGAGTGGTGTCAAGCAATGCTAGATCCATCCAAATCAGTGAGTGATGCTCTATCGCACCATTTTCAAAATTTTACAATTTTAATGTACCAGAATTAACAGGTTTTAGTTTTTGAAAGGAAGTTCAGCTTTTTGGGGGAAAAAGCAGCTGACGGTAGCCGGTGCGCACGACGCATACTGCGTTCATGGGGCCCGGAGCGCAGTTTTAAACACCGGTCTTAAGCATCCCTGCACTGTGTTTAAATAAGGGAATAAATGTGTGCTTTGGAGGTTTTAATCACTCTGTTTAAGACCGCTTGGAGTCTGGGTGCTGATAATTACCAGAGCCGAAGGTCAACAAAATCTAATAATTTTGGTCTTTAAAATTCTGACTCAGTGGTATATATTGCGCATGCCTACGTGAGGATTGTGAACGTTCAACCAATAAAACGGTAAGAGGCACTGGATTTTTAGGAGTCCATATTTCATGTGACACTGGAAAAATGTTTAAGACCAGCCAGCCATGTCTTTATCATCCGTTTAAGACCGGCCACATGACGGGCTCTCGACCAATGGGAATGGGTAAACTGTTTTGGTATTTATGAATGGCGATTTAGGGCCACCCACGTGACAGCTGGCTCTCAACCAATAGCAATGGGTTAGCTCTCTCCGGTATTTATGACTGTCTTGGTGTCTCCACCAGATGTCTGAGCGACGGGCCTTATTCCTGGTGGCCATTAGGAAGCACGATGAGAACATGACGGAGGCTGCCAACGCAGAAGGCTGCGACAGGCATCTGTTTGGTCTCCAAGCACTGGCAATGGAGCAAGGATTGCCTGTACCTGAGCTGTACACAGACCCTGCATACACGAAGAGGTATGCCATGATGTCTTTAATTTTACTTAGATGGTGGGTTCAAATGCAGCCTGTGGGCTTATAGTGTATGCATCGTTGGGCAAGACACTTTGATGTTAATTGCTGCTCGTCACCACAGAGTAAATGGGTACCTGTGAGAGTAGAGCACAGGCAATTAAGGCAAGTAACGCCGTTGTCAAAAAGTTAAAAATGCATGCGGTGTACTTGTTCTACATGTAAATAACCCCCAAGGACAGACACACAAATGGAGAACAACAGATCCTTTCAGTCCTCGGGAGTTGGGTCTTTTGTTCAAAACGGTCCTTTGTAGTAGGTTTGTGTGCTTAGTCTATGGGAGAGTGTAATATTACAGAGACAAAGGAAAACACAAAGCATTGTCCTCAGGAGTATAGTTAAACAAGTGTGTTATCCATCTGTGTTGTGTACACATGCACCAAAGATTGAGTGAATGTAGAAGAACATGCAAAGTGATATATGCATTCAAAAGTTTTTAAAATGTATAATCAACAATCTCCAAAACCTTAGAAGTGTCTTACTGTTTCCATTCTCAAGCGGCGGTGGAGGAAATTTCCTATTATCTACCAGCTGTGCCGGCTACCATGGGAGCTTAGGCGCTGTGGCACCCATGCTAAATGACGGCTATGCTGCGTTCTATTCCATCACAGACAGCAAGTAAGTCACGTACAATGGCCCTGTCAATACTCAAATTCTATTCGTTTTGTTTCAAAGTGGTGGCGGCGGGAATTTCAAGCTGTCTACGAGTTGCGTTGGGTATGTGCGATGCTGTCTGGGCGCCTGTGCCCCTATGTGTACGGATGGCTATGGCGCGTTCTATAACATCACTGATGACCAGTAAGTCTTTGAACTTAAAGGGGCATTATGGCCTGAAATCCCCGGATTGTTTACTGATACTATTTTAAACGTCTACCAGTAGTTGAAAGGAAACTCAATGTCTTACCGTTCCTGAGAAAAAGAAAAAAAAACGAAACAAGTACTCCCTTTAATAATACAAATGTAGAAAGTAGAAACTCGTGACTTGTAAACTGAACAAAGAGATACAAAACCCATAGAACAGTTGTGTGAAATCTGTTCGATGTCAGAAGCGACGGATTACGCATACGTATTTCCAGTCGCAGTGTATTGCAATACACACTGAGCGGCAACCATTTCTAAGAGCTGTTTTTCAGGTCCTGTTTCGACCCGAACGTGCAATTTGTGCAAAAGTCGTTGTTGGGGGCAGCAAACAAAACATAGTAAATTGTGACGTAATAAACAGGACTCGTTTATACTACGCTGCATCGGGAGTCCTGTTTATTACGTCACGATTTACTGTTTTGTTTGCTGCCCCCAACGACGACTTTTGCACAAATTGGAAATGTCTTCGAGCATTCCACAACCTCTTTAAATATACACGTACTTGTACATATGTAACTTTATGCTCTCTGCCACGATTGTTGCAGAAAGTCGAATTACATGTACGGCTTGATATTACACATGTACCTATCAAGGCAGCTTCATTAGCCACTTCCCATAGACACTTTGTGGCTGGCCATAGTCACATAAGTCCAACAAAGCCTTTGACAACAGCCTACGTATCTTTCCCCCTTCCTTCAGTTTCTTCCCAATTTTGCTGACATTCAAGTCCAGCAAGGAGACGGACATCAAGCGGTTCTTTGTGGCCCTCAACGCAGGCCTGGTGGACATCAAGAACCTAGTCATGATGAACAGCCCCAAGATGTAAAGCAAAACGTGGAAATCCTTCCACTGTCTCCCATTATGTGATGAAGGTACAGTAAAACACATCAATATAAATCTAAGACAATATCAAACATTTCTTATCTGCCAATGTTGGAATGATGTTCAGGTTGGATTCATGTCCCAGGCAATAACATCTTGAAATTAAACCAACACTCAACAGGGACAGTTTTCACTGTTACACATGTCGCATATATTTTGATATTTAAAAAGAGAATTTTGGAATCTAGAATTATGTCTGCATTAACCGCTATAGGGATCAGTCAAATCTGGACTTCAAATCAAGGCTCGGACCTATTCACCACACAGGTATTTGTGTTGGTGATCATGACATTCTGGTACTTGGAGAATAACAATACTTATATTTTATTAGATGGTTTATCTACTGATTAAAAGTAATTACCATCAATTAATTTTATTGTGATGTGATGGTTGTCTCATATATACATGGCATTGGAACTGCAAAAGACCTTAAGACACCATAGTCAGGGAATTCACCAAACCAGCAGGTTGAAGGGTCTTTAATTCAAAGTTCTTCTCCATGACTCTGACAGCAACTTTAGTTTGGCTGTTTTTAATGTTAACAAGTTTGTACAGGATGTTTTCTACAAGTAGCTAGCTACATTGTCGAGTGTTGGTTAATAACCTTCATGACACTCAATAGCTCATTTTCATCTCTTCAATTTGTTTTTTTAAAATTCAAGTCTTTATTATTCCATTATGATTCTTGAAATGGCTGAAATGTTTTTACATGTAAAACAAACTTAAGGTCCATTATATTGCATTACATGCTGGTTTATACAATCAAATACTCGTTTGTATGAATGCAGAAATCTCTGTATGCTTTTCCCAAAATTTCAAAATAATTAGAAACTTTTCAACGAAGACTTGACTAACATCAGTGTTATGATTGCACATCTCGTGTTAATATCAGTTCTGAAATATTGCTCCAATAATGTAAACGTAAATCAGTGACGAAAGGCCACATTTTTGTTGTGAATTCTTAAATTCAGAAAAAAAGTCTTATTTTTAGTTACGCTTAATGAAATTTTTTAAAACTTTTGTTATAGTGTTCTTTCTTGGTGTATTTTATTGTACTTTGATTAGGTTAGTAGTGATGAATCAACTTTTATTGACTGAAATTGTAGCACAATGACAGGTATTTTGTAGTAAAGACAATGCAAAAAGAGACAATGCAAAAAGAGGAAACCTTCGGCCAGATACGTCAATTGGCATGGCACAAACCTATTTTATATACAAGATATTAGTGTAAAGATGTCAGTGTTCGAGAGTGCTTAAGCACAAAATTTATTTCTTGTTTAGCCAGTACAGAAGATTCATCAAGGATCTCTGTGAATTTAAAATTACCAATTCTACCTCAAGCTAGTAAATACAAGGATTTATTTTGCAGACAATGCAAGTTGCAGCATACATGCACAAAAAAAAACACATTTTAAGCAAGTTTATTAGCCTGAAGCTTTCGTGTCCACTTGAACCAACTTCAAAATCAACTCGCTAAAATTATAGAAATTGTGATTAAAACCTATTTTATAATCTGATGATTAGTTTATATTTTTTGTACTATTGTTTGTGATTATTTTTTTTAATTTGGCAATTTCATTGTCAAACTGCGTAAAGGAAATGTATATAATTTTGAATGTCGGTTGCTTAACATAAAAATTTGTGAATATTGACAACCTACATGTATAGTTGCATGTTTAATTTGTATTATTCTTGGAACATTTTATACAAGCAGCAAATTGAGGTAATCATACACTCGAGATGTTTAGGTTCAACACCACACAACTAAAATGCAACACAAATGACTCTGTAGTAAATGCACATGATGCATGTCGTTCCTGTAGTATCCATAGGAGTACTACATCTTTAATGCAAACTAAAAACTCACCAACACTTCAAAGTTGAGACTGTTTAACAATAACAGCAATGTTGTAATGATGTGCAACATTTCAGTTTCATATTTCTCATTTTTATTTCTGAGGTCTAACTGAGAAAACTAAAAATAAATATCTGATTAGATTTTATAAATCTGGTTTTATGTACATTGTTTGTGTACATTTAAATGATTTCAGTAAGTTACTTATACAAAAAAAAAAAACTTGGACCATTTTACTTAAATGCTTTTTCCCAGGCAATAACATCTTGAAATTAAACCAACCGTTACAGTTTTCAATGTTAAACATGTCGCATATATATTTTGACCTTTAAAAAGAGAATTTTGGGATCTAGAATTATGTCTGCATTAACGGCTATAGGGTTCAGTCACATCTGGATATTAAATCAAGGCTCAGATCAATTTACCACACAGATATTTGCGTTGGTGATCATGACATTCTGGTACTTGGAGAATAACGATACTTATATTTTACTAGATAGTAGTTTATCTACTGATTAGATCTTAGATCTCCATCAAATCCTTACACAGCTCATCATTGAGTCGGTCAATCTCCTCTCCCATGGCATCCATATCAATGAGGATGTTCCTGTAGACATCTTGGTGATCTTAGATCTCCATCAAATCCTGACACAGCTCATCATTGAGTCGGTCAATCTCCTCCCCCATGGCATCCATATCAATGAGGATGTTCATGTAAACATCTTGGTGATCTTAGATCTCCATCAAATCCTAACGAGTCTTGTCATCGAGTTGGTCAATCCCGTCCTCCATGGCATCCATATCAATGAGGATGTTCCTGTAGACATCTTGGTGATCTTACATCTCCATCAGATCCTAACGAGTCTTGTCATCGAGTTGGTCAATCCTGTCCTCCATGGCATCCATATCAATGAGGATGTTCCTGTATACATCTTGGTGATCTTAGATCTCCATCAAATCCTGACACAGCTCATCATTGAGTCGGTCAATCTCCTCTCCCATGGCATCCATATCAATGAGGATGTTCCTGTAGACATCTTGGTGATCTTACATCTCCATCAGATCCTAACGAGTCTTGTCATCGAGTTGGTCAATCCTGTCCTCCATGGCATCCATATCAATGAGGATGTTCCTGTATACATCTTGGTGATCTTAGATCTCCATCAAATCCTGACACAGCTCATCATTGAGTCGGTCAATCTCCTCTCCCATGGCATCCATATCAAGGAGGATGTTCCTGTATACATCTTGGTGATCTTAGATCTCCATCAAATCCTGACACAGCTCATCATTGAGTCGGTCAATCTCCTCCCCCATGGTATCCATATCAAGGAGGATGACATCTTGGTGAATGGTGAATCTTAGATCTCCATCAAATCCTTACACAGCTCATCATTGAGTCGGTCAATCTCCTCCCCCATGGCATCCATATCAAGGAGGATGACATCTTGGTGATCTTAGATCTCCATCAAATCCTGACACAGCTCATCATTGAGTCGGTCAATCTCCTCCCCCATGGCATCCATATCAATGAGGATATTACTGCAGACATCTGGACACAAAGCTCCCTCGTCATCAGCAGGCCTTGCTGGACAGGCAGAGGGCAAGGTGTTACCTGTGGTCGCTGGATGTGTGATGTCTGGAACAAGGTGTGTGTCATCATTCACTCTCTTCTGCTTATTACAAAGAAAAAGTTTAAAAAAAAGACCACTGGATCCTGAAGTAGTTCATAAAGCACCTGCATTTCTCAAGAATGTAATAAATTAGTGTGATGGTTATAGTAATTAGGCACAAGTAAAACTGTAGGCAGTACCTGTTAGAAGGAAAACTGCACCCAACAGATAATTTGAGAGGCAAACACCGTGTAATACTCTTTGAGACATATTTTTCTTTGTATTTTTTGTTGTTGTATTCTTAGCAATAGATTTTCACCCAATTCAAACCACGAGTAAAACGGTGACAATTAGTAGAATGGCTCGCTGTGACTTAGAACTTGACACTTTAGAATGACTTGTGGTGACTTCAGCTGTGTTTTGTACATGATCAAAACACATCAGAGAACACAAAAAAAGAAAACAGCAGAAATTTGAAGCCAAGTTTTGTAGTTGAAACCAAAAGGGCATTTTGAAAATGAAATGTAATCAATGTAACTAAATGTGAACTTTTATGTTTGAAATTATAAGTTCACATTTGAAGTGTGAATTTTGTATTATTTGATCTGCTTGTAAAAGTGTAAAACAAATGTGTTCACCATAGTCGTTTGCTGGTCCGGTACCGAACACTCTGCTTCATCTCCATATTGCATGGAATAGAACTCCAGGAGAACGGGCTTTCTTCTTGAAAGTGGACTTGTATACGGCTCAGCCTCTGAGTGAAATTATCAGACCCAAAACAAAACAAAATAGCAATGACCAATAAATGTTTTATTTCAAACGAATCAACATCAGAAGTTACAACCGATAACAAACTAAATAGTCTATAATCTTTGATAAGATTTGAATGCTGCCCCTGCCTTCAGTTACAATCTTTGAAATTAGTGAAAACTCTTTAAGTATGCAGAATTTATTCCGACTGTTGAGGATACAGTCATGCATGAATCCCATAAGACGGAAAACTGTACCATTTGTAATCCGAGCACATGATCGTGTAGAAAATCCCAAGATAATTGATGAAAGTGACTTCCAGGAGGAAAGCAGTACCACTGCAACCCAAGGGCAAACTTGAACCTTGCATCGGCACACGTGTGCCCATCAACCTATACACAGCTTACCTATGTGGGTTGGTCTATCCAGTGTCTTGATGCAGTCCCTATCGTTGACTGCGGTACTTTCACCTTGCTGCTGGATGTTTGTCAGCATGTTCTGCATCGCCTGCAGCTCCTGCAAGGCTTGGGTCGATTCCTCCTGCAGCAGATCCAGATCTGCTTGAACTCCATCGTCTGCATTTGTAGACAATAATGGAAACACTATTTTGTATTTTTTTTCAGAGGGCTCTATACTCTTTTTTCTGAAAAGCATGTACTCATGTTAGTCATATTCACAAAATCTAATTCATGATTATTATTCATTGTTTTCATGTTCATCATTGGCATTACAAGTTAGGTTTTTATTTCATAGTACTAAAAACAACTGAACATTTGAATTTGTGCATAACCTGTATTTCCTTGTGCAGCCTTGAAGCACTGTTCTCCCTGTGAATGTGATCCAATATGACCACCCTCTGAACTTTCCTGGACTCCTATTGGATGACTAGAAACACGAGTCTGCCCTCTAATTGGTAGACGGAAATTGCCCATGTCATCCATTGGCTCAAACCTTACAGGTGTTTTTCCAATCTCTGGAAGGCAGATGTTCCCAAGCTCTCCCATTGGCTGAAAGTTGTTGCCCTGCCCTTGGATTGGTTGACTGGTGTACTTATGGTAATTAGCCTGCCATTTGGCTGCAGTGGGTACAATGTTTGCAGTGGCTGATGTGAACGTGTGAGGTATATTTTCTTTCAGGTGTTTCTTCTTGTGCTTTCTGGGTTGCTTCTTGTGCTGTGTCTCACACGATGCAGCTTTATCAGCAAAGCTGCCTGAAGAACGCAGCTCGTACAGTTCATAAGGCAACAGGTTTCTGCATTGAAAATTTGTATCGCAAAATAAACTCATTAAATGGATTATGCAGGTTTTGAGTACATCATGATCTACTTTTTACAATCCCACTCAGTTACTCAATCAATGATCTTTCTAAGCAAATCATGAGGGGAAATAGGTGGGAAATTGTTTTACCTGATAATTTTAATCATGGATCCTCTACACAAGGATAGACGACTTCCCCAAATTTCTGGCTAGAGGCATGATATGGCACTTGCGCGTCGTGCGTGCGCGAGACTCGGTGCACAACTGCAGTCTTTCAGTGGTCAAATTTCTGTCAGGATGCCAGCTGTCGGCGATCTAGGCACGCGCATTGTTCTACATGTTCTATGCGTTGCTCTATGCACAGACGCGGTATATCACACATGTAGACAAACCGTTCCGTACATTTTGTACACAAGCTCAGATGAATTGTTTATGAGTCATGTAGAGGATCCGTGGTTTGATGCAACTTCATTAAATGTTGCATTTACTGGGAGTATTTCTGTGGAGTGGTGGTTTTATACTGATTAAGGGGTTAGATTAATATTTCAAATGACCACTTTCCAGCTATTTTTTTAACATTCGTAATTTTTTGGGGGTTTCATATTACAGGCATGCAACTTTTCCTCGGATCAGCTGATTTCCTCTGTTTTTTACTTCCCATGTGTGCCAGTGAAAATAGAAAAACACTGTACAAAGTCTGGGAAAAATTTGAATTTCCTCTTTTTTTGTGATTTCCCAGTGGCATGCCTGATATTAGAGGCAGACCAGACTTAGCTTGATTGACTGGGTATTCTTTCCTGGTTCCTTTGTAATAACTCAACAGTGAGTAGTCACCTTGTGTAGAATGTCTTGACTGCACAGCTGACAGACTGGTGTGGTCCTGGACTTGTACCACAGGCTTCGTGATAAACTTTGGCCCAGGCACGGTTGGCACTCACCTGTCAAATCCAGGCAACGCAAAGACAGAGAAAATAAGTTCAGGAAACCTTTTCCTTTGAAACCCTCCACCGACGTTCCTACGTGCATCTTTCAAACTTAAAGAGACTACAACTTATATGTGCACAGTCCAGGTAATTAAAATCGGGTTTTTAATTCCTACCCGATTCCGTGGGTTAATTTTCCAAGAACATTCTTCTGGGGTTTTCCTCCCACCTCTAAATTCTTCTAACTGTCTGCTCTCCACAGGTTTTTAATGCTTTCGAGCTACTAGTGCCCAGGGCACTTTTGAGGAATCCTTGGTTTCATTACCAGAAAGAAATTACAATTTTTTTTTTTTAATATATGTACAACTCCAGGTAGTGCCCAAAACCCCAAGCACTCAATGATTTTATCAATTCTTCAGGTATGAAGTACAATGTAATACGTGTCTAACAGGTGTTAGTGGGTTAAAGAAACACTTGCAAATTTTCAAGTTCAGCACAAATTTCCAAGATCAGCACATCTGGATTTTTTCTTTTCAAGTTGTTTTTCATTCATGTTTTTCCTTGAAAATAATGTGCTTCTTTACATCAATGGAACTGTGAATGATCAACTTATGAATTGCCTGTGCCTAATAATAATAATAATAATTATAACAGATTCTTGTATAGCGCTTTTAACTAAGATCAAAGCGCTTTACATTATTATCACCCCTAATCATTGGGCCATAACCATTCCAAATACCATCTCAGCTCCCTGGGGAGTATACAGCTTGATGCAGCCTGTTAGGCGCAAGGAAGCTAATTCAATCACAATAACCATCTCTGAGAGAAGCAATGAGTGACAAAGTGCCTTGCCCAACGGCACATGCACCATGACCCCTGGCTGGACTCGAACCCACAACCTGCAGCCTACCATGTTGTAGCCGCCTCGTTCCTGTACGGCCATGTACACCTGGTATCTGCTGACCTGACGACCCTGCCATTGGGGCCCCCTACTCTTCAGTGGGATTCCATGACGGGAGGCAAACTTGGCGAGACGCCGTTCAAATTTCTCCTCGGCTCTTCTCAGTAGCTGAATCGCAATACAAACATTATAAATGCTATAAACAATTTTTCATTCTTTGAAGTTTCATAACCGTGCAAATGTTTCACCTTTTTTTTTTCAAATGGATATAACGCATTTTGAAAATAAACTCTTTATGTCTTTGTTCAACTTTATGAATGTCACTTTAAACACCTGAATATCAGCCTGAAGCCGCTCTTCCTTGGAAGTGATGAGCATCGGCACCTGTTGGGCTGGGGAGTCATCTTCCGAGGAGGATAGCTCGCCATGATGGATAGAATGCAGCTGATGAGGCTGGCTGCTGAATGACACCTTCTTCTACATGGGTGTCAATTTATAAGGGGTTTTACAAAGTCTTACATGGAATAAAACCACTGAGCAAACATTTTTTTTATATCACTGAGAAAATTAAAAGGCTGATCTGAAGTTAATATTTTCACTTTTAACTCCCGGAGTAGTGTCAGAGTCTTTGGAGTATTACTTTATATTTTGAGAAACAAAGTTGTAGCTGGTGCAAAATGCTGATATCATATAAGTCATTAAATTGAACATACTTGTATTTTTTTTGGGGGGGGGGGGGTGGAGGGGTTGGGTGGGGGTCAACTGTACTTTTAACTCTGTAGGCATAAAATACTTGTACCTTTGATTTTGTGATAGACTGTGTCTTGCTATCGGAGACAGGAAGACGTATCTTTTCCTTGGTTTTCACTGGTCTACCTCTCTTCTTTTTCCCTGCACTGTCCAGCTGGGTACCAACAACGGACCTCTTTTCCAGTTTAATATCTGTGAAATGGTTAAGATGCAACTTCAATGACCCTGGCCACTGAGGATTATCATTGGTTATACATAACGATACACTGGGTCTATCACCATGGGTAAACAAAGGACCTTCTAGGGTGTTTTCACGGACTCCTAATCTGGCTTAATATGTTGGAAAAAAACCGTGAAAATTTAGTTAACTGTCATTTCAAGGGAAAATGGTTCTGTAACTAATTTTTAAGGGATGAAGATGTTCATAGTTTCACCTTTCTCGGGCTGTGGTTTGTAAACAAAGACACATTTGGCCAGCCTCTCCTCACAGGTCAATGACCTCAAGGAGTCTGCTTCCTGGATGGATGCCTGCAGGCTCTTGATGTAATGGTCACTCTTGAGATGAAAGTAGGCTGAAGCCGAAAAGACAGACTTCTTACGTTTAGATTTCTGCAGAGACAAAAGTAGAATCCTGCAGAGTGACTTTTATTATTTAGCTGATGTAAAGAATATTTATAACTAAATGCAAAGCACAGAACAATGGTTAATTTTTAAATATTCATTCTCTCCTGCTGAAGCCCTTAATTCTCAAATTGTGGAGATTTGAAAAAAAAATAATAAATACATAGAAATATAAATAAAATGAAACAAAATAAACACAAAACCAAAACACCCCCCCCCCAAAAAACCCAACAACACAAAACAAACAAACAAACTCTGTTGCCAAAAAAAGTAATGAATTTTCCCCTGCAAATGCATTTTGGAAATTGTTTCATTTTGGAAATTTGAACAAACAAGCTCTTATGTTTACAAGCTAATTACTTCCAAACAAATGGTCTACAATTCCTTTTTTTTTTTTTTTTTTAAGAAGATAAAATAAATGTTTATACCAATAAATGTTTATACCCTATGTGGTGGAGGATAAGAGGAGCTGCCATAGATGTCAATACTGTTGCTGTGCACCCAGTAATGTGAGTGAGGCTGTCCAAGCCACTCCACATGATACTGTGATGGAGTCCCCGTCTCATCATTGACCATCACGTACCTTCCGTCAGAAGGGTCTGGAGACAAGATGGCTGGCCATCTGTATGAAGAAATACAGTGAAGGATTTCAGTCAAACAATGGACATTTGATTGAACTATAGGCCAACCCAACGAACAAAATTAGAAGCCAGTTTGTAGGTGGCACCACGTCATCGCGCATGCCGCACACGTTCTTAAAGACAAAAAACGCGCGCATTTTGGTAACACTATTGGTCAAGGAGCCAGGAGTATGTGCGTATTACCTGAGCCGAGCATGACTTGCGCGAGTCTCGATCGTGCCACCTCAGAATATAAATATTTATTCAAATAACTTTTCAGATTGAAATTGAGCAAGTAGCACTTTCATGAAATAAAAAGTTGAAGCAAGTGTGTAATGAGAGATGCTAAATTTAAATCCATGCCCTATGACCTTTATGTTGTTCTGTATATGTTGTATTTAATTATGTATTTTTTGAAATTTGCAGATCCTTTTCACGCATTCTTTTAAGTTACTCACCGAACATGTCCCGGCATCTTGGCCCAGACCAAAGACCCCTGAGGTAGTTGACTGAAGATGTACCAGTAGCCACACTTGTTGGCTGTGTGTATGGTCCTCCTATGGTTCTCCTCAGGTTCCTGACATCTAAAACAATAATTACAAAGAAATTGCGCAGAATCAAGCCGTCTTGCTAACACTTAGCCCTTGGAATTTTAACATTGGAAGTGGCTGCACCCTAGATACTCTCAGTGCTAGCAAGATCATCAGTTTGAAAAAACTGAGACATCAGTTTGAAAAAAAATGTCATTTCTTACTGAATTGAATTTTCTTTGAAAATCTCAAGTGTCACAAGGCATGGTTGATTCGCCCCCTTTAATTAGTTGGTAGGGACACAAACTGTTGAGGACATCAGTTTGAAAAATAAATGTCAGTTTTACTGAAATGTATGTCCAATGTAATTTTTTAGTTCCAAAAAGGGCAAATCTTTTTCATTTGTTTTGGATTGAGTGGAGTAATGAGGTCATTTTGATCTGGTACAAACTGAGGGAGCAACAACTAGCACTTAAACTTAAGGTCCTGATTAACTTTTGGCAGGCCTATATACCCCAAGGAACCCAAAGCCAAAGGGATCCCAAATCTATTTAAGTGAAAAGACTCTCACATGTGTAGGTGATACCGACAAAAAAAAAAACCGGGTAAAGTGGGTGGGATTGAAACAAATTTAAGCCTATCACAGTGTTGCCTTTGCTTTGGTCATATACAATAATTATTTGGTTTACTGTGATGACAGGGGGAGGAGTAAGAAAGTTGGAGAGGGGGAAGGTTGTAATTTAAGGCAATATTATGTAAACAAGAATAGATGAATTCATAACCAACTTGTTGTGTGCAGTATCTGCATTCATATGACAAAACCAAGACTCTTCTCCCAGCTTGTGGACCTCCTCTCTGCTGATCCTTCTCCATTTCAGACAAGCTTCGTTCTCACACTGGACCCAAGAAAGCTCTTTCACCTGCCCGAATAGTAATTAGTATGCCTAATTATCAGTTTCAATTCAGTAGGTCTAATGTTTTCATTCCATAATCCTTAATATAATAATGAATATTAAAGAAAGCAGTAAGCGGGTAAGAAAAAAGGAGCTAAGTTAGTAAGTAGTAGGGCCTAGTCCTACATAGGGAGGTGGAGGGGAAAGTCAGGATTGTTAAGCACATCAGTAGGACGAGAAATCGTTTCACGACAGAAGAGGTCAAAAACAGACACAGAAAAAAAATGATAATTTACCTCGTCTACATTAAGGGAATCCATGACAGCATTTCTGCTCGATGTCGAATTCACAGCTAAACCTAAAAAGGAGCAAAGCTAACAAATGGGCCTGAAACTTAAGTGAAACTTTGAGGCCAACCGCCACTGAACCGTGTTTTACTTGTGTCGTGTATGGGCGCGCTAACAAAATCTTCCGCAGACTAGACGATCTCAACACAATTAGTCTGGTGCCATACTACTTTATAAAATAAAATCGCGTATCGCACGCATAGGAGCCAGACAAAATCTACTATTTCCACTCTTGGAAAATGGAAGAGTCCAAAAATCTTTGTCCAATCAAAATACTGCTGATTTTAGGGTGAAAAGAATCCCACAAAAAAAAAATATCGAAAAATGCATTCGATTTTAACGAAGTATACTCTTCCAAGTCATTCAAATTTTCAATATCCTGAGAAATTAGAAGGCTACCATCACCATGACAGGCTTCGGTTTGCAGTTACATTTTTTTTGTTGGGGGGAAGGAGTTGAGGGATAAAAGATAACAGCATATTTACACCAAGGCTTTGACAATGTACACATTTTCTACAAATTTTGACCAGGCAGAAAATATATAATTATCCGTATTTATTATCTGCAGGTACTACAAAATACATATCAAATACAAAACAGTGCGTGCTTATCTTGCATAAAAAAAGTGAAAATACACAGTATTTTTATTTACTACAAAACTACTATATATTTTGGTGTTCACAAATTTACAAATAAAAATGTCATAAGTAGCTAGCTTAATCTAAATCTGACACACTATATGTACACTTAAAAAAGCTTTTCATTCCTTTTAATACAAAAATAGCGTTGTATATGTTGCGGCATAAAAGCACCACAGCAACCAGCACACATTTTTTTCCACAAGTTAATTTAGAAAACAAAATTGTAATTGCATGCAAATATGATTTACTTATTAAGCTCTTTTTGAGTTTTATCCTGAAAAAAAATAGGTTCTGTACTAAACTGCTATTTTTTTTCTAGCAATACAGACGTTATTCACTTTAGAACGAGACAACGAAAAAAAAATGCCCACAAAAGTGAGGTTCACAATTACTTGAAACTGCCATCAAAAATCGGTGGTTTTATCATTTGCCTGTGCAGTACTTATCTAAACTAGTCCCAATTCCCGTGAAATGTTAAACCGGACACCTCTTATAGTGTATCTTAAAGGTCTCAGCACAGCAAAGCTTATAAATTAGAATGCATGATGTCAAAAATCCACAGAGCCATATTAAAACAATCTGGCGCTGCTATCAACTCATTTGTATCTATTGTGTTGAATAAATCACATTCTTTACGAAAATAATAATATCTATATTTTTTTGAAGTCAAACATTTTTGCACAAAAACCCTCATTGCATCAAAGCTCATCCACACTGTATCATCAATCACTATCATTACATTCAGCAACACTATTCACCATCATTGTCATTATTACAACGTCAAAATTGTAACAAATCGCCAACAATCATTATCACCACTGTCATCAGCTACCACTCACATACAACACGGCATAGTCATAATTGCTATCGTTTATCGTTTACCGTTATTATATCACAATTCTCTAAATTCGTTCTCATTTCTCTTGAAGTTCTATCACTGGTCAAATATATCGTTACACTTCATCCCAACACAGCTTAGAATGTAGAACATCTTATTTAGGGATTTTACCATGATCCTCCTAGTTGCAGATATCCCTCTCAATCTAAATCTCTCTAATCACAATCCTTTCTCAGTTTTCGAAATTCCTTTTCAAATTCCCCCAGTACTATAACTGAACAAATTTATTGCCACAACCCATGATCACACAACTACTTTAACTTTGCCGCTGCATGTAGCCCACGTGCCAACTCTGCTGACTTGATGATGTTCTTCTTATTGTTGAAACTTTGATGTCGCGTTCAGTGATACTGCTCCAGTGTTCTCCCGTCTTTATCGATGGTGTTGAATGGGTTTCCTGGAGGCACCAATGTGATCATGCGCGACATGCGTGAGGTGCGCTTGTGTGGCGACATGTTCCGTTCTGATGGCAGACTCCTACATGAACAGTTACAAAAAATATTTTAAAAATAGTGGAACTATTGTAGCAGAACAAGATCAACTTACATGCTGTAGTGATCAGTGGTGATTAAAGCTAACAAAAAAATTACAATGATCAAATATCACCTTTGAAACCTGATGAAGCAAAAACATATATTCCTCTTTTTCTTTCAGTTGGTTGTGGTCACTCTTGTTTTTTAATTCTGACTCGCCCCGTATAGGTACAGGTAAATGTAGCCGTCTTATATTCTACTCGAGTGAGCTATGTAATAAAACTTACCTGTGGACTCTGGCAGTGGTTTGCGGCTGTGGTATGCTGACATTCACATTGGCTGGTTCAGTGTTCATCCAGTGGGTGCATCCAGTGTAGCCTGGAATATTAGCGCGCCTATGGAGCCCAAAAAATGGACAGAAAAATTAAAGGAGTCTTAATTGCAACACCTGTACAATTCCTTGAAGTTTACATCTACAGTATATAGGTCTCTCTCAAATGACGTCACTTCCTACAGATTGTCACGTGAATCGGAATGTTGGGCGTCAAATTTATTCTGGCGTTGTATACTATGAATGTTTCACATTCATGCAATGGAAAGAATGATTTCATTTAGTGACAGTTGGAAAGTTCTATTCCACAAGGCGAAGCAGACATTCCATCTGTTACCTCATCTGCCAAGGCTTACACAAAGTTTTGAAATGATTACTTAGACAAACTTCAAATTATTTGCAGAAGATAATAATATAATTCTCGCAGGATCAACTGGTTCCCACCATCCTATAAAAATGGATTATATAGGGACCAGGAACCACTCTCAAGCTTTTTTTTTTGGGGGGGGGGCGTAAAATAACACATTCTAATTTGTTGGAGATAACATTTAGAGTTCAAATCAGGGTTTCAAACTTTTATAGTATATTTTAGACATGTTCAAGATTACAAATATGCAAAAATTAGAAACTCAAAAAAAAAATCACCCCCACAGCATTTTTGGGCCCTATCTCAATTTCAACCTCTGCCCAGAAGCATCTGCTTTTGACAGAACAGGTCACATATAACAGCTGGCTTTTAAGGCACTTCACAAAACTTTTTTAAAACTCACCAAATTTAAGTCCGCATCACCGACCTGCTTGCAAGCAAGTCAACGATTCTGCGTAGGCTGATACCAATATTTTCCTAGTGGTAGTAGTCAATGTTATAACCGTATCCTTACCTGGCAGTGTCGGTGTATTTGGGTACCAGACTTCGTAGCACGGTAGTCGGTATGAAGAACTTGTGATGGTCTTCTCTCTCGCCTTCTCCTCCTATACAACCAGTGTAGTTAGGAATCTGCTTGTTCTTCCTGTGGGGGCTACAGCTGTTGGAAGCAAGAAGTTTGAGTACAGTCAAAGTTTGTTAATGTAAATTTGGTTCGAACCAACTTCTGGTTAATTGATTAGTTAAAAAAAATAAAAAAAATAAAAAAAAATTGTTTTTGTTGCAAAATTCTGTCTTTCACTAGCCATCATACATTTGATTCGAGGCATTAACATACACCTACAGGTGTTTAATATTAATTGCCACATATCCTCCCTTCCATTTCACAAATATCTCGGCAAAGGCAATTCTGTTATTTTTTTAAATATATACAAAGGAATAGAAATCAATAAAGGAAAGTAACCCAAAATAGCTTACAATGCTATTGGCCCTCGTATATGATGTCCATCTCTTGTCTGGAACCAGTCCCAGGATCTTCCAAGATTCTGAAGACAAATTAAAGAGAACATTTGATATGGACATTGGGTAATATGGTTGCATATTAAAGTACGCATTTTATGTAGAATGAATGTACAATTTTGTTAATTCATTCACTACGGGGACATCTCTTAAAGTACATACTGCTGTACAACAGCTGCAGAAACTTTCACGAATTATTTAAATGTAGGCCTACATGTAAAATTACCTGCCAGGCTGCAGCACTTGGTTCATATCTCTTGTTGTCGGTGAAGCAGTGAGATACAGGGTCTGCTTGGGATTCCACAGTGGAGGCTGGAGGGAGAATCTTAGGGGCCAACTTGCTGTCCCAGTCAACATCCTTGGAGGCTCTGCACGTGAAAAAAAAGGCTTTTAATGTCAGTGTGGCCTCAAGTTATTCACTACAGAACGTAACAACGGCATACAAAATACCACGATCTTCCGCAATCTTAAATGTTTACATAACTTCTATATTGCACATCCAAAATACTGCTTTTTGTTTATACATGTAGCAGAGGGATATGCGACAGACATGACAGAACGCTCATCAACTAGGATGTCTTACAATGAGAGGGGGTCCAACATTTCAGTCCTGGCAAAGTCTCTCTCGAAGTCTTAATCATAGCACCAAGTCAGGTTTGAAACCTGCCTTGATGTTCATTCTTACAAAGATTTTTTTTTTTTGCCTGTTAATGTCTTCCACAATTCATTGTTTTAAGCCGATACGACATCTGCCTACATGCTACATGTATGGCAGACCTTTCAAATGTGGCCTTTAAGTATGTGTTCAATGTACATTTGCCCCCCCCCCCCCTCCCCTTCAGAAACTGTCAAGCATAACAAAAATACCACACTCACCTTTGGGCAGCTGATGTGTAAATGTATCGCAAGGCAGCCTCGTCTTTCCAGTTGGGAGATTTGTCAACAGCCTGAAAAAAAGTTGAACGACAGTAACATCATAATACTTTGTGGAAATAAAAAGATGACCCTTCAATGACATAGAAAAACATTACTAGTCCAAATGAGCTGGATTGCTTGCTTGTGGGCATTGGGAAGTGCAGACAGTTATTTTTCTAATTCTCAAGGACTGTTCTATTCTTTATATTGTTTGGCCTTACACTCATTTGTCCCTTGATGTTGCGCTCGTGAAGCTGCTTCCAAATTCTTTCTTGCTCCTTAGAGGCTTCTCTTGGGTCAACTGCGCTTGTCCATCCTGCAATGTAATGTACAATCCGAGCATTAAAGGCATAGGCCTATTGGACTATTTGCATTAATCCCAAAAGAAACCTACTGAAATATTATAAAAAAGATCACTTGGGTTTAAGATCGTACAAGTACATTAAGATCGTACTATAAGTAAAATTGTTCTGTCTGGCTTGCTGTTATTTAGACTAAAGTTCTAAAACTAGAACTGTTGGGGATTTCCAATGGTCAACTGACTATATACAAAGATTGCTTTTGACAAAATTGTGTTTCGTGTTCAGAATTAAGATTGTGTTAATTTGTTTTAACTATGTCTTCTTGACAAGTGTAATATCCATTGAGCTGAAACTTTAACAAATTAGGTTTTGAACGTTTGTCTTAAATATTAATGAGGTATCATAAAACGAATGCAAATTTATGTTTATTTCATGCATTAAAATTAGGGTCGGCCCAAAGTTGATAACATCTTATTTTTCTCTGACAAATATAGGGCCAAGGATCTTTTCTATGCACTTTTAAAAAATCTAATTTTATGCTGGCAAATTATAATAATCAGACAGCCGACTTATTTCTCTTAGTCTTACTAACACGTTACGGACCCCCTCAAATTAATCCTGCATAACTGAAATATACACAACAAACAAATGCAGTATTAACCTCCCAACTTTGCTCTGATGAAGCCATCACTAATTTTCCTGCCCGCCCATGTTCCAGGATCATTCAATATGTGTGTCACATCTGACTCGCTTTTGACCAGTCTCATTTCGGGGTTGGATCTGGCCCTGGAAAACTGCGGAGTGTCGGGTTTCGTTGGCACAAATGTCCCCCTAATTCTGTCTTTTTCCTTCTCTCTGTGGGCTTTGGTTGTGGTTGGACGAGGGGACAGGGGTGTCACCGTGTTCGGGGTATTGTCTATCTGCTGCATGGACGGCATGCGGTCCACGCCCGTGTTGCGGTCCACATCTGTAGCGGCCGAGACGAAACCCGAGACGGGGTCGATGACGGGCACGTTGTCCCGCAGCGGGGCCAGCGTGTCGTCGTGGTACTTCACTAAGTTGGGACTGGATTTCCACTGAAAGCTGTCCACGTCCCAGCGACCCCGAAGTTGAGGGAATTTCATCTGTCGCTGGCGTCGGTTTAGCACAACTTGCTCGATACTGTTGGGTCCGGCATTTGTGTCCGTTTGTAAATGTAGGCGCAGATCGCCCATAGGACGAGGTCTCACTGCAGTGTCCACCATTTTATATCCGCTTAAATTAATCCAAGCCACTGGCTGTGAAAATCAGTTTACAAAACCACGTCAAATTATCACAGATACAGCAGCGTAAAGTCTCCAAATATTTAGGCAGGCCAAGTAGAACTTTTACCGCCGACTGATTTCGGAATCAGTTGACAATTTCCACACCAAAACAAGTTTCGAAGTCTCCTCCACCTGTTGCAGCAGCTGGGTGACAACAACCTGGAGTTGCTATGAACACGCTCAGGTAATCATTTATTTACAATCTGCCAAATAAGGATATAGCTCATTTAAATAACAAAGTGGCGACAAGTTGAATGGAATGTTCGACTCTTTAAAAAGGGTAACCGTCTGGGCTATTTTACATGGCAAATATATCATGCCAAAATATTCGACTTTTGTATAATCTTCCTTAGTTTGTAAGTATTTTTAGTTTCTTTTCATTGATTTTAAAAACATTTCGAATACGCTTTGTCAATTTGGCATTTTTTTCTAGCGTTTTTATATTAGCCCACTTTTAAATTTACCCCGACGATTGAAATGACCACCGACGAACTTCTTGACTTTTTGACGTCATGAGGTCAACAACAGGCGGCGCCGCGCGCGCTTGGTTATCCGCAGCAGTGTACGTGACGTGTGTGCATGTGCGAACTGTGTTGTCAAAATGGCGGTGAAGAGTAGGAAATCGAGAAAGCAGACGACGAGCTTGGAATCCAAAAAAGACCCCTCATCTGTCAAGTCCAAGGCCTCAACAACGAGATCAAATTATGAGAAGAATGGAAGCCATCCTGTGCATCTGAAATCCTTGCCGAAGGGTGTAATATTTGGTGCCTTGGTCATGGGTAAGTGGTTGCCTGATTCATCAGTGTTCATGCTGTCTGGTTCTAATTGATCCGCCGGTTGCGAGTGCGAGCGGGATCAGGCTCAGCCTATAGCCGGTCACGGCGGCGTTTTCGCGGTCCGAGTGTGACTCGAGAGACCGTGCGGCGCGGTGCAGCTACTGACTGTCATGACTGTGCATGCTCGCCTTCGCTCATCAGCCGCGCGCTGTATACATCCTGACACGGACCGTACAGATTTGTGTTAGCTAGCCTTCCATAATGAATACTGACGACGATCACCTTTTCTTCAGTTGAGTTCTTTATTTATATTCCTCCATGATAATTATGCGCCTATCGACTGCTAGACCCATGACCATTTTCCTCATTGCAAGTTAAGATTCTAATCCTATCGTTTTTCTTTGTTTTTTCAACAGCTTCAATTTTTGGAATCCTTCATAGGTAAGAAAACATAATTTACAAAATGTACTTGTAAGGGAATTATGAATTTCAATTGTGACTTGACATTTGTAGCAATAGGGGAAATCAATATTAGGTTTTGCCCTTCACCGACATATGCAGTGTGTTACCTCCCAAGTGAACTTTGGTACATCAGATTCCATCTTATGATTAATATGAATAGCAATGAGTGACTTAAAAAAGTTTTAAAAAATAACCAGTTTGTTTTCCCCGCCCGCTTTCTTTTTTCTCTTACTCGCTTTTTAACCTGCCCGCCTTCCCATGTATACATTGTATATCCAGCAGCAGTCCAAGTGCAGTGATATACTGTACGTTTATGTCATGCTGGTGTAGGCCTACTGGTACATGTACCGCCTTGTACATGTACCTAACAGTCAATTCCTGTTTCTGGGCGGAGATACGCATTATACCAGTACATTTAGCATATTATAGAAATCATTACCTTGTACACTGGCCTTAGTATAAGTCTTGCGATTGGGACATGCAAAATGAATCGCCTATTAAATCACTATGGATAGTACTCAGATTTTTGGTTTTTAAATAAATAAAGCTGGAATTCCAGTGACATAAACTGGCATTTGAAATGGGGTCAAGGCTCTTTTTGCACCTCAGTGTAGGAGGTCCCAAAACCACCAGATCTACCCCCAGCTCTCATATATTATGACACCACATGGGTACATTAGGCCCACCTGCCATGCAGTGCTGGGGCGCACCGGTATATGCATGGAGGTAGGAAACCTACCTCCATGGTATATGCAGGCCGGTTGCAGTTCTAATCCAATACAGAGCCTTGGTTAAGGCTATATAAGTACTTGACTTGATTCAATCTGTGTTCATTTTATCAAACATGACGTCCCGTTTTATTTGCCTGCACCATGCATGGACCATGCATCACTATATGTATTTCAAAGGTGCTTTGACTGCATGTGTTCATCAGTGAGGTGATTTATTGCAGCAAATAATAGGAAAAAAGAGCGCCACATGTCACTTAGCAGAAGAAATTCAATAGACTGTATTAAGTTGGTGCAACAGCTGCATCCATGTAAAATATGTGCATGCGACATCTGTGTCAACTATGAGCACTGAAAGATTCATATTCCCTTCAATAATCAATGATGTTATTTTTATTGAGCCAAAATCAACTGCATGATGTACAAACATACAATTTACAATTTATAATGCAGAGTAATAACCTCAACTGGTTTTCAACTGTGATGAGCACAAATCTATTTTATTGTCTTGTAATTGCATTGCACAGGTGCCACAAGGCATGATTATGTTTTTCATTTCTTACCACTAAGGGCATGGGTGAAGTCCAGTGACCATTTTTGTTTTCTGAATCGTCAGTGTTTAGTTTCTTTCTCACTACTTTCCAAATGAGTATCACTTAGAACATAGAAGAAACCTTTTCATTACAGAGTATTAGCGAGATCATGAAAAGTATAGTGAAGCAACCATCTTAGTTCATCACAAGTCATCAGCATATGTTATCTGAAGTCATCACAAGTCAATCACATCAGGTCACATCAAAAGTCCATTTACCAGTCAGTGTTTCAAGTTAGCCTACATAAAAACATATTGCAATGAAAGTATTCCTTTGTCATTTTCGATCATCCCTGTTCAATTTTGACCTACTGTGATTGACTTGATGTCAGTAGAAGTGGGCAGTATGGGCTGCAGCAAATATCTTAATGGGTGTATATCAGTCATCCTCAAGGTTCTAAGGTCCTTTTACTAGGGGTTAGGATCAGATGAACCTTTGAAATGTTTTTATCTTTCTTTATGTCCTGTCTATTTTTCAGTGCACACATATCTAGCATGTTTGAGAATGACCGCTTCTTTTCACACTTGTCAGACCTGGAACGTGAGATGACATTCAGAACTGAAATGGTATGATGATCTAAGTTATTTCGCCTTTTCTTGGCAAATAATTGCACACCTGTGAAGAAGTATACAAGCCTGCTAGACCGATTCTCTGACCTTACAATTCCCCAAAGTCTAAAATTGCTCCGTTTCATCTTAAGTGGGGTCAGGGGAACCAGACTACAAGAACATGCTTGGTTTTCTTGGTTTTCCAGCATCTACAAGCCCAAAATGTGAAACAAGTCAGTTTAACAACATACTAATCCTTCAAATCCATTTATGTTGGAAAATTGCAGCAAAGGCAACAATGTTGTACATTCCCTTTAATGTCAGATGTAGGCCTATGTCACAGGAAGAGCAAAAAGTAGGACCCCTTATTTTTAGATTGACCAAGTTCCTAAAATGTTAACAACATCCTGCGTTTGCCGGACTGATTTCCCCCTGCAGGGTTTGTATTACTCTTACTACAAGTCCATGGTGAATGCGCCTTCCTTCCTGTCTGGACTGCAAGAAGTCATGAACGATAACATCACCGAGTACCCTAGCACCATCAATGTGCTGAAGAGGTTCAACTTGTACCCTGAGGTAAAGCCAGGAGACTGGTAATTACTGCGCTGTAAAGATATCCTAACTCTTTGGAGTGTGTCCTGCAGGAAATCTGTTAAAGATGCACTCCCTGTGCTGGAGTTTTTGTTCTCTCTTCAGACTTTCAATTTGTATACATGTTTTGGTTTAAAGAAAAACTTAATTAATTTTCACTGGCAAAACTACTGTCCAGGTTATATTTTTACCGGTATTTATAGAGAAAAACTTGTCAAATTGTATTTCCCTTTTGGCAAAGTTAGCCACAGAAACTTTATGTTTTTAGCAAAGTAAGCCACAGAAACTTATCTGTTACGGAAAGTTAGCCACTGAAATTATTCAATTTATTCAATTTACTAATCTGGCACCCACTAAAATCCCATTGTATTGTATTGTGTTTGTAATGTATTTGTAGTCATTTTTAATTGAATGCAGGGCCCCCAATGGAAACCAGTTTTTAAACTGTTTGGGCATACCCTGGGTAAAGAAATGTAATAAATAAATTATGATGCATTTAGGTTGCCCTTGCAGCAGGCTACAGGCTGTACGATGGAATCACAAAGAAACTTGGCATCGTGACCAGACAGTGCTACACCGTCAACAGGGGCAGGGGCCTCAGCTCAGTCCTCAACTGCGAAGGTAAGGACACAAGTTTTTACAATACACGAACTGACTGTTAGCAGATCGAGGCATATACTTTTTTTTTTTTAGGGCCAACCATAGAAACCTTATAATGACTCTTGTGAAGATTCCAATATTAGAGCTGAAATACATGTACATGTCGATATATTTACAAAGTGTCGAAGGAACATTTTGGATAAGTGATAGTATACTTAACAAATAATTTCCTTCTGTTTAAAATTTTCAGGCATGGGTGACATTGCAGTCTTCTATGTGAATGCCATCTTTGTTGAGAATGGTCTATTGATGAGCACCATGTTCCTGCTAGCCTCCTATCTGTCAGGCAGCCTACTGGGAGGCATTCTGACAGTCGCTGCTTTCTTCTATAATCACGGCGAGGTAAGAGTTTAAGTTTGTCTTTTTCCAGTGAAAAGCCAGTTCAAGGTTTCAACTGCGCATGTGCACAACGATATAGATCAAGGGTCATTTGGGATAATCGAACCATCGAAGGCACATGAACCCACGGGCGCACGACGCTTGCGTGTCAATTACAAGCAGAACGGGTGTGCGCATAACATTGCGTAACATCCCGTCGATGATGTTATCCCGAATGACCTTGGGTCATTCAAAAACCGAACTGGCTTTTTAATACGGCACGGCCCCTAGCACGGCGCACTTTGATTTTTCGCAGCTAGTGCCCAGCTACAGTAACATTTTACCTCAAATTCTGTTTATACAATGGACACCTTAGTTCAGAGATAAATGTTACTGTAGTACAATTGTCATATTTTTTTTAAGTGTGCAGGGAACGCTGTCAAATGCACTACTGATGTTTGTGAAATTGGTATTAGAACGAAGACATTCTAAAGCTTCAAGTTATGATGAGATAAAACTGATCACCAATGATATCAGAAATTTAAATAGGGTGGGTACGGATTCTCCCCCCCCCCCCCTTGAAATATTATAATCCACCCTGTTTAATTGTTGTTTGTTTGCAGTGTACAAGAGTTCAATGGACGCCCCCATTGCGAGAGAGTGTTGCCTATCCAGTATTTGTACTTCAGATGTTTCTTGTTACTCACACACTGAGGTACGAAAACTTGCCATTAAGCCAGGTGCCATGTATGTAGCTCACTCATTTTCAAGGAGCATTTTCCATTTTTCTATTCTTCCTTTTCTTTCTTATTCACCGTTTCGTTTGTTCTTGTCTCATCACAGACTGAGGCAACCAGGCTGGATGCACAGCCTACTCATCGCTGCTGCTACCGCAAGCTTCATGTTACCATGGCAATTTGCTCAGTTTGCTCTCATGACGCAGGTACTTTGCACACACTGGTACCCTGTCACATGACCCTACATTCATACAAAAAGTGTCCAAGATTGAGTTGAAGATTTATTATTCTTCCTATCTATTAAGATCTTATATAGCTTTTTGTGTAGTCTGTGCGTGAACAGTATACATGTATGACGTTTTTGAACCGATTTTGAGAGCCCCATGGTTGTTACCTCTATTACTTTACATGGTATTTGATCAGTTTAGTGCAAACTTTTTGCCAATTAAAAAGGCATATACCGGGTCGTTTGGGGTGAGGCTATCAGAGAAAGAAAATGGGGATTTTAGCTATTGAATTTAAAGAGCTTGTCTTTGAAGCACATTACTTAACATAATTTGCTTTTCAGAATGTCTCATATTTTGTGTTAATTTAGACTCTTGCTGTATGTGCCTCCTACATTTTGGGTTTCACGAGCCGCAGCAAACTCAGATGTGTGCTTCAAGGACAAAGTGTAAGTCCAAAGTTCGTTTTTGAAGTTGACGTGAGCTTTACATTGAAACGTTGTGTCAATAATACATTTTTTTTTAAATGAGAAGAAGGTGTTAATTTGTTTTAAATTTCCTTTGTTAGCTGGGACTAGTAGCAAGCTATGTTCTCCTCTTTGGCAATGAGATGCTGCTGACATCGTTTTTTGCCTCCTGTCTGATCGCTGTATGGGTGAGTAATGTCTTGTACCCATGACATTAGGAAGTATCGAGACCTCGTTATTTCTTTCAACCAGTTAATTTTTTAAAGACAAAGGACATGTTAGTCTATCAATGATCCTATAGGGTGCCATAAATACATCATAATTCATGTTACTTTTTAAAGTTAGGGTTCTGTTAAGTAAACTTTTCCTTGAATCGGAGTACCAAACAGGACACAGCTTTCCATTCTGCAAAATATTTGTTTGATATTGTTTATCATAAGATGCTATCCTTGTCTGTTAGTTATGTGCAGTACCTGCTAAGGTAAGTTTTCTTTGATTTAGGGTTTCAAACGAAACTTACTCTTCTTCTTTTCCATTCCTGTTTCCTTATGTCTTCATCTATAGGTAATGCTGTTGGTAGCCCCATTGTGGAAACACAAGTCTCCCCATGCCGTTGTCACTATAGTAAGTACATGTAAACAATTTAATTTTTGCAGTCTTAATAACAAAAAAAACAATAGGCACATTTGCAAGTACCGGTTACTAAACTTGTACATCAACAGACTATCACGTTTGTATGGAGCATAAGGTGAAAGAAGAATTGCACTTTAAAATTTCACTTTTAATTTTTTGGTGATTTGGTAGAATTTTTGGAACAGCTGCACAATGCTGAAGCATAATTCACAAAATCATATTTAATCGCCTGTTCCATCAGGCCCTTGTGGGCTCAAATGCGTATTCCAGATACATGTCCTTGGGCATACAATGCCTAGTAATGTCAAGTTTAATCATTTTATGCAATTTGACATTTCAGGGTGTGGAAGGGACAGGACTTCTAGTTTTAATACTCGGCTGTAAGCTTCTGTTGTCTCGCTTACTCAGCATTCAAGATGATGTAAGTCAATTAACAACTGTACAGGATGTTTTAGTAAATTTAATCATGTAATAAGACTCATATTAATAATGTATGTTTGTACATGACAAGCGGCCGCTTTTTGTTTTCAATTTTCAAATTTATTGAAATTTGTAACCTTTGATATGTCTTCTATACATACTTTAAAGAAAATAGCTTAAAAGTTGTGGAATAAAATAGTTTTTAATAAAAACAAGTGGCATCGTTCCTTTTCACGACTTCAAAAATTTGAAACTTTAAAGGCCTTTATCTCAGTATTTTACTTTTTTTGACATTTCGATAAATGCAAACTTTGAACAACCATAACTTGTCAACGGAATGTCCGATTGGAGTGCAACAAACAGTATTGTAAGGAGAATTTTATTCTCTTTCCTAAAACCTGCAAAACCCTCATTTCGACCTCTGCCCAGTTCTGTCTCATTTTGTCACATTTTGTCAGAACACCTTACATCTCTCAGTTTTATCTGCTATATTACATGCAAGATACATGTGTGATGTCAAGTATTCCTTCCCTATCGTGTCAATTTCAGGCGCACATTGGGAATCTCTTCCGCTCCAAGTTCTCCGACTACAAAGATTTCCACACCATGTTATACACCTGTGCAGCTGAGTTTGACTTCATGGAGAGCCAGGTATCTTAGAGTTCTTATAAGCCCCTCTCAAATGACATCACTGCCTACTGATTGTCACATGCATCAGCATCTTGGTGTCAAATTTCCGTGACGCAAATCGGCTGTGTCGTATTTCGAAGAAATTTGGAGCAACATGTGCGCGTGTTTAGAACAGTTCGCACTGCGCGCACACGCACCTGATGGCATTGAATTGGCAGTTGTTATTTGTGAAGGCAAGATGGCTATCTGTGAGAGGGGTCTATAATTAAGTCTCACAAGTCATAACAAGTCAATTACAAATCTGTCACAGGTCACAACACAAGTCTAATCTAACGTTTAGGTGTAACATCAGTTATTGAAAAGAATTGTGATTTTGGTTTGTCATTTTTCATTCCCTGGTGTTCGTGACTTGTGATTTGACTTGTAATTTACTAATAACAGGCCTGTACAATCTTTAATCCAAGTAAGCTAACATTGACTGTGTATAATTTGTAAAAAAAATATTGTGTAAAATACAAATGCATCAAAAACAAAAGATCCTTTATGCTTCGAACATGCCAGTTTTTTTTTTCTTTCTTATCTCTACACCAGACTCCTGTGAGATATCTCAAGACACTTCTGCTGCCTACCGCCATTTTTGCCTTTGTAGGAACTGTGGCATACGTAAGTCAGAACAACAATTCTGTACTTCTCCTTACCCTCAATTATAAAATGGAAAAAAATCCTCAAGAAAATCTCTTTATCAAGTTTGCTTTTGCGATGATTCTCGTTCATAGTTAAATGTTTTTGGTGCTACCAAAAAAAAACATACAACACAGCATCGAGCTGGATACTCACCAGGATGACGTCACATGGGCCTGTATCATTTTTACTTCCCAGACACGCAGCGGAATCGGCCAATGACGCGCTCCAATTTGTTCATGAATATTTATGATGTATAGTAAGATGGGATACTGAGTTTCTGGTAATGTAAGCCAGGCAGAAGAACTCTATTATTGGTGCACACTGGAGATACACTTGAAGAAACCAGTGTTTGATTTGTGTTTTTTTATTTATGTCATTGAATTTTAGCTTGTTAGGCTTGAGATCACCAGACAGAATGAGCAGTCTCGCTCGGCTGCAGGCAATGGGAAAGTAGGCAGCACAGAAGAAGAGAACACATCCGCTAGGTATTGATTTGAGCTTATGGTGTGTCAACAATAATGGAGCAAATTTTGATTTTTTTTTTTTTTTTTTTTTTTGCTTCAGGCAACACAAAATGTGTCTGACCCAGTATCTTAATGCTTATCAATGTACTGTTTGTGGTTTGAGGGGGGAAAAGTGCAAGTTTCAGAATGTAAGAGTGATACCCAATATGTATTTTCAAAAGAGGAATGCAAACTAGCTGCATCTGTATGTAATTCTCAGTTGATTCTTTTCCACCGGCATTTACGAGAAAGTTCTATCAGAGCTTTCAGTAATCCTTCGGTTGCCTATTTCAGTGTGACGTTACTAATCAAATAAGAATTATAACTAATTTTCAGCAAAGGAATCTTCATGCTATTATTATGTGTGTCTACTATTACTATTTATTCCTAATATATACTATTGATTAATTCATTGAATTTTTTTGGCATTTTTTTAGTGAAATTGAAGACAAGCCCAATGCCGAGGTGAGAATATGTTGTGTTAGACTTTTCAATTAACACTTTTGCCGTGGGTAACACTTAGGGTCAGTCTCCTAGTATTTACAAGACGGGTGGCATGGGTGGCTTGTGCGTAAAGCGCTCGCCTCTCACCAAGGTGACCACGGTTCGAATCCTGGACACGGATCACATGTGAGTAGAGTTGTGCGTTGGTTCTCTCCTTTGCCACGAGGGTTTTCCTCCCTCCGAAAAAATCAAACACTTTCGATCTCAGGCTGTGCTTCGTGGTCATATAGGTCGATGTGGCCGGCAGCCATAGGCGCCTTTACGTACCAGCGGCCCGACCACGTTGTAGCCGCGTCCTTTGCAATTCAGCATACCAGCTGCGAGTAAGGATGATTAGCCTCCCAAATTATTATAATACTGACTACTTGCAAGGGTTGTTCATGTTTTGGAGTCCTTCCTACATTGTATCTGCGGAAATAGACGGGAACTTTGACCCATCCCACTCATTTGTGTACGTTTGTCTTAGTCTCAACTTACACATAAATACGGCAGCACTTCACATACCTTTCCTTATTCTGCAGGAGAAGTTTCCCATAATATCTACCACTCTTTTTTGTGTAACACACTTTCATTCTGTTATTTCTAACTTAGATTATAAGATCAAAATTGTCTTCCTTTTGGTGCAATATCCCATGCAGCTTGTGTACCACTTGTTCCAGTTGATGGCTTTCACTGTCATGGCCGTCATCATCATGAGACTCAAGCTGTTCCTTACTCCGCACCTGTGCCTCATCTCCAGCCTCCTAGCATCAAGACAGGTTAGAGTCTTCCAACGCACTTTGTGCATGAAGAGTAAATATAGCGCCTTGAGCACCAATCCGCTCCGTTCACAAGAACCCCCTCACCGGCAAAGAAAGTACAGTTCGGGGTGACCTAGCGACGCCATCTTGCCTGACTGTAATTTTGCTGTGACGCACTGCCGCACCACTGCGTGTACATAGTATAAATCCCCTGGTGTACATGCGTCACACACAAGGAAGGGTGCACGTCAACCAGCTAAATGTCCCGCCCATGGGATGTCGTTGTTAGGTAAAAGAGCGCCCTCTTTGGTTGGTGCACGGAATCATGCTGGAGGAAACTTGTGCTTTAAGAGAAAGCAGCATATTACATTGAGATTAGAGAGGATGCAGTCCAGGTTGGCAAAAGGAAGTTAACATAATTTTTGTGCCGTTCATTATTTTCCCTGACCAGGTGTTTGGTTGGCTTGATGACAGGACAAGACACGCTATTGTCTTGGCCTTGCTCTTATCACTGATGTCCGTAGCCGGGGTGAGCAATTTGCAGCATCAGTGGAGCATCCGGGGCGACTTCAGCAACTCGCCCCAAGAAGAGATGCTTGAATGGGTCAACGCAAACACACAGCCAAGTAAGATACAAACCCGAGCCCATTACGATACAGAACGCAGCCACTGTCGACTGGGTAAAAACAATTAGAATGGCCTGTTTACACTATGCGCATACGTACCTCCACGTAAAGCTGGGCTTAAAAAACAAACCATGATAAATCTGCATTCTCAACAATCGAAACGTGGGTGACAGTGACACTGTGAAACTTGGTTAATCATTGTCCTACATCAACATCTACATCTGGATCCTCTAGCGAAATGGTTGATCAGCATCCTACTAGAGTTGATGTGTCACGGAGCTAGAAAATCTAAATTTGGTAATCCTCTTTGTGGTCGGCAACGGCGGTCTTGAATTGGTCTAGTTTTTGAAATGTTGATGGTCGATTCAGGTAGAGCATTCCTGCTGTTCCTGTAAACCTTTCATTAGTTTAATTGCTTATTTAAAGGGAATAAATTTGTACTTAGCTGGTTTTTAAAAAGTATGTTTAATCGGTTGTGGTTTTGTCGTGTGTCCTAACATCACACACAGCAACATAGTGTAATGTGTGTCCTCAGGGTTAAACAAATGAAGAGCGGCAATTTTAGCAAAGCTGTTAAATATGTTACGCACTCAATGTTCGGTAAATATTGTATTTTAGATGCGGTGTTTGCCGGTCCCATGCCCACCATGGCGTCCATCAAGTTGTCCACGCTCAGACCGATTGTGAATCATCCGCACTATGAAGATGCTGGCTTACGGTAAGATACCTGACGTCGGGCTAAATTTTGTTGTGGTAAACTTTGAAAAAAAAATCAAAAAGAGTTAACCAATTCCAAATAGCACCCTCGTATTGTGGCCACCGTGCCTCAGAAAGACTGACCCATCCATTAATTTTTTTTAATGAACCTTAATTTTTCTCCTGTCAGAGCTCGAACCAAGATTGTCTATGGCATGTACAGCAGGAAGCCAGCGCAGGAAGTGTACGACGGCATCAAAAGCCTGAAAGCAAACTTTGTCATACTGGAGCACTCCTGGTGTGTGCGTAGATCAGGGTGAGTCAGAACAGAGAAGTTTGATCATTACAGCTAGGGATGTTTCAAAATTGTTTAGTGTGAAATGGTTTCCATCCTAATCCATCTGAACAACACCCGTGATGTCCACCCCACCGCCTACTTCCCTCCCCCAGAGAAAAAAAAAACGATTTCAACAGCGCCCTGAGAGCTGATCATTTGTCCACCATCCCCTACCCTCAGATTTGTTATCGCTCTCTGTACAGTCATCCCATCACATCAGGTCTGACAAACAACTCGTACTGCTTTCAACTTCCAAATTCTCTTGGATCGTAATTCAGAATGGATTATTTTGGTGCAAGTAACACTCCATCATCTTTTTGACCAGAGACCCTCAACGCAGCTTATCACTTAAAATCACACGGTGGAACCACGTGGAGAATTTTATCACCACATGTGTTTATAGGTCATTAAAATCAAAGCATTGGTACTGTTGTGAATTGACACCATTCCCCCTCTTCCAACTACAGACCAGGGTGCAGCCTGCCTGAAATCTGGGACCTTGAAGACCGAGAGAATGTAGGCAAGGAACCAGTCTGCCTGAAGCTCCGTCGAAACCCCGCCCCCTACTTCAGGGAGGTTTTCAACAATGATGTCTACACCATTCTCAAGCTCTGATCCTCGTTGTTGTTTTTTAAGAAAGACTTGTAAATACTTGTTTTCTTGCCGTTTGTTGAAAAGTTACAGTATGTATATCTTCGACATTAAGACATATTCATGATGTTTGTATTTTGAGTTTTACCGTGACAGAAGGGCAGGGTTTTGACTTGTACAAATTTGTATTGTAAAAAATTTAGCCTTGGCAGGTCATCCACTCCAATTCTTATTTGAGTTTTCAGGACTCAATTTTGAGTCTTGAGTTTTGAATTGGAGTATGAGACCAAGTTCATGTTGAGTCTTGAACCTGGAGTTATTATAGCAAAAGCCACAGATTTAGATTCGGAATGTACACGAGTTAATTTCCCAACGAACAAGCTCGATCGAAAATATCTCGATAGCTGTATGCGGGCCAACGAAGTCATGTTCATGCATGACTCACGTGATTGTGCCATGTAATTTCTGGAAGGCGTAGTGTTTTGAGTAAATAAAATCAGGTTTTTGAACCCAGTTTGGTCATGTGACATGTTGGGGCTGGGCTACTGATAATTTTGACAAAGTTTGGTTGAAATCGATCAAAATATGTAGGAGCAATAGACAATGTCAACGTTTGATACTAATGAACGGAGAGACATGATGATTTGTTGAGCAGCTAGAAATAATATGAATACTTTTGCTGGTCCAAAGGGGCAGCCTAGCGCCCTCTACATACCTCACTGACTGATTGTCACTTGTCAGCTGGGCAGTGCTATTGTATAGGATTACCGTCTGACACCAAGGGTGTACTCGAAAACCCACTCTCAAGTGTTCCCTGTGCATGTTTAAACACATTCCTTACTTTAAAACAAGAGGTATATATATATATATATTGTTTTGCTTTGGCTAAATGTTTGCTTGTTAACAGTACATTTATTTAAAATGACATTTATCTTTGTTTTAAGGCCAGTAAATATTACTGCTTTTATGTATGGTTTTTAACCGTAAGGTTTTATCAAAACCGATGGAAAATTTGCAGGGTATGGTGTATGTGTGTTACAGTGGGAAGCCATATAAATATGGTGTTCGATTGCAAAGTGCCATTCTAATTGCTTTTATTATTTCTTTTTTTTAATTTTAGTAGTAGATTTGTTTGTTCTGTACTTATTTTTTTCTGAAATGAAAATCCTAAACATCAGAGGAATTCGTAGAAATGCTACATACAGTCTATGTATACACGTGCATAATTTGAAATATTCTTTGCAGTAATCCATAGTATCCAAAAAGTGCCTTGTTTTGTTTTTTGTTTTTTTTTCCTTATTTCTTTTGCATTTTTTTAAAATCAATTTTATTTATATATGTAAATGTATTTATTTTTATTATTTTTTATTTGGGGAAGCTATTTGCAATATTGCTGTACAGTCAGAAAGCTCTATTCATTTTTTCTGTTGAATTGGTGGAAAATATACATATAAAATTTTGTTTCCAATTGGACCGTCATTTTGTAATACCTTTTTTGCCCGTTTTATAAATTGATGAATTTATTGCCTAATAAATATCGTTTGTTTATGATCTGATGTATGTTGTGGACGTAATGATTGTTCTTATAACAAAAATCCAAAACGTTTAAACGTAACCAACATTTTCATAGAATGGGACCACTTGGATTTCTTTGCCAACTGTTGTCCCATGCAGCACATAATATACGCATGGATCGTTGAGTCGCTGGTATTTAACGGTCGAGTTGTGACTGTTGTCCCACAACAAAAGACTCGAAAGCGATTTCACTCTGAAAGAATTCTGACCTTATTTTTACCGCATCGGCTGGGAATTTACCGGAAAAAAACCTTTGGGTTTATTTTGTACCCGACGGTTATTTCAATACACGCACTAATAACACGTACCCGGGGTATTGTGTGCGCATGGATCGTCGAGTCCTTACAATGGGTATGAGGCAATGGTATAGTCATGGGCGTCGCCAGGATTTTTTCTAGAGGGGGGGGGCAAAAAATGCTTGTATTTCTCAACACATTCTCAATTTATCAGTTTTAGAGGGGGGCAGGGACATTTTGTTCCCCCCCCCCCCCCAAGGGAGCACTCACGCGCGAACAGCTCTCCCAGCTGCTGCTCGTCTACATCGGCATGGGCGCGGACATCCTGGAGTTCTTTGGGCATGCAACTTGCCGCTCATCACACTCATCATGCTATTCTGGAGCTGGAGCCTGAGCCAGTTCACGCTGGTGCGGACCTCGGTGTCTGCTCCTACAACCAAGGTTACCACACGGCGCAAGTCCGTGATGTCCGGCGGGCTTGGAGGCTGCTGCGGAAGCGAGATCTGGGCCCTGTGCATTACCATCGTCATGCAGGATGGCCCGTTCCTGGTTATGCGGCTTTACCTCATCATCTTCCGCAACGCTTCCAGTCAGCTCTTACTTTTCTTCACCATCAAGAACATCTTGGTTATTCTGCTGCAGCTGTACCGGATGGCCATCCTGCGGTGCACTTGTCTCGGAGTGATGAGCGGCGACCACGACATTGAAGGCCAGCAGGCAGGGGAAACGAGAGGCAGGGGAAACGAGAGGCAAGTCCAACGAAGGGTTTCTACGAAAGCCCATTAGCGCCACTGCAAGTATATATGTTACAGATTGTGTAATTCGTTATTACGGATTATTAATTCGTTATTACGGATTATTAATTCGTTATAACGGATTATTTAATTCGTTATTACGGATTATTAATTCGTTATAACGGATTATTAATTCGTTATTACGGATTATTTAATTCGTTATTACGGATTACTAATTCGTAATAACGGATTATTTAATTCGTTATTACGGATTATTAATTCGTTATTACGGATTATTAATTCGTTATTACGGATTATTAATTTGTTATTACGGATTATTTAATTCGTTATTACGGATTATTAATTCGTTATAACGGATTATTTAATTCGTTATTACGGATTATTAATTCGTTATTACGGATTATTAATTCGTTATTACGGATTATTTAATTCGTTATTACGGATTATTAATTCGTTATTACGAATTAGGTCTGATGTTCTCACACGTGGAGAGTACGTGACCAGGGGCCTGTGTATATAGCGCCGCTAGGCGGCGCTATCTTTGTATACAACGTTTGCACTCCTGTGCCATACTTGCCGAGTAATGACTCAGAACGTATGAGTAATTCGTAATAACGAATTAATAATCCGTAATAACGAATTAAATAATCCGTAATAACGAATTAATAATCCGTAATAACGAATTAAATAATCCGTTATAACGAATTAGTAATCCGTAATAACGAATTAAATAATCCGTAATAACGAATTAGTAATCCGTAATAACGAATTAGTAATCCGTAATAACGAATTAATAATCCGTAATAACGAATTAAATAATCCGTAATAACGAATTAAATAATCCGTAATAACGAATTAGTAATCCGTAATAACGAATTAAATAATCCGTAATTACGAATTAATAATCCGTAAAAACGAATTAGTAATCCGTAATAACGAATTAATAATCCGTAATAACCCTCCTAGGAAAAAAAATTACGCAGCCCGCTATACTCGTACTAGGCCGATTGAAATGGGATAGAGCTTTGAGGTAAATTATTTCAAAGAGACCTCGCCCGTACCTGCAAACAGGCAGCTGAGAGTGGTTGCGGAGCTTCACAGAATCCTGTGAAGGAAGCACGCATGGTATTCTGGGTATAACTTATCATCATGTCCTTCGCATGCATCGCATGCAGCTAGCGCACTATGTTTGATAAACAGCTGCAGCAACTTTGTGCGCTGTGAGAAAAATCTATCCAATCACAGCTTAAAGAGATCAGCCCTTCCCAGCGGCCTGTTTGCGGGTTGGGGGTGCGTGCGAGCAGAGACGTGCGTAAATGGTCGTGACAACTATCACTAAAAGCAAACTTAGTTAAGGAGTTTTTCAAACCTCGGTCGTGTTTTAATCGGCTTCGCTTGATTAAGGTTACTGGCTTTAGTGTTTCGGACTGAACAGTGTGTATGTTATCGTTTTGGTTTGCGGTAACACCATGTGGTAATAACTAGACCTACTGCTTAAAAGATATTTAGTTCTGAAAATAACTTGTCTTGCTTATTATATTATCAACTTTCGCTAAGTAGTTTTAGATCTGATACGAAAAGTCCTGCTTTAAGTTCTCAAAGAACTAGTCTTTGATCTCCTTAACATTAAGCAGGACTGTTCTTATCAGAACTAAAACCACATAGCGAAAGTTGATAATAAGCAGAACTATATCTTCTAAGCAGTAGTTATTACCGCATGGTGTTACCGCAAACCGAAACGATACCGATTATCCACCATGCAAAGCCTAAAATGTTATACTGTGTATGTAAGAATTTCGACAGCACTACTACCAAAAAAAAATACGAGCGTACATCATATCACGCGAGCTGTATTCTAGTTAATGCACGCGCTTGACGTATGCCCGGAATTTTCTGGGTAGGGCTACCGAAATTCCCAAAGACTGGATTTGTTTCATCTTATTGATAACGATCTCCACCGCAGTGGCTTAAACCACGCTTGTCAGTGACCGGCTGTAGGAAATAAAATCCAAACCATGTCTTGAATTGACCTATCGCCGTTTGCGAGTTAGCCACGCCCCTTAGACAACCTTATGGATTTTTCGTTCACTTATTTAATTTTAAGTTTTGTTTGTCGCAGATTTTGCGCGTTCCGTGTTTATTTGTAAATCGTGTAATTGGACAATATTTCACAAGCTGCGTTGACGCGATTCTAACGCGATTCTACCGCGATAGGTCAATTACCTGTATCACTAACATTCGAGCATGCGTGTAACGGTAACGTAAATCCTGAAACTGAAACTGAATTTAATTAAAAAAATAAAAGAAAAAAACAACAGATGCCGACACATTAATCTCGCCATCAACAGAATAAAGCTTGACTGAGATTGATCAAAGACATGCTAATTTGCATATCATTAATAAATAAAGAAAACCCATCTTATCAACCGTCAGATTAGTGTCCAGCCTCGTCGAATACATGGTGACTTGTACTCTATCGTGGGCCAGGGCCAGGGAGGTTAGGATCGTCTGAGCAACGACCCTCCACGTACGAAGTTAGAGGGGACAGATCCCCACGCCACATCGCGGTACACATCACGCAGAGGTTTGGGTAGGTATCTCCGGTGGTGGCACACACAGGCGCGAGTAAGTAGGAGCAGCCCGGAGGGTTAAACTTCGAACAGAAGGGAGGGAGCTTAGATGGAGAAGAAAGAAAAAAAATATGTGTGTAAATAAAACAAAAAATCTCGGATCAAAGTAAAGCCAAGTCCTAAAGGATCTGTTACAACTGATAATGTAATAACCAACGTATAACGTATTACCAACTGATAATTGTAATGTAACACAAAATTGACTGATAGTGTCTACCGTATAGTAACATTTACTATACCATCAGTCAATTTTGTTACATTATCGGTTAGTGATACAAATCGGTCAATCGCCGTTACATTATCGGTTGGTTCAAGCATTATAATGATTCAAGCATAGCACTTGGTACACATTCAGAATATGTGCAATAGGGTCTTCGCATATTTACCCTTTTAAAAAAATATAGGTAGAATACAAACAATGCTCAAACTTTTAACAATGGATGCCATTGCTTGTTATCCTAGCCATTATTTCTTTTCGAAGGACAAAGTTGCGATGGCCTAAAGCCGAATACCATTCTCGTGGCATATACTCTAGCTGACTGTGTGACAATGGCTATGCTTGTATCATCAAAGGCACAATCCCATCACCTATCTGCCGTACTGAACCGGCACCATACATTCAGCCTACCTGCCGGGTATTTAACACGACAAAATTTTATATCAAATTTATCAACAGATCGATTAACATTTTGCCACTGAAATCAACCTGATGGCATGATTATTTTTCTGTTTATTTACCGTGATAGGCCTAGGTCCCGGTGGGCTCTCTGCATCACAGACACCGCTCAGCAACAACGCTGTAAGAATAATAACGACATGACAGATCGCTATACTGTTTTCGTAATCAAACACAAAAAGAACATAAACATTTTATTTAATTTGCAGAATCCTAACCAGTTAGACCCTACGCAGATTACAACGTAGCAAAACAACTGTTTCAAAAAAGTATAGACGCCGAGTTGTCGTTTTACCGTTCAAAATCGTAAGAGGTTTACTTTGCTTCGTACGCTGTTGACTTTTCCCCAGCTTTCTCCACGTGTGCAAATCTTGTGCGAAGTTGAACTGATATGTTTTGCTACACCCTATATATTTTAAAAATTAGAAGACATATGCCTACCTGTAATGCAGACAATCGGAATGAAGTAACGCATGTTGAATCGCCAATTAATCAGGCAGCTGTCGTCTACAGTTTGTAAAATGTATGAAAACTACCGTCGCTGTGCTACCAACAGCCAAAGTTACCTCCTTTTTATAGTAATCAGACGTGTGAACATACTTTGAAGGGAGACTATGAATAGTAAACCATAGTCATATCTAACTTGTACTGGCCTGTACCTGTAGGTCAATACCAAACATCACTTTTGACTAATGTGCATAACAGATACAGTTCTCAAGGAATCATTTGCCGCCATATGTCTTGTCTGATCTGACATAAATCGTAAGACGACCGCTTTGCCAATATCACATTCGGTATACTGAATATGGGAAAACTCTTGAAATCGATTAATTTCACTCTTCTCACAAATTAAAAGACAGGTGGTTGGCTCTCCCGGGTAAGATTACTTCATTATCAGTTCTTGTCTACTGACGACCGTGTCATTGAAAGTTGAGTTGACATGTTTTCACTGACAGATCCTTGGAATTGAATGATCACCAGACTTGATGAAAGTCCTTGATGAAAATCGCTCATTGTTGTACTAAAGAATGTTGTTTTTAATATCAAGTAAAGTCTCACAAAGAGTTAGTAAAAAACAAAAGTAAAGCTGACACAAAATAAACTGTTTGAAATGAAACGTGCCTACTGATAAGATGTAATCCCATCTGAAAGTTCCCCCTTAAAGCTATGGAATGTTGACCTAAATTGCTGGTGCTGATTCATACGCCAGTTATCAGAGAATATAAGTCTTTCAGACTAGCGCTCCAAAATCCCAACAGACCAAAAAGTATTACGGACGACTCAGAGCGCCCCAACTACACCAAAAAGTTATATACATTCAAATTGAGGACGTTGCGCCATAGTCCACGATTGACCGAAGGTCTGCGATGTGTGGTCGTAATGTAAACATTGTTGTGGGAGCTTTTCCTACACCAAAAATAGTGGGTCCACGATGTATGGTGTAAACACAAATATACGAGTGTGCGTGTTTATGGTTAAATCGAGGACACACGTGTGAAGCATCATTGATGAATTGAAGACAGGAGTCAAATCGAGGACGACCTCGATTAGAAACAAACGTGTGTGTGTGAACGTGAATTACACATACTCCGAGGACAGACACACAAAGGGAGATGTGATATAACTCTATGAACGTATGAACGGTTTAGTATAGCAATGAACACTTCTTATCAAACAGAAAGAGAGTTGGGAGTGTGACAAACTCCACGCCTTGTCCCATCCACAGAGTTCAGTTTAGTATTTTAATGTTTAATATGTACTATAAAGTAATTATTTCTCAAAAACTGGTAACTGAAAAGAGCTTTGGTCATCAAGTCATGCATTAAACAAAAATAAATACAGTCATTGAATGACAGACAGCCTTCAACATTTCTTTTGAAAAGTAAGAAACGTGAAGAAACGTGAGAACACTGAGACAGATGTTACTTTATTTTGAATGGTATCGAGTTAACAACTAAATGTTGTCTCAGTGACATGTGCCAAAGATCGCTCATCTGCAGAGAATGAAATGCTATTACGAAGCCGTCTAATTACAATTTCCAAACACGCCACAGACGGGCTTTGTTGTGCGCTACATTTTTGGTTTCAAAGATTAATGTAATCTTGGACAATTCGCCACCGCAAAAGAGTGTTTTACTTGAATTTGCTCAATTAAAAGTGACTTGAATTCTGAACGATTTTTCCCCCGATATATCAACAGCATATTCTTTAAATCATATTAAATATATCCTTCATTGGTTCCCGTCAATTTTCCAACCAGTCATGTCATATATCACGATCAAATTGTAAACGAAATTTCAATTCAATGGAATATGATTTTCTTGAGTTATTGTCTCCACAAAAAAAAGTGTTTTAATCATTGGGACCAGTGTTTGTGTAGCGCGCCCTCTTTTGGAAGAAATCGATGGCAGCTAAAAGAACGGAGTGTCGTATATCGTATATTTAACTGTACTTTTAAAGTACAGTTAAATAAGAAATGGAAATAAATCAAATTGTCAACATTAGTTAAGATAGATCCTTATGAACTCTGTGGATGGGACAAGGAGTGGAGTACGTCACATTCCCAACTCTCTTTCTTTTTGAAAAGAAGAGTTCATTGCTATACTAAACCGTTCATACGTTCATAGAGTTATATCACATCTCCCTTTGTGTGTCTGTCCTCGGAGTATGTGTAATTCACGTTCACACACACACGTTTGTTTCTAATCGAGGTCGTCCTCGAATTGACTCCTGTCTTCAATTCATCAATGATGCTTTTACACGTGTGTCCTCGATTTAACCATAAACACGCACACTCGTATATTTGTGTTTACACCATACATCGTGGACCCACTATTTTTTTGGTGTAGGAAAAGCTCCCACAACAATGCTTTACATTACGACCACACATTGCGGACCTTCGGTCAATCGTGGACTATGACTCAACGTCCTCAATTTGAATGTATATAACTATTTGGTGAAGTTGGGGAGCTCTGAGTCGTCCGTAATACTTTTTGGTCTGTTGGGATTTTGGAGCGCTAGTCTGAAAGACTTATATTCTCTGATAACTGGCGTATGAATCAGCACCAGCAATTTAGGTCAACATTCCATAGCTTTAAGGGGGAAATTTAAGATGGGATTACATCTTATCAGTAGGCATGTTGCATTTTCAAACAGTGTATTTTGTGTCAGCTTTACTTCTTCTGTTTTTATTAACTCTTTGTGAGACTTTACTTGATAATAAAAACAACATTGTTTAGAACAACAATGAGCGATTAAGGACTTTCATCAAGTCTGGTGATCATTCAATTCCAAGGATCTGTCAGTGAAAACGTGTCAGCTCAACTTTCCATGACACGGTCGTCAGTGGACAAGAACTGATAATGAAGTAATCTTACCCGGGAGAGCCAACCACCTGTCTTTTAATTTGTGAGAAGAGTGAAAATAATCGATTTCAAGAGTTTTCCCATATTCAGTATACCGAATGTGATATTGGCAAAGCGGTCGTCTTACGATTTATGTCAGATCAGACAAGACATAGGCGGCAAATGATTCCTTGAGAACTGTATCTGTTATATGCGCATTAGTCAAAAGTGATGTTTGGTATTGACCTACAGGTACAGGCCAGTACAAGTTAGATATGACTATGGTTTACTATTCATAGTCTCCCTTCAAAGTATGTTCACACGTCTGATTACTATAAAAAGGAGGTAGCTTTGGCTGTTGGTAGCACAGCGACGGTAGTTTTCATACATTTTACAAACTGTAGACGACAGCTGCCTGATTAATTGTCGATTCAACATGCGTCACTTCATTCCGATTGTCTGCATTACAGGTAGGCATATGTCTTCTAATTTTTAAAATATATAGGGTGTAGGTAGCAAAACATATCAGTTCAACTTTGCACAAGCTTTGCACACGTGAAGAAAGCTGGGAAAAGTCAACAGCGTACGAAGCAAAGTAACCCTCTTACGATTTTGAACGGTAAAAACGAAAATTCGGCGCCTACTTTTTTCTGAAACACTTGTTTTGCTACGTTGTAATCTGCGTAGAGTCTTAGGCCTACTGGTTAGGATTCTGCAAATCAAATAAAATGTATCTGTTTTTTTGTGTGCTTTATTACGAAAACAGTATAGCGATCTGTCATGTCGTTATTATTCTTACAGCGTTGTTGCTGAGCGGTGTCTGCGATGCGGAAAGCCCACCGGGACCTATCACGGTAAATAAACAAAAAAATAATCATGCCATCAGGTTGATTTCAGTGGCAAAATGTTCATCGATCTGTCGATAAATTTGATATAAAGTTTTGTCTTGTTTAATACCCGGCAGGTAGGCTGAATGTATGGTGCCGGTTTAGTACGGCAGATAGGTGATGGGATTGTGCCTTTGATGATACAAGCATAGCCATTGTCACACAGCTAGAGTATATGCCACGAGAATGGTATTCGGCTTTAGGCCATCACAACTTTGTCCTTCGAAAAGAAATAATGGCTAGAATAATAAGCAATGGCAGCCATTGTTAAAAGTTTGAACATTGTTTGTATTCTACCTATATTTTTTTTTAAAAAGGTAAATATGCCAAGACCCTATTACACATATTCTGAATGCGTACCAAGTGCCATGCTTGAATCATCAAAAGCAAAATTCCCCCATATATTATCCCTATCTGAGTAAGTTGGTAGGTCGATTTAAACGATACTCGATATAGACCTAACAATCGTTGAATCCAAAGTATTCTGAATTTACAGGGGGAAAAAACGGTATCAGAAATCCATTTCTTTTTCATCCATTATAATTTTGTTTGGCGGAGGTTACGGGCAAACAGGGTTGCAGTCCAGTCCATCCACAGACAAGTAGGCCTGCAGTCAATTACAATCAGTCCGGTGAACAATAGCATTGGAATGTTTTTAGTCACTGTTCATTAATAGCCACTGTTACAACTGATAATGTAGTAACCAACAGATAATGTATCACCAACCTATAATGTAACAACAATGGACCGATTCAGTAAGCACCGCCCCATGGTGTAACTTCTGACCAATCACAGTCGTGTTTTATGTCCGACGTGCGTGCACTAAAGTCCGACATGCGTGCACGCGCGTATGATGCGCGCGGAAAGAAAATGCAGTGTGACATTGGAGAGAAGCACGTGTTAATTTGCCCACGTGCGCAATGGGCGGAGCTTACTGGATCGGTCCATTGTCCGATATTGTATCACCAACCGATAATGTAACAGCAATTGACCGATATTGTATCACTAATCGATAATGTAACAAAATTGACTGATGGTATAGTATATGTTACTATAAGTGGACACTATCAGTCAATTTTGTGTTACATTATAATTATCGGTTGGTAATACGTTATCCGTTGGTTATTACATTACCAGTTGTAACAGCCCCTTTTTAGGACTTGGCTTTACTTTGATCCGAGATTTTTTGTTTTATTTACACACATATTTTTTTGTCTTTCTTCTCCATCTAAGCTCCCTCCCTTCTGTTCGAAGTTTACCCCTCCGACCTGCTCCCGATTATTCGCGCCTGTGTGTGCCACCACCGGAGATACCTACTCAAACCTCTGCGTGATGTGTACCGCGATGTGGCGTGGGGATCTGTCCCCTCTAACTTCGTACGTGGAGGGTCGTTGCTCGGACGATCCTAACCTCCCTGGCCCTGGCCCACGATAGAGTACAGGTCACCATGTATTCGACGAGGCTGGACACTAATCTGACGGTTGATAAGATGGGTTTTCTTTATTTATTAATGATATGCAAATTAGCATGTCTTTGATCAATCTCAGTCAAGCTTTATTCTGTTGATGGCGAGATTTGTGTATTCGTCGACATCTTTTGTTTTTTTCTTTTATTTTTTAAATTAAATTCAGTTTCAGTTTCAGGATTTACGTTACCGTTACACGCATGCTTGAATGTTAGTAATACAGGTAATTGACCTATCGCGGTAGAATCGCGTTAGAATCGCGTCAACGCAGCTTGTGAAATATTGTCAAATTACACGATTTACAAATAAACACGGAACGCGCAAAAGTTAGTGAACGAAAAATCCCTAAGGTTGTCTAAGGGGCGTGGCTAACTCGCAAACGACGATAGGTCAATGGACCAATCCAGTAAGCCCCGCCCACTGCGCTCTTGGCAAATTACACGTGCTCCTCTCCAATGCCACAATGCATTTTCCTGCCGCGCGCATCATACGCGCGTGCACGCATGTTGGACTTTTGTGCACGCATGTCGGACATAAATCACGGCTGTGATTGGTCAGAATACCATGGGGCGGTGCTTACTGGATCGGTCCATTTCGAAGGCTAGTGATTAAACGAGAATGTTCAAGAGACATACATAGTCTGGCTGCAAGACATGGTTGTGGATTTTATTTCCTACAGCCGGTCACTGACAAGCGTGGTTTAAGCCACTGCGGTGGAGGTCGTTATCAATAAGATGAAACAAATCCAGTCTTTGGGAATTTTGGTAGCCCTACCCAGAAAATTCCGAGCACACGTCAAGCGCGTGCATTAACTAGAATACAGCTCGCGTGATATGAGGTACGCTCGGATTTCTTTTGGTAGTAGTGCTGTCGAAATTCTTACATACACAGTATAAAATTTAGGCTTTGCATGGTGGAGAATCGGTGTCGTTTCGGTTTGCGGTAACACCATGTGGTAAAAACTACTGCTTAGAAGATATTTAGTTCTACATATTATCAACTTTCGCAATGTGGTTTTAGTTCTGATAAGAACAGTCCTGCTTAAAGTTAAGGAGATCAAAGACTAGTTCTTTTAGAACTTAAAGCAGGACTTTTCGTATCAGAACTAAAACTACTTAGCGAAAGTTGATAATATAATAAGCAGGACAAGTTATTTTTAGAACTAAATATCTTTTAAGCAGTAGGCCTAGTTATTACCACATGGTGTTACCGCAAACCAAAACGATAACATACACAATATTTTTTTCCATTAACACGTTGTCGGACTGTGAACAGTCGATTTATTCTAAATGTATTAATTAACGAATAAAAAAATGAATAGCAGCGCTAATAAGCTAATATTCTGATAAACCACTTTGGTATTACGCAAATACATGTCAGGATGATTTTCAATTAAGACTAAACAGAAGAATTTACATTATGCCAACTGAAAAAAAGCCTTTCTGTGCGAATCTATCCAAACAAAAATCATTTCAATCACAAAAACAGTTCGCGACAAATGCAACTTACATTTATTTTCAGACTTTGATCTTTTCCCCTTTATTTGGAAGCCTTCTGCATTTAATGACTTCTTTCATTGCTAATTTCTTGTTTTTGTTTAGCAAATTGATTCACATTTGTTCATTTTGTCCTCCATCAATTGATTTGTTTGATTAGATTCACATAATAAATTGGTAAATTTACAAAAACTAAAGAATTTAAACAATGTCTTGGAAGACTAAAGTCTTTCTTTTCATGCAGATGCTTTGGCGAATCCATTGAAACAGCCAATTAATGCAAGCGATTAGGCTTACAATCTGACTGAGACTTGTCAGGTTTCATTTTAAGCTACGCGCCAGTAGCAAGTGACTGCCTGGGAAGACGTCAATCTAAATCTTGACTGTTCGAATGGCGGCCTCGTGCTGGAGGTAGTCAAGCCGTAATATTGTCGGTAAGATAGCACCGGACGCTTGGTGGCAGCAGACATGCTTATCGCCACCAAAAATGGCAATAAATTGAAACGATTTTTGTTTCTGTATGTTACTATGGGACACTGCGACGGAGCAGTTAAACATTTTTGTTATAAACAAGATAAAAGCTTGATCACCGGCTCAGGCTGCCATCAATGGATAGACGACCAAGGAAAACAACTGTGACGGTAAAAAAAATAGAAATATCGTCTAAAATTGCTTTTTTAGTTACAAAACAAGAAATGATCGTCAAATCTAACTGTGCCATGAGTGAACAGACGATTTCTTATTGATTTCAAAATATTTCTATTAAAACATTTGTTAATATGGGCTCGAAATTTTTTTTGTGCTCAGGCAAATTTTGTGCTTAAGCAGCTCTTTGAAATTGGTCCCGTGGTATGCCAAAACGACGCTCAAGAAGTCGTTCCGATAACGTCTGTTGTCAAGTCGTGCGTCTCAGGCTGAGCAATGTCTTCTTGTGATCGGGAGGCTACATCGCGACAGTGTGACAAGCGCCTTAAACTTGAGTAAAATTTATCGACGTTCAGGAAGAATTGCCTTCAGAGTTTATGCAGTTGCAACCTCGTCCCCAGGGTGTCGAACAGTACGCGCCCATCACTACCTGCTTTCTGACCCTGGTATTGGGTCATTTGCATGTGCAAGATTTTTGAACACGTATGCAGATGAGGAACAGTCTGGTGCCTGGATGTGCGTTATACTAGCGTTTGTTTCGGTGTCTGGGGTAAAAACAGAGTCAATTCGTCGCAGCGTGAGCACGGCGTGAGTTACGAAAACACGATTTTGTAATATCAACTGTTACGATCTTTTCGAGACAACATGCAGTATCATATGCATATCTCACATTAATATGGGCAAATTAGAAAGGAAATTAGTATTTTCGAGAAGGCGTGGACGAATGATCGCGAAAACATGTACTTCACGTTGTGAATAATAGCACAAGTACACGATAAAAATCCATTACTATCCAATTGCGGTATCGTATCAGGATACAGGAAGAAAGTTTCCTATCCAGTTTACTATTGGAAAGTTTACTATTGGAAACGAGGTTGGAAATAAAGTGAGCTTTGGGGACGAGGTTGATGCAGTTGGTATACGTTGACTAACAAACTGGACAAATATTAACCAAATTTAAGATCCATGATTACCATCCAGCCTAAGCGCATTTTTATAACTTTGGCCTCGTCTTAGTGACAGACGTATAGTGAATAAATACATGTGGGGAATCTTGGAACGTATTGAAATTAGATAGAATGCACATTTATTTCTTAATTTTTTTATTTCGATGACTTCAGACCATCGATCCAATCCATGAATTAAGCCTCATTGACTTTAGGGTGTCAATAACCTGAGTAATTGGCAGGCTCATTAAATTTTGTAAACTATGTATTTTATTGCAGTTCTTGGGAAAATTTCACTTAATTATATATGTTTATGGCTTACGATCCCATCCTTGGGCAAGCCACATGTACAGAGGTCTGTTTATTTGAACCACGTACAATAATGTACGCTAAATTGTTTTTGATGTTCCAGTATACGGCTGAACAAAGATCAACGCTCATCACTTTGCCAATAAAATTAAATTTTTAAACATTTATTTTGAATCCCCTGCTTTATTAAATAGAAGCCCAGCAATCGCGGAGCCAGGAAACCGCGCCTAATTTAATAATAATAATAATAGTGGCATCTTATTAAGCGCAAACAGGTCCATCACTCGGTGACGCTCATGGCGCTATACAAAGAGTAAGTACAAACTACACAAATTATAATTGACAAAATTATAAATGACAAAACTACAAATTAGAAATGCTAGGTCCAAGACATATGAATTGCAAGGTGCAAGCCGAAGAGGAGATTAGAGTGTGAACAGGTAGGTTTTGAGTTCTTGTTTGAAGGAGATCGAAGAGGGAGCTTGACGGATAGAGAGGGGTAGACTGCTCCAGAGAGTGGGGCCTGCGTGAGAGAAGCTGTGGTCACCTCAAGAGTGTCGGGATCGAGGAACTTGAAGAAGGGAGGAGTCTCTCAGGTTCGGCTCTGATACATTGCTTACCTATGGCCGCCACGCAGACCAGCAGAGTACAGTGATTCATCCTCGGCAGCTAGAGTTTCTTACTTTCAGCGAGTAGTTTGATGGAGGTGTCCCTGTCAGTACAGAGTGAGTAAAAAAAAGAGCCCCAAATGTCGGGACCATTGTTTTAGTGTAGTTCTGCATGTAGCACTGTTAAAATCTAGGATATGAAAGCCCAATTCATAAGCTTTTTTTTTTAGTACAGGAATTTTTTTTTTTTTAAACCCATGTACTTTTCAAGATTTTAAACACAACCGCCGTTTTGGGGTTCTGTCCACGGATCCCAAAAAAAAGGTTAGTCAGCAAAACGATAACAAATCACATAGGTATGTGTGTGAATTGTTTTCGTTTTGCTGAAAGAACGCACACCTTTTTTTGTGATCCGTGGACAGAACTTTAAATCGGTGGTTGTGTTTAAAGCTCCGTAACTTAAAAAGTACATAAGTGATGTGAATGATTCTTGTACTGAAAGAAAGCTTATGAATTGGGCTTTCATATGCTAGCTTTTTAAAGTGCTACATGCAGTACTTCACTAACACAATGGTCCCGACGGTTGGGTTTCGGGTTGGGTTTTTTTTTTTTTACTAACCCTGTATAATAACAACGAATCTTTACGATGTGGCAAGAAGTTACTAATTTGGAGTTTCTGAGGTTTTGTAAAAGAGTCCACTTTTATCTATCACTCGACGGTCGTTTAGCCATGACCTAGTTCACGTGGAGAGTTTGCAGAATACACGGCCATGATGTATTAGAATTAATCCATAGATGGGATCGAAGGATAGGAGTGAAAGTCATCAAAATTTGTAATTAAGAGAAATTCGCAAAGGACTGCAATAAAACACATCCCAAACATCTGACACTGGATTAAAAGTAGCGCTTTCACAAAGCTCATGGCAAATGTTCTGTTTAGACTGCCACTGCAGCCCATCACCAAGTTTTTCTCCGCGGTTTACACAAGACACTGTTGCTTAAGAGAATAAGAATATTTCGTTTAAATCTTCTGTCTAGTTTGTCTATTTTTAATGATAAATCATCAGGTCACAATTCAATTAAATGCGTCACTTAATTTTTGAGATATCGTGTCGACATGGACTATAGTTTCTGTGCAAAAGTGAGGCAAATGTTCTGTTTAGACTGCGACTGCAGCCCATCGCCAAGTTTTTCTCCGTGTTGACCCAAGATACCGTTGATGGAGAGAAAGAGAATACTTCTTTAAATCTTCTGTCTAGTTTGTCTACCTTAAATGATAAATCATCAGGTCACAATTCAATTAAATGCGTCACTTAATTTTTGAGATAGCGTGTCGACATGGACTATAGTTTCTGTGCAAAAGTGAGGCAAATATTCGGTTTAGACTGCGACTGCAGCCCATCGCCAAGTTTTTCTTCGTGTTGACCCAAGACACCGTTGATGGAGAGAAAAACAATATTTCGTTTAAATCTTCTGTCTAGTTTGTCTATTTTTAATGATGAATCATCAGGTCACAATTCAATTAAATGCGTCACTTAATGCAGGCTACGCACGATACGGACTTACACTTAGCGCTAGGCAATAAAAATGCAAACCATTCAAGTTTATACAGACTATGTATGTCTGGCACAAATCCAAGTTATTGTCTAGCACTAAATGCACGGTCCATGCTCTTAGTGTGTGTAGACAGAAACCAAAAACCTGATATATAAGACTAATTACCCCTGGCGATTATACGTTCTGCACTGCCATATGTTAAGCGCGTGTAGACTTAATCCATGGATTGGATCGAAGGATTTGAGTACAAGTTATCGAAATTTATAAATAAGGGACATTTACATAGTTAACACAACTTTAATATACATCCTAACGCTCTGATGATGGTTGTCCACAGGCGATGTGGTTGTCCACACAGATGTTGCTGCTCGTTCAGAGATTCCCCCACAACCTTCACACGCGTCATTTTGTCGTGTAGAAAATAGAACTAAATGTGGATCGATTTTAAACAAAAATGTTTGGTTGCTTTATTTGGAGGGAAATACATTACTTTTTTTTTCTAAGGATAAGCAATTATATATATTTTCACAGACAGAAAATCGTTCATGAAAACTTTTCGAAGTCGTCTAATGAATGTACCTTGACAGAGAGTACTGTTTTGTCACAACAGACGCTACAGATTTGCGCTAAGATCCTCCTCCGAACTTTTATTTGGATTTCACTCTTTTTGAAAAAGAAGACATGAGTTAGAAATAAATACCAACTGAAAATCTGAGCCACACCTCTAACTCAAATGTAGAGTCATTGCTGTAATGGTTATGTATTTCAGTTAAGTTAAGTTAAATTTGGTAAATAGGAAGTAACGAAAGTTAAATTAGTTAAATAGTGTTCATTTTTCATGTTTTCATCGTTTACCTAAAAGCGTAGATGTCACAATTTTAAAGCTTAAGACTTTTAAGAGAAAAGCGAAAAAGAAAAAAGAGCATTTAAAATTTGCCTCCCGACAATTTTGTTCGGATTGTCTGGGAATGCAAGCAAGACTTCGAGATGATGATAATTCACGCATATTAATTCCAGTTAAGGATAATAATGCATAATGAAGACAATAGCCGTGCCGACAAGCTAACATGGGCCGTACGCGAAGGACGCTCCGCGAGGGACTTCACCGTCTTGGACGGCCCTGCAAAAGGCGCAGAAATTCCCGTACTCGACCCCGTTGCTAGCACACACTGGGGAGAAGTCCGCCGTGCACATCTCGATCGCGCCCTTGAAATGTTGGGCACAGGCAGACCAGCCGTTCTATGAGGGAAGATTAAAAAAGAAATAAGCAGAAACATCAACTTACCAGTGTACAAGCGTTACGGTACTGTAACAATTTGTTCTCAGACTCAATTACCTCCTAGAAATAATATGAAAAGTAGTTTTGTGGTCCGTGGAATAATTTCAGATTTAAACACATCCTGCAAATTATAGCAATGACATTGTAAAGGGACGTCGTTAGTATGATTCTGCATGTACAGTTGCACTTACCTCTTGTCTTTTAGCACAATCCCCATCTTTAACAGTCACTGAAAGCATTGCTAAAAAGAAAGAGAACTCATCACTATTAGCCGAAATGAATTATAAAAGGACGTCACAGTCTTATCGTTATTTTTGGACATGATGTGATTCGAATACTTTCCATTAAGAATTAGTCAAGAATTAGTGACAACACTTCATAGGTAACACATACAGCGCGAGAGCATTGCTTTTTTCCCTCTCTTTTTTTAATTCAAAACTGTTCGCTTTCAAGTAAATCAATTTCCTTTTATGAGCAGTGTTTTTCCCCGCTGAAATGACTTACATTTGCCCTTGAGCAAAAAAGGGGTGAAAAACCTAACTCTTTTGTAAAAGTTTAAAGATTTCCATCTCAACTTATAGTTGATGTTGGAAGAGTTTCAACTAGCTGGTAAATAATTTTAAAAAAATAGGAGTTGAAAGGAATTTCAGTACACCAACCTGCTAAGCAGAGAATCCAAGCAGCAGAATACATGGTGACTTCAGTTGAGAGGCGATACTTCGAAACTCTGAAGCGAAATATGAATATATCGAATACACCCGGAGCGAGGACTATTTTGTATTTAGCGTTGACGTTCTTGAATGAAGATGGAGCTGATCGAAGCCAGCGACACATTTTATGGGTTTGGTGGCAGGAAACATGCACATCAATTTGAAGTTGTCAAACTGCCGTGAAGGACAAACTTGTCAGACAGTGGAGATTTAAGTTGCAGTATGCATTGATACTGTGATGAAAACCCGATCAATGAGAACTTGACAAGTGCCGACCACATGTCCATACGGGAAGGCGACAGGTGGTTGGTTGCTTACTGGGTTTAATTTCACAGAAATGGTGTTACTTTATGTCACGACAGTTCATTTGATATAAACGTGAACATCAATTTGAAGTTGTCAAAATGCCGTGAAGGACAAGCTTGTCAGACAGTGGAGATTTAAGTTGCAGTATGCATGGATATTTGAATGAAAACCCGATCAATGAGAACTTGACAAGTGCCGACCACATGTCCATACGGGAAGGCGACAGGTGGTTGGTTGCTTACTGGGTTTAATTTCACAGAAATGGTGTTACTTTATGTCACGACAGTTCATTTGATATAAACGTGAACATCAATTTGAAGTTGTCAAACTGCCGTGAAGGACAAGCTTGTCAGACAGTGGAGATTTAAGTTGCAGTATGCATGGATATTGGAATGAAAACCTGATGAATGAGAACTTGACGAGCGCCGACCACGTACACGCCTATCACGCGAAGGAGGTGCATGGTTGCTTACTGGGTTTAATTTCACAGAAATGGTATTACTTTATGTCACAACAGTTCATTTGATATAAACATGAACATCAGTTGGAAGTTGTCAAACTGCCATGAACATTTTGAAGGACAAGCTTGTCAGACAGTGGAGACTTTACACCACATGCATGGATGTTGTAATGAAAACCTGATGAATTAGAATTTCACAAGTGCCGACCAGATACATGCTCATCACGCGTGAAAGAAATTCAAGAACAACTCAAGAAATACACGTTACACTCATTTGTCATGATGTTTGACATCAAAAGATTTAATTTCATACAAAACGTCAAAAAAACCCAACCTATTATGACCGTAACAATACAGGGTTTTAATCGCGACAAATGCAATCCTAATGGAAGTCAACGTGGAATTTTAGCGTTTAGAACACTAGATTGTTACGATCATATTATATTTATAGCTCCACTGTTTCTCAAGCCATTCAAACTACTTATGCTACACATCGTGAAAACTAATTGCACGAAATTTCAATTTAATCCATTTTGTATTTCTTGAGTAGTTCATCGGAAACGAGTTTGTTCTTTTTGTTCAATGGTGCAGCATCCGTGTTGAAGCGTTGTTGAGACCACTATTTATGTGGCGCGCCCTCTATTGAACGAAACTTAAAATATTCTACGTCGTGCGGATGTATGTCTTGGCGGTGCGAGACCACTAGTTTTATTCAGCGCGCCCTTTCTCGTAAGAAATTTGTTAGTTGTTTGACGGTTTTTCACGAAATTTAATCTCCTGATGTTAGACATCAAGACCGATCACCCAGTATAAACGTGGTAGCGAAGCTAATCGTCATCTTGATAAAAAAATGATCCCTACACTCCTTTGCAAATATAAAACCGCTATTTAGTGGTCCCGATCTCCGCTACCAAACTCGATTTGGGGCCAACAACTCAAGAAATACTCGTTAAATTAAAATGAATTTTCGTACACTCCTTTGTCATCGTGTATGACATCAGAAGATTTAATTTCATAAAAAAACCTCAAAAATTAAAGCTATTATGACCGTAACAATACAGGGTTTTAATCGCGACAAATACAATCCTAATGGAAGTCAACGTGGATTTTCAGCGTTAAGAGCACTAGATTGTTACGATCATATTATATTTTCAGCTCCACGGTTTCTCACGCCATTCAAACTACTTATGCTACACATCGTGAAAATTAAATGGACGAAATTTCAATTTAATCCATTTTGTATTTCTTGAGTGGTTCATCGGAAACGAGTTTGTTCTTTTCGTTTAATTGTGCAGCATCCGTGTTGATGCGTTGTTGAGACCACTATTTATGTGGCGCGCCTTCTATTGAACGCACCGAAACTATTCTACGGCGTGCGGATGTAAGTCTTGACGGTGCGAGACCACTAGTTTTATTCAGCGCGCCCTTTCTCGAAAGATTTTCTTTTAGTGGTTTGACGGTTTCTCACGAAATTTGATCTCCTAATGTAAGACATCAAGACCGATCACTTGCTGAACTTACAATTTAACATAGCTTGGTCTGGTGAGCTCGGGTTATTGTTCAAACAATGAGTGTATTATTTTTTTCCATGGACATCGACTTTTCATTTTTCATTTGGTTTGTATTTTTTGACGTTTAAAATACTATTTGTTTTGGGTATGCTCTTTTTTATTGTTTGATGATTTCTCATGAAATTAAATCTCATAATGTAACACAGTCATCATGACAAATCACTGGAGAAATATTCAATTTTGAAGTATAGAACAAACTCGTTCGGTGGTATTACCCCTTGTATTTTTTTTCAATTTTGGCCAAAAAATGAAATTCCTTGAAATTTGCAGGAAAGATGCTTAAGGTAACCCTGAACACATTCCAATTCGATTTGGGAACAGATGTGCCTTTGAAAAGAAAATTTGGCCGAAATTTGGGGTAAAAACAGTCAAAATTTGGCTTTTTATTTACATGTATTTCCTAACCAAAAATGGATGATTTTTGACTAAATCTGCCAAAATTTGGGTGTTTGAATATTGATTCATGCTCCACTCGTCTCCAGAGGTATTTCTGCGTTGTTTGGAGAAAAGTCAATTTTTGGCCAAATTTGGTTAAAAATGTAAGGCTAACCCCTTGTATTTTTTTTCAATTTTGGCCAAAAAATGAAAATCCTTGAAACTTGCAGGAAAGATGCTTAAGGTAACCCTGAACACATTCCAATTCGATTTGGGAACAGATGTGCATTTGAAAAGAAAATTTGGCCGAAATTTGTGGGAAAAACAGTCAAAATTTGGCTTTTTATTTACATGTTTTTCCTATTATAGATGGAATTTTGCGTCGGGGTGATATAAATCAAATTAGGTTTTGCCCTTCACCGACGTTTTTTAAACACCTGCTTTCTAGTGCAAATGTCTTACCACTCGACCACCGAGCTAACGGGAACGGTTGGCCGGTTCGAATCTGATGTACAAAGCAGCGGGTACCGCATAAACTATTTATTATAAGATGGAATTTTGCGTCGGGGTGATATAAATCAAATTAGGTTTTGCCCTTCACCGACGTTTTTTGGTGAAGGGCAAAACCTAATTTGATGTATTTCCTACCCCCAAATGGATGATTTTTGCCTAAATCTACCAAAATTTGGGTGTTTGAATATTGATTCATGCTCCACTCGTCTTCAGAGGTATTTCTGCGTTGTTTGGAGAAAAGTCAATTTTTTGCCAAATTTGGTTAAAAATGTAAGGCTAACCCCTTGTATTTTTTTTTCAATTTTGGCCAAAACATGAAATTCCTTGAAACTTGCTGGAAAGATGCCTAAGGTAACCCTGAACACATTCCAATTCGATTTGGGAACAGATGTGCCTTTGAAAAGAAAATTTGGCCGAAATTTGGGGTAAAAACAGTCATAATTTGGCTTTTTAATCACATGTATATCCTACCCAAAAATGGATAATTTTTGCCTGAATATACCAAAATTTGGGTGTTTGAATATTGATTCATGCTCCACTCGTCTCCAAAGGTATTTCTGCGTTGTTTGGAGAAAAGTCAATTTTTGGCCAAATTTGGTTAAAAATGTAAGGCTAACACCCTTGTATTTTTTTCAGTTTTGGCCAAAAAATGAAATTCTTTAAAACTTGCAGGAAAGATGTCTAAGGTAACCCTGAACACATTCCAATTCGATTTGGGAACAGATGTGCCTTTGAAAAGAAAATTTGGCCGAAATTTGGGGTAAAAACAGTCAAAATTTGGCTGTTTATTTACATGTATTTCCTAACACAAAAATGGATGATTTTTGCCTGAATCTGCCAAAATTTGGGTGTTTGAATATTGATTCATGCTCCACTCGTCTCCAAAGGTATTTCTGCGTTGTTTGGAGAAAAGTCAATTTTTGGCCAAATTTGGTTAAAAATGTAAGGCTAACCCCTTGTATTTTTTTCAATTTTGGCCAAAAAATGAAATTCTTTAAAACTTGCAGGAAAGATGCTTAAGGTAACCCTGAACACATTCCAATTCGATTTGGGAACAGACGTGCCTTTGAAAAGAAAATTTGGCAGAAATTTGGGGTTAAAAACAGTCATAATTTGGCTGTTTATTTACATGTATTTCCTACCCAAAAATGGATGATTTTTGACTAAATCTGCCAAAATTTGGGTGTTTGAATATTGATTCATGCTCCACTCGTCTCCAGAGGTATTTCTGCGTTGTTTGGAGAAAAGTCAATTTTTTTTGCCAAATTTGGTTAAAAATGTAAGTCTAACCCCTTGTATTTTTTTCAATTTTGGCCAAAAAATGAAACTCTTTAAAACTTGCAGGAAAGATGCTTAAGGTAGCCCTCAACACATTCCAATTCGATTTGGGAACAGATGTGCCTTTGAAAAGAAAATTTGGCCGAAATTTGGGGTAAAAACAATCAAAATTTGGCTGTTTATTTACATGTATTTCCTAACACAAAAATGGATGATTTTTGCCTAAAACTGCCAAAATGTGGGTGTTTGAATATTGATTCATTCTCCACTCGTCTTCAGAGGTATTTCTGCGTTGTTTGGAGAAAAGTAAATTTTTGGCCAAATTTGGTTAAAAATGTAAGGCAAACCCCTTGTATTTTTTTCAATTTTGGCCAAAAAATGAAATTCTTTAAATTTTGCAGGAAAGATGCTTAAGGTAACCCTGAACACATTCCAATTCGATTTGGGAACAGACGTGCCTTTGAAAAGAAAATTTGGCAGAAATTTGGGGTAAAAACAGTCATAATTTGGCTTTTTATTTACATGTATTTCCTACCCAAAAAGGGATGATTTTTGACTAAATCTGCCAAAATTTGGGTGTTTGAATATTGATTCATGCTCCACTCGTCTCCAGAGGTATTTC